GCTGCTTAGTAGTGGAACACGTTAAAGGTCTTGGACTACTAAGTTCACTTAAGCGGTCAGAATCTTTAACAGAGCCGTGCGTGACTACTGCAAACAGTTTGCTATGATACATCCTTTCCTGTGGATGTAAGCCTCTGCACTTTGGCAGTTCCTGTGAGAGGTATCGAGCAGGAAACACAGGTCACAGAGAGGGAATGCAGGATAGGGGGGTAACGAGAGTAAACCTTAGGGTCGGAGGCAGAGGTACAGAGGCCGAGGAGCCTATATACCCCGTGCCAAGCCCTTAGGGTACTCAGGGGTTGGATAGCTGTAACATAACCGTGACAGTTCCCGCCTTACGTTGCTGGGCATTTGTATCGTAACTATTGTTGGAAGGACGAAACTGTGCTTGACTGCGTATCCCTTAATTAAGCTTTCTTTCATTATATCTAAAACGTCTTGCTTAAAAACTCACCCTAAGCTAGCAGAATACAAACAGTCTTGAGTTTGTTGAAATAGTGAACCGCTGGTAAGGCATCCTTAGCAGAATACTGTAGTGAGGTTCCTCGGGTGTGAGAATAAAGGATGTAGTATAAATCGGACGCTAGGTGTAGATTACTATGGAAAGGAAATCCGAAATCACCGGCCAGTGTACTAAGCGAGGATTGGGAATAGTGAGCACAGAGTATCTACCTATACATTCACGTCTCATTCACATCCCCCAATATTTATTAGCCTCTCGGCACATATTCCTGCACTAGTAACCATGCCCTAGAACCTAGATCTACATGCTTATAAACAGAAGGGACATAATGGCAAAGGATAATCTTTACATGTCAAGCCAAACATTATATTTCATTTCTAGCCTAGTTAGCCCAATCTAGCCTAGAAAACAAAAAGGGGCTCTAACTTACCGGCAGAAGTATCAGAGCCAGCGATAACTGAATCATTCTACCATCCTTTGTAGGATCCACTGTATACAGAAGCTAAAACGCTAGGTAGTATAGGAGAATAATTACTGGTAGCATGAGCGAGAACATGAGACACTTGTGCGCGTGGCTTCGGGTTTGCTAGGTTAATGGCGACTGGCGCTGGCATTCTGTGATCACGGTAGAGAGCTGCGAGGTCTGAGGCTTGAGACCGGCGATTTCTGTTTCGAAGTCCGCGGTTGATGGAGGGCTGGGAGAGAGTTGAAATGATCGAGCTCTGTGTTGGGTGTCATTGCCGGGATTCGGACGTAGAGAGAAAACGTCCCTTTATGTTCGAGAGTGGGAAACATGGTGGATGAGTTCGGGATTTCTGGTTGGAACTTGAAGAGCGAGTAGTTGTGGATTCTGAATGGTGAAATGAGTGTTGGTGGATTTAAGATTGTGAAGTGTGTGCAGGGAGGGATGGATTCCTAAACTTATTCTTTGGTTAGGAAGGAAGATTTATTGTAATAAGGAACATCGCGTGTGGGTTTGTTGAAATATAACTCTAGATTATTGGGATTTGTTTCTTTCAGGTGGTGAGGCCTTAGTGGACTATGGTTGAGTGGGTTTTAGTAAAAGTGTGTGAGCGTATAAATGAATTGTCTTCAACCGACAAGATCGCGAGAAAAGCGGATTTACAGAAAGATGAGAGAGAGTTTGGAATATATGCATATTTAGAACAATTCCATCCACAGAGCAGAGCTAGAGTAGACTATGACATACCTCATGTCCCCCTCGGCGCATTACTGGCCCAAGGATACGCCTCTGGCATTGCAGTCCAAGGTTTCAAATCATTAAAATCCCTCGTCGTCGGCGTACCCTTCAACACCTTCGCTACAAACGGCAACATATTCGCGTACCCGCCCATATCGCAATGCCCACCCGGTGCAATCGCCATCCCCAGCTGGTCACCCGCACCGACAAAATTGTACACGACTTTTGCGGCGGGGAAGGTGACAGTGGCAGTGCCTTTTGAGTCGGTAAATTGGTCCGTTTGGCCTTGTTCGAGGACGACGGCGCGAGGGGCAATGGCGGCAACGATGGTGTGAGAGTCGTATGGGAGTTGGGTTGACTTGCCGACGAATTGGGATATTCCTGAGGATGTCCACCATCCTGCGCCTGATTTCTGGGAAGAGTTAGATGGAATACGAATGCCCCTAGTGCATTATTCTAGTGAGGGCAGAGGGAGTACGTACCGAATTCTCGAGTGTTTCTCCTTGTCCGCTCAGACTGTATCTGTATGGACCGGCCCCTTGAACCCCAGAGCACGCTGGCATTGTGATGGTGATGCGTTTGTCAAAGAGACCGGCAGCGAGTGCGGCTTTGCCTAGTCGAGAGCAGCCTGTAACACCGACCTTCGTAGCGTCGATTTCGGGAACCTTGGACTCAATCCCGTCTAGGACGCGGTGGAAGCCCCATGCCCATGCAGTCAAGACACCTGGGATTCATATGTGAGCTAGAGCGGACAAAATTGCCAGCTGGAGGCCATACCGATGTCCTTGCCACTGTATAAAGTCCAGAAGCTTCCCGTTTTGCTGTTGCTATCTGCCGCCACGCTCCCATAGTCAAAAGTCACCACCGCAATTCCGGCATTCAGGTACGCCTTGTTGTCGATGCCTCCAATGGCAATCACTACAGGGAAAGGCCCGCTTCCCGAGGGTAAGTTCAGCGTTGCCGAGATCTTCGAAGTCTTTCCTCCTACGGCGATACTGACGTCAAGTTTTGTCCCTGACCGTGTTGCAGTGATGGTTTCCTGGGAGTGGTCGGGATAATAGCCGTACTGGTATTCCTGGAGTAGCTTCATGATCTCGGGCTGCCTGCATTGAAACCATTCTTCTTTGCTTTGGACGCGCGTCTTACCGTCGAGGTAGAGGAATGGGTCGGGCATGGTCTTGACGGCAGGCAAGTCCGCAGCCTTGGGCATGGGGTTTGGTATTGGTGGACATGTGATGTTGGCAGAGGGACCGCGGGGGAGAAGGTCTAAAATGTTCTCGTACATGCTCTCGGGCGTCGGCGCACCGAGAACAGTGGCCGACACGCTGAAAAGCGCAAAGACTTTGGTACGCATGTTGAAGAATTCGACGCTCGTGCGACAGAGCTACCGGGGACTGTGGCAGCGCGCTCCATTGCTATATAAAGAGATAGATTCCCGTCCATTGCCACATGCCACTCATCCGGGGGAAAGATGCGGCGCTGTAAGCCTTGTGTAACCCGTCGTCGTCGTCAACCGGGTAGTCTCAATCAACCATATATGAAGCCGTGTTCTGCCTTTCATTTGAGTGCTTCTTGTTTGGTAGCGTTGTGCACTCCGCATGGGGAGAAGGGATTGTAGCCAAGGCTCTTGTTGCCGCGATCCCTTTAGCCCGTTACGACGATCTATAGGGGAGCTTTACAGGAAGCATATGAAGCCTGCGGCCTCCACTAGAAAGGGTGTGAGGTCTCACTGAAGAAAAAGAGCTAAGCTATTGAACACTCTGCGATCCAATTGGGATGAGCGACTTCGTTCGGCCAACCTCCTCCCTTTTCACACGACGTCTTTCAATTGCTTTCCCATTCTTCATGCTCGCCAAAATGAGGTCTTGTTCGTATTGCCCCACGGGGACAATCCCAGTAGCGGATCATTCCATGCCGGCTGATGTTCGCCTCCACCAAGCGGGGCCGCTCATTTACTCGGCTATTTATCAAATATATCCGATGAGTAGCATTGTCTATACTAACTCTCGGAAAGTGATTTGAAGGTCTCTGCACGGCTTTAATCGGTATTAGAAGACCCGAATGCGAAAGTGGGTTCGGGAAACCTTGGAATTGGGAGACGAAAGGGAGTCACGTGGACAGCTCCTCGTAGATCATCTGAAAGGCTTTTTCAAGAGGATGGTATAATAAACGAGGAAACACATGGGACGGTTCTAGAAAATGAAAATGGAGTGAGACGCGAAAAGAGTAACAAAACGGCTGATTTAGAACTGCAGTGGTGGACAGGAGAAGGAAGAACGCGACTGTACCAAGCCAGTGGAGTTTCAGATAATTAGGGACAGGCTTGCGAGAATATCGTAATGAAGGGGGGGAAAATATTGTTGATTCCAGGCAACAATGAAAAGATTCGATGCATGTGGGGACGCGTCTGATGTCGCGATGTAGTTGATCCGGTGGGGATGCGGTTGGAGGGGACTAGATTTCACCTCCTGGCATTTCTCGTTCGTATGAGCGAGATAGTATCATTAGGCAGACGTGTAGAGATGGACAATTGTGGTTGGGGATGCGAGCAGGCGTTCTGATGATGACGCGTTGGAGGGGTGGACAATAGCCCGCCCGAAGTTCAGCCGGCGCGGGAGAAGGTGCGTATCTTCCCCGCGAGACTTACTTAACATCAAGCTTCCTCACTTCTCACAATGCCACTCACATCACGTTTGAGTGATGATGAACTGGTATTTCCTAAACCTCTTGGGGGTAGCCCTTGTCAATGCAGCATGCTATGAGCCAAATCAGGCCTATCCTCCGCCTAGCTATGCCCCCGATGACGCGCTGTTGAAGCGGACATTCGCCTCCATCCACGCCGCATTGGAAGTGGTAGTAGCCGCCCCAGAGTTCGCGTCCACCTCCTTTTCTGTCGAAGTCACATCCTCCAAGCAGTCGCTCTGGTCTCAACACCACACTGCCGTCGAACGGAACGCATCTCGGCCCGATATTCCCACCGTCAACGGCGATGCCTTGTACCGAATCGCGAGCGTCACCAAGTCCTTCACGGTCTTGGCCCTCCTATACCAGCATGCGGCGGGAAATCTGAGTCTGGACGACTCAATTGACACGTACATTGAGGAATTGAGGGGAAAGGAGGCGGGGAGCATCCCTTGGAAGGACATTACGCTTCGCACGCTCGCTAGCCAGCTCAGTGGCATTCCACGCGAATGTAAGACTTCAAGCGGCCCCATGTGCCACACTTTACAAGGTAACGTAGCTAATTTTCGTACTAGTCGCACAATCAGACCTCATCAATTCTCTTCCTAAACCCTGGGAGTACGGCCTGCCACCCGTCTCTCGCCACGGTTTGCTTAAATGTGATGAGTACAGCCATGGTTATGACGTCCCGTGCGACAAAGCCAGTATGCCCGCGCCGAGGGAGTCTATGGGCCTTCTCTCACTGACCGATACCTCCAGATCTCCTCCGGAGCGTCAAGTCGAAAACCCCGCTCTTCGCCCCCAACCAACGCTCAACTTACTCCAACGTTGCTTTCGAGCTTCTTGGCCTCGCTATTGAGAACGTCACTAACCAATCCTACGAATCGTATATCAACGATGCGATCTTTAAACCTCTGCACATGACCAAGAGCACTCTCTCGAAGCCCCCTGACAACGCTGGAGTAATACCCATGGATCCACAGTACTGGGGCGTAGACGAAGGGATACAAAACCCCACTGGAGGGATTTACAGCTCCTCTACAGATTTGTCAAAGTATCTACGGTACATTTTGACCCATTACAGCGACATTACGTCCGCAGCGAGCTGGGCGCATCCTGCGTCTCCTGCCACGGGGCTTCAGTCATTCTACGGCATGCCTTGGGAGATTTTCCAGACTAACCGCATCCTGATTAACTCGAGTAGAACGGTTAGATTCATCACGAAGGGCGGCGGACTTCCGGGCTACTTTTCTATTATCATGTATCTCCCGGAGTATGATCTCGGCTTCACCATCCTCGTAGCTGGCAACAGCGCTTTGCTGAAGACAATCCGGGAACTCGTGACGGTTGAAGTTGTGCGTGCGGCTGAAAAAATTGCCATACAACAACTCCAAGAACGTTACGCTGGGAAATATGTTTCATCTATGGCGCATCTGAATAGTTCCATGACCCTTATTGCCGACCACCGAGGGCTAGTATTAGCCCAATTGATCTCGAATGGATCCGACATTTCTGGCCCAGGAGGCCTCGCTCGAATGTTTGCCCCGCCTGACCGGCCGTGGTATGGGGTCCTCGTGCCGACGCTCCTCTACCGCAACGAAAATGCACAGAAAGGAGAAAAGTGGCGCCTAATTCTCGCTGAAGAGCGGACCGACGGGGATCAACCGATCTGGGAGGACTTTTGTGTAACTGATGTTGATGCAGCAAATTACGGAAATCTACCCGTCAACGAGATCGTCTTTTGGAGTGGGAAGGGAACTGCTGTAGAGACTGTGGAACTCACTGGTTTTAGGGTTACGCTCTCTAGGCAAGACGAAGAAGAACCTAGTCACTTGTGGACTGATGAAAGCCAAGAACCACTGGAGCTGTAACCAGCACTTCAACCCTGGAGAGCCTCCAAGCTAAAAGGTGGCCCACTTGTAGATACTAAAAGTACCTGGGACGGTACGTTGTAGCGGGAGAGGCGCCTGACAGGCATGTGCATCCTGCGGGGTTTTATCAAAGACCGCAGATCGGGATTTCTTACTCGTCTTGTTCTGTTTTCAAGATCCGGGAGTTATACGAGAACTCTCCTACGCGTTGCAATATCTCTCTCTGAAACTGGAAAATGTGGCATAGCCCTGCATCGGACAATCGCTGTCTCGATCTACAGGTACATTGCGTCTTGAATCACGAAAGGACATGATGTGGGTAAATAAACACATATTAAATTATCCGCGGCTATACCCTTTCTGCACAGGATATTTTTTTTTGAATCCCAAAGCTGCGGCGACAACCAATCCCTAAATCGTCAATGCGCAATCTACAAACTGTCGAGTGGGTCCTCTCCTAAGATGTGGGGAGAGAATAACAGCTCCGCACTTAATTCCAGATTCGATCATAAGGTATTCTCCGCATGCCTTAATTGAGAGAATCGGTCCACCTGGTATCGCGGTGAAAAACAATCTTGACTCAAATACACTATCGGTCCCCTTCGACAAGAGTCCGTTTGTCTTTCTTGATCGATTGCACGAAGGTGAGGCTCCAGCATCACCGGTAGGTGCGCCCATCCAAAGACCCCAGTTATTTCCGTTAACCTCAATGTGCACTTAGAGGAATGATGGTGGCTTTCAGGCGAATAATCACGGCAGGGACTTCTCTTATCCTGGCTCGAACTGTGTTTTGCGACAGGTACCCGGATTGTGCAAATGGTCCCCTGAAGAACAACACCGTGTGCAACATAAATGCGTCACCTCCACAACGGGCTGCAGCCCTAGTTGCAGCCATGACTATGGATGAGAAGCTGGTGAACCTTGTTGAGTAGGCGATCTTAATTAGTCTCTAGAAATTTACTAAGCTTTTCATAGTCACAGCCTTGGGGCAGAGCGACTGGGGTTGCCGAAATATGACTGGTGGAGCGAGGCACTACACGGCGTTGCCTTTTCTCCAGGTGTCCACTTTTCTACAAATGGCGAATTTTCTTCCGCGACATCGTTCCCTAACCCGATCACACTCTCTGCAGCATTTGACGATGCCCTTGTTGAAGCTGCAGCAGGTATCATCGGCTCGGAAGCTCGTGCATTCGCAAACGCTGGCAAGGCAGGCCTTGATTTCTGGACTCCGAATATCAATCCTTTCAAGGATCCCCGATGGGGCAGAGGGCTTGAAACGCCCGGCGAGGACCCTCTACGAATCGCAAATTATGTGAAGCACCTTATCAAAGGTCTCGAAGGTACGGAAGATACTCGCCAAGTTATAGCGACATGCAAGCACTATGCAGCCTATGACCTCGAACGATGGAATGGGGTTGTTCGATATGCATTCGATGCGATTGTCTCCATGCAGGATCTCGTGGAGTACTACCTCCCCCCGTTTAGACAATGCGCCAGGGATTCAAATGTTGGATCCATTATGTGCTCGTATAACTCTGTGAATGGGACCCCAGCTTGTGCTAATTCGTACCTTATGCAAACTGTCCTTCGAGAGCATTGGGGTTGGACGAAAGACAACAACTATATTGTCAGCGACTGCAATGCGGTTCACAATATTTACGCTGATCACCATTGGCTCAAAAATGCGGCTCAAGCGGCTGGGGCTGCTTTGACCGCAGGTACAGATAATGTTTGCGAAGCTGGAGGTTGGTCTACGGATGTCGTTGGGGCTTACAACCAATCTCTAGCCAGGAAGGCTGTTGTTGATAAAGCATTGGAGAGGCAGTACGAAGGCTTAGTTCGGGCGGGTTATTTTGATCCTGCTCAACTTGACCCGTATCGCTCCCTTGGATGGAGCAGTGTGAATACCAAGAAGGCGGATTCTCTCGCTCGCCAGTCGGCCGTAGACGGGATCGTCATGTTGAAGAATGACGGCATTCTCCCCATGAGATTCGGCAAGAATCAGTCGATAGCTGTTATCGGGATGTGGGCAAATGATACGAAAACGAGGATGTTGGGAAATTATAACGGCCGACCTCCATTCTACCGTACTCCCCTCTACGCAGCCCAGCAGCTTGGTCTGAAGGTGAATTACGCCGATGGACCTGTCAAGGACACCGGGAATTTCACGACTGCTTTGAATGCAGCAAAAGCTTCTGACGTGATTTTCTACTTCGGTGGCATCGATGTCTCTATCGAAAGCGAGGACCTCGACCGCACAACTATTACATGGCCCGAATCCCAACTTTCCCTCCTGCGTAGCCTTAGTGCCCTGGGTAAACCGATTGTAGTAATTCAACTAGGGACTCAAGTCGACAACACCCCACTCCTAAACAACAATATCATCTCCGCGATCCTCTGGACGGGGTATCCCGGTATGTACGGCGGCCCTGCCGTCTTCGACATCATCACAGGCGCTAAAGCACCTGCTGGTCGTCTGCCCATCACCCAATACCCTGGGAACTATACGACTCGAGTGCCAATGACGGATATGGATCTTAAACCAAGTGCAAAGAATCCGGGTCGGACGTATAAGTGGTTTGATGGGGCTGTGCAGCCTTTTGGCTTTGGTTTGCATTATACAAACTTCACGGTTCGCTTCGGAGCGCCGTATGCTGGTGTGAGTGGTAGAAAGAGAAACCCGCCAGTGTTCCAGTCGAATTTACTCCTTGCGGAATGCATGCTTCCCCACCTCGATCTCTGCCCCTTTCCACCCATCCCCGTCATCGTAACTAACACTGGCTCCCACACCTCTGATTTTGTAGCTCTAGCTTTCATCTCAACAACCCAGGGGCCGGCGCCGCATCCTATCAAGGAGTTGGCGAGTTATAAGAGATTGAGGGGTATTGCGCCTGGGCAGCAGAGAGAAGTGGAGTTGGAAATGAGGTGGGGCGATCTGGCGAGAGTGGATGGGAATGGGAATACGGTCCTTTATTCTGGGGCGTATTGTTTGGGGCTGGATGTGCCCGAGAGAGAGAGGCTGTGCTTTGAAGTGCTGGGAGGGGATATCGTGTTGGATTTTTGGCCAAAAGTAGGGGGTGGTGGGAATGGGATGGTGAGAGTATGAATGAGGAATGCGTGAGAAGAGAGTGGGTGGGAGGCCTCGGGTCTTACAGCTGCTCTACTTATTATAACGATATTCTCTGCTCGAGGGAATTTTACCAGGTGGGTGAAGGCAATGAGAAAGGAAACGTTGATGTCTTCTCCGCCAACGCTGCCGTTGGACTAGTGAGAGGTCAAGCAAAGGTGTCATGGGTGCCACGAAGCTTAGAGCCGGACGCAGCGCTACACATTCCATTTATTGATCTAGCGGAACAGTCTGAGGCCGAAAAGGTGATGAGTTAGCCATGGAGGAACACCTTCCCATGCCTGTATACTGCCAGAGACGTGGTCCTTGCTGAAGTGACTCGGTGGATTGATTACTAACCCAACCTCCAACACTCGTGGGAGACCACCCGGAGATGCACTAGACCCCTATGTTGAGCCTTATCACTCAGCTCGATGAGGAATACTGTTTGTCCTTCCCTCAGCGAAGGTCAGACGTCGCCTCGGCTCCAGAAGGCTGAATATGCGGGACTAAGTGATTCTGCGACCGCTTGCGGCCGCCTGCAGCCACCGTCTATTCTCAGAGGGTGAGCTGGTACCACCCTTTGGCATTCATATCTACGGCGCGCCCAGTGGGTAGTTGCAAATAGTCCTGCTGTTGCGCTATTTATTTATTCTTTTTGAATCAGTCATCCTCGTATTCAGCCAGCGTTGTTATCTAAGATGCTATTGGCAAAGATAGCTCTCTATTGCACAGCTTTCAAGTCTTCTCTGGGAAGTTGGTTCCATCGAATCAAATTGCCTAGAGCCAGCCCGAGGTATGCAGGCGCTCCAGCGCACCAAGACCCTCGTCTTCCGATTGTCCATGCACCCAGGTGTGCTAGCTACTTTGCTAAGACCCTACTAAAACTATTCCAACATTACAGTGCCTTAACAACAACACTAATTAGGACCTTTAAAAGAAGCTAGAGTACAGCTTACGCTTTAAGCTGTTAAATAAGATATAATAATTACTTTATAACACGCTGTAGCCCTTCGTAATATTTTTTATTTAACACTAAGTAATTAACGCGCTAGGCATCTATTACAAGCAGATTACATGCAAACAGAGGTCACATTAGTATTCCTATCGCGCTTTCAGCACCGCATTCACTCTTCAGCTTTAGTGAGCTGACTCTAAGTAGGTATACAACATGATTACGCAGCGAGACAGTAAAGTGCTTAAAGGCCATAGCAAAGCGATGACGACTGTAACCGTTCTAACCATGGTATTCCTGCCAGCAACGTTCACATCCGCAAGTGATAGCCCATTTTCAATATTAGCATTTGCTAAGACTTAATAAAGGCGATTTTCAGCATGAGCCTTTTTGACTTCTCCCCTTCTGATGGCAGTCAACAAGGGAAATGGATTATATCGACCAGGATATGGATTTTTTGGTTGGTTTCAGCAGTGCTAACGGCCGCGACAATGATCGTATGGATCATTTGGCAATACACCAGACACGACTTTTGGGTTGAGCTCTTCAGACGAAAACGGCTGAAAGATAAGAAAATGGTGACTGAGGGCGTACGCATTTGAGCGGACACTAGATTAGTAGAGTTTTGTAGGCCCTAAGTCGCAAGGAAAGGCGACGCAGTGCAGGGCATCTTGCTTGTTCGAAAGTGACAACGAGATCTTGATAGGCTATTCTGAATGAAATTCGTATATGAAGATTCCGTAGTTATTGCTTGTAGAGGTCGTGGAAATATGAAAGCCATTAGTGCGGAACAGCGATTTCCTTGCCATCAATCGGTGGAGAGCATCCTACAAGAACATATGCAGAGTGCTCAGCGCTTCTTCAAGAAGCGCGTAACGTGATGTGCCACAGACCACTTCATGCCAGTTTGCCGCATCGATACCAAAATTCTGTTCCAGGATCTCCCCAACCGTAACTTTCCCACTTTTCCCCCCAGCGTCGTTAAATCCCTGCCCCTCAGCCTCCTCAAGAAATGTTTGAGGCACCGTAACACCCCGGGAAATAGCTCCTGCCACTTTCCCTGTCGTCGCGTTGTAAATCACGACAACACCATAGTCAACTGCCGACAGCCCATCCGTCGACCTTTGGATGTAGTTTTCGATCACACCGACTAGCACGGTGCCGATTTTCTTTTCCTCCAGAATGCCTTGATTATGATTGAGCCAGGCGAGAGTATTGCGGATGCGGTTATAAGCACCTTCCAAACCCTTCTCGTCGTATGGTTGATTGCCCACGCCGCTGTCGACACTTTGCTGATGAATAATTATCCTGGAGCTTTTGTCTTGTCCGATTTGTGCCTCAATCCTAGACTGCACAGCCTTCTTCTTGAATTGGTTTGCGGTTGGTATGATCACAAGGATATTCTCTCCATATGGATCCTGGGGCGTTGGGGCAACAGTAGCGATAGTTGGAAACCTTTCGGAAGACGGTGCGGGCACAACCGCTTGCCTGTAGAGAGTTTTGTTACCCACCTGGAGACAAATATCTTGTGGTGAAGGAAGTGGTACATTGGGTGGCATTGTCCCTGCCTTCGAACGATTCATATTTATCGAAACCCTAAGTAGTGGTAAGCAATAGCTAGGCGAATATAAAGACGTGCAAAAAGTTGATGTCGGTTGCGATTATGTTTAGTGGAAATAGCCTTACTATATATCAACAGGAAACGAGGCGCAGTACCTCAGCTACATCATCGTACCAACAGGGATGGGGCTTTCACGCTTTATTGGGCCAATACCATTTGATCTTATCAGCCACCAAATGCTGCCTAACGTAAATAATAATTTAGGACATGGTGACCTCGGGAGCCTAGTCCTAAGTAAGTGCTCTAATCCAACATATGCCGTACCATGTGACATTTTCTTCCACCCAGGCCAGGGTTGCAGGAATTGTTTTGTATAGTTAGACTTGCAAGATAGAGCAACCAAGCCGTCTGAGTTAATAGGAAATAAGGATACAAGTGAACAAGCTATATAGTAGGTGGGAGCCGGAGCTCCACGATAGGCTGCCCAATCAACTTTGGGCTTGGCGTCCCACAATACTCGATAAATATGTTTGCAGTTGCGGAGCTCTCTGAGCTCCACCACTTGCCCAGATACAGGAGTTACTGCTGCCTACTATAGACATATAACACCCTAGCACTACGCTGCCTAGCTCACTTCATTACATAAATGTTTGCAGTTGCGGAGTTCCCCGATCTCCACCGCCTGCCCGTATTTAGGGGCTACTGCAGCCTACGATAGACATATGCCGCCCACCTTAGCGCCATGCTGCCTAGCTCAATCCATTACATATATAGACCTTAGGTACAATCTTTTAGCAATCAACTCGGTTCTTCATAGCCTAGGTGCTCCGAATAGCTTCACAAAATCACGTGGCTCCTAGGACCCTTAGTCCACAACGCATCGCTCCTTTCATAACTCATACACCTGCAAGGCTACAGTAGGTACTAAAAATAAAGAATTTTCCTCCGCGATCGTGCCGCGGCGTGTTACCACTTAGCGTGGAATATAACTGGGGTGGAGTCTAGCCGTTAAACCTCTTTTTAGAAGCTAGGAGAGCGCCGAAAGGATGCAATTTCTTGTCCAAAACTTCTCTATCATAACCCAAAGTTGGATGATAAAATGCAGTGGATGATTGACCGGACCATGGCTGGTAGGCCATCCATGGTTGACAGGTGGGTGGACTGGTGTAACAAAGTCTAGATTTACCACTGACACAATCCCAACCTCATATAATTGCAACACCACAATCCCGTCCATTTGAGTTTTCTTTTTCTTTGTTCGACCACGGACGAACCAAAAACTACCACCTAAAAACCACAAAGACGACGACCAACCCTTTCTCGGAATTCATGCTCCTCTCAAGATTGGAAGAAGGAGCAGAATGCTACGTCTGTGAGGACAATTTCCCATCGCAGACAGAGATATCGCTTCCAGGGAGCAATTCACGAGCATAGGATGCGCTATCCAAGTCTTCAACCCCTCCGTCAAGAACATGTCAGAGTTCCTAGCAACCTGCTGTCCAGGAAAGGCCCTACCTCGTCCCATGTTCAAACACCTTCAGAACCAGGATTTCATTACAATGTAGAAGGCCCACCTTCGCGAGTAGTACTGCCAGTAACCCTTCGTGCGTACTGTATGAATGTCGGATGCGCATAATACATCCACCCATCACTCTTCGAATATGACCTATAAGCAGTACAATTCCCACTAGCAAAAGTTTGACCTTTTGCTCCGGCTTCACATGACCACATGTATATCATTGCACCCCGCAATGACTGCAGAAGGAAGGCGTATGTCGGATGCAAGCATCGCTAGACTCCAGATCAAAAATACTCCGGGAATTAAGACGGCCGGGTAAAACCACCCTGTGTCCCTGTGTACATACGCTCGGATCGCATCGAGCGGTATCCTCACTACAGGGCTTAGGTTGAACAGGCAGAAGCGTGCAAAAAACACGCGACTTGTTCCAACTGCTACTGGCAATGTTGCTTCGTTTGCCTCCGAGACTAGGCCACCTTTCATCCCGATAAGGGCTGCCCAATATATAAAGACCCAGATTCCGGGTATAGCATAGAAGGATATGAGTTATCATTTCGAGATATACATCAGGACGTGGGATAGATGCAGCTATGGCTGGAAAGAACAAGATGTTTGCGGATGACTCTAAGGTTACGTGGAAAATTTAATTGAGGAGTAGCGCTAGGAATGCCGGAAATGGGACAACAGAGACGGTATAGAGAGGCTCGAAGTGTACGATAATGTGAACAATGACTAGGTACTTGATCACGAAGGTCTGGTAAAGGCCGAAGAGAACGAACTTGACCCACCATGCCAGTACTTGCCAAACCACGTTCACACGTGGGACATTTGGACATGCTTTAGGCCAAGTCGCCCCGTCAACACCAGAGATGAAACCGGTACAGATTCTGCTGTATATGAACCCGAAGAATTCAATTTATATCCGCCTCCGCTACCACCAGTCGAAAAGTTGAGTGCGAACACGCCTAGATCCACAATAGTATCGGTAGCTCGTACCCAGCCCGTTATTACGATCTTTGCATGTTTGAAATGCGTTCTTTTAACTGCTCTTGTAGTAAATCTCAAATGTGGGCATACTCTTTTAGTCAGAACGATTTTAATAACTGCGCAGAGACTGATAAGCCTGATGAGATGAGGTTTATTGAGTCAATCTTGTGGGCAGAGGCCAGTGTCGCCCACTCCACGAGGGCAGAAGGATTCCAGGATTGCTTTATCAGGATAATGAGATTCTTGGGGTCGATACCTACGCTCGAGAAGAATTCTCCTACCTGTGGCGACTTCGGGACGGCGTCAATGTTTGAAGCCGAAGATGCCACCCACGACTTGGTGAACTCGTACACCATGGACACAGATGGTGGGCTTACCAGTTTTACGTTCACGACACTGTTGGACATGAACAGATTCTGGCTCCCGAAGAAACTCAAGGAGCGAGTCGAGAGCGTGAGACGGGATGGCCAGACCAGATTGGGGAAGACTAGGGCTTGTCTTCGGATGATTCGACTCATCCTAGCTCTTATTTACTTCGATAATCTTCTCCTTTGGCATAAATCTAATCGTCACTCTGGTCCTTCTATTCAGTGACGACCCTGTCGTTATCGATTTTCTCAACTTGACTGATATTCCCTGACGTTTCTTGCTTGGATGGAGGGTACGGATACTAACCTCTTGAAAACTGAATGCTACAGGAGTGGCCTTCCGTCGAACACTTCAATATCCAGTTGTATCTTATAGATCAAACATACTCTTGGATTTTAAATGAAGTACAAGACGCCATGACAAACTATTTTCCCCGATTCAACCTAGCCCTGTGTTCGCTTCTTGATATATTCTGCTGCCTGCTGATGATTAGCCTTGACCCCGTTAAATGGGGTTTGAAAACTTACTTTTTCCGCAATTGCATACGTTGTCATCGTTGTCGGACATCCCGGGATGATCGGCATGATACTTGCGTCTACCACGCTAAGCCCCTGGACCCCATATACTAAAAGCTCTTCATCCACCACTCCACCAAGCTCTCGGGGCATTTTTGCAGCTGTTCCAACAGGGTGGTACACGCTTGGAATATACTGTCTTCTAATCCAATTCTCAAGTTGAGCGTCGCTCTCCACACTTGCACCGGGCTGACCTTCTTTCGGCTTGTATGCGGCAAATGTTTCGGAAGCCATGTATTTTCTTGTAAACCTAATCATCTCAATCATAGTGGCAACATCTATAGGATTTGAGAACGCGCGGTAATCCACAATTGGTTCCCCGCTCGGGTCCTTGGGATCAATATACACGGTGCCACGTGACATTGGATGCTGATGTGCAGGCCCGAAGCTTGGAGTTCCCCCAAGGATGAGCCACATCCATGCGGTGTTTTTACTTCTGAATATTTTCGCAAATGCATCCTTCTGTGCTTTATAGCCAGCTACTATGTGAGGATGTGCATCCTTTGGGAGGTATTGGGCTGGATCTTGGTTTTCGAATGCCTGCGCGAGAGACTCAACTTTCTCTGGGGTAATCACCGGGAGTCCAATAATAGCTCCCAGATTCGCTGTGAGACCCGTTTTTGGATCTCCAGAAGTGTTAACAACTGGGACAGGAGGCTGGGCTCCCCATACGAACTGTGGGCCTCGAATATAACCGTGGTCTTGGAAGTTGGTTCCAACCCCTGGAAGATCAACCATTTGCGAAATATTTGCAGCGAGGAGGACGGATGTAGGCCCAATACCAGATAACTGTAAGATCTGCGGTGTGTGAATTGCGCCTGCTGCGATGATGACTTCCTTTCGTGCCCTGACCGTAGTGATTTGAGATGAATTCCCATTGATGGGAACGAAGGAGAGACCTTTCGCACGATTGCCGTCGAAGACTATTCTGGTCACTTTGGAGCTAATCAGAAGCTCGTAGTTCGATCGGTTAATCCCGTCCCAGTGGCCAGTTCGAGAATAGGAGCGAGAATAGGAGGCAGGATCCATCGTGGTAGGGTAGAAGTAGAGACCGTCCGTCCCCGCATTGCCATCTTTCGGAATCTCAATGCCAGGCATTTTAACCATACCTTCATAGAAAAGCTCTGAAGAACGACCATTAGCCCGCTTCTATAAACGAGGGAGAGGAGCTTACTGAGCTCTGGTTGGAGATAGTTTGGGTAGCCCGCAAAGACCCTTGTGTCGTTGTCCTGACCCCATGCGTTCATATCCCACGAGATGTTGAAGTCTTTTGCAAGGTATTCCAGAGGTGGAACAAAATGAATGCCCCTCTTAAAGTATGGAAGCATGCCGTTCCAGTCCCATGTAGAGCCATTGCCTCCGACCTGGGCCCACAGATCGTACTCCTCTTTGGTGCCGCGAAAAAATTGCAGTCCATTGATTCCTGATGAACCTCCAACAAGCTTTCCCACTACGACGGGGATTGAGCGGTTATTTAGGCCAGCTTGTGGGATCGATGGAATGACAAATTCGCGCGAGGGATCCATGCCCGCAAGCACGCCACCTGTGAGGATAGCAGTAGAGTTGTCTAGAGCACAGTCAAACCTAAGTCATCCCCCCGAGGAAAGACGAGAACAAACCGAAGATACCATATTCAATAACAAGCACAGAGTCTAGTCAATCTATTAGGACGATCGTGTTCCATTTTTACAACTGGTGCCTACATTTTCCATCTGCAGAAAGGCGATCGCCAACCGTAAGACCTGCGGTTCCTCCTCCAGCAATGACATAGTCGTATTCTTCTTTAACCTGCTCCACTGCCCTAATCACATTTGCAGAATGAAAACTTGCATAGGTTAATTGTACAATCGATAAGGCCACGCTCAGAATATGCAAGAACGTCAAGTCGGACTGTCTGTGGTGATAAGTCATCCTGAAAAATGAGTGCGTTAAGGCACGAAACTCGATCTGATCCTATGCGTGCGATATTCTAGACTAGCCATTAAATAATGGGCCCCAGTATTGTATCTGCAATTGATGTCGTGATCTACTTGGATTCAGGGATCTTACCCCAGATTCTCAGCTGTTCCGGTCTTCAGGCTATTGCCGTAGCTTCGGGCGTATGCCTGTGAATCCTTTTAATCAACACTGCATTGGCTCTCTATGGCTTTGCTATTTTAACGGATCCTTGCTGGTAGGTGAGACACGTGGTAACTCTACGTAATCGATTTCGGGAGGGGGTGGGGACAAGAGAGAAAAACACGGCGCTGAGGAGTTTAGAAGACATTGGACACCACGAGTAATGAGGCGCAGGCTCATTGTCATGGACGGTCGTAGGGTGAAGTGTATATGGCCAGGGCAAACTTTGTGAGACCACAAACCCGATAGTGTTCTCGAGTCTTCTATGACTGCGTCTAGCTGCCAGATATTGTGAAGGACGTGGCTTGAACTCATTTCGTGAATTATGGTGAAGCCAAGTCTACTCGTGCTACAACAGGCATCTGGGAATCAGCCGTGCCTGAGTGGGGCGTAGCCGTCGTTTAATCGTGGTGAATTCAACCTGATATTGCAGGTCTGCGGGGTAGACTATGCGCGAGCTCAGCAGCAGCTAGGGCGAGAAACAACAATCCATGACGATGCCAGAATAGTATATCACAGTTGGAAGAACATTGATGATGAGAGTGGTCGGAAAGACAGATGTATGAAATTTCAGAGCCTGGAAGTTCACTAGGTCTGACAAGGTTAAATATGCGAAATTCAATTGGCCAGCCGCTCAGCGATTCCTTCCCCAATCTCACAAATATTTCCATCACAACAGCGCTGGAGAGTCTTAGTCAAAGTGTACTTCCCCATCTCATCGAGGTGCATTCCATGATAGGGTCTTCCGCCGTGACTAGGAGGTAGCAAACCAACAACCTTAGAAGACCCCAAGGGCGATCCCAGTTTCTCGGTCAACATGAGCGTCCTCACCAATTCCAGAGCTTCTCGCACGTGTTTATTAATGGAGCGAATTCCTCCCCAAGGAGTTCTTATTATCGTACAAACCGCTATCCTTCACCCAAGGGCTTTTGAGGATGAGTCTGCCTAGCAGGAAGGTTTCTCGCAAGCAACCATCAACCTGGGGTGCAGCATCGCCAATTAGATCTCTGCCGCGTTTCAATTCTTGGAAATTTATTACAAAAGCACGGCCGAGTACTATAGGAACTCCAGTTGACTCTGGTTACATGGCTCAACTTCCGCCGAATCTACTCAAGCGTTTCAATGTGATATCGGACACAGCAGAACCTTCCTTGTTTGATGCATCACGGACATACTGGAGCTAAGCGTATACCATTAGACCAGTAGATTGCTATTAGTGATCCATGCTAGTGAAGACCGCGCAGAAATTTGTTGGTCAAAATTTGTAGATCGAAATGTCCACAACGGAGAGTTTAAACCCCTGCGGCGACAATGCAACATGCTTGAAAATTTGGCTGGAGATGCAAGATCAAATCTCGGTCCGCTATGCAGACTTGTTGCCTTGATTTTAGACCATCCAGTGGGGCATGTTCTAGTCCCCGACTTCGAATGCTCTCGCTCTACTATGAAATTTGCTGGTATCAACATTGTTAGGACCACACCCCTAATCCTTGGCTGACGTACGATTGTACGCCGAATGACCTGTGGGCTTAGTAGAAGCTCCGCCTCACCTATGCGGATTGTCGTAGCCTTCGTAGTTTTCCACGCACCGGCAAACACCCTGAATGGTGGTCTTATAAACCGAAGCCTTGGATATACTATTGATATTTTACTCGGAATTTTAATAATGCTTTGGAAGTGCCGCCCGCGAATCTCCTGCTTGGCTACTGCTCTCGTTCTGCCCTAAAAAAGGAATCCATATACACGTCTCCGGGATGTCCGCTCTTGTCGAATTATCACTACATGTAATCAGTGGAATGTACCTTGTGAAGGCAACTCAACATTTTCTAGCTCATATCATTGCATTTCTCTTGTACTGGGGTGCTACTATCTGGGTTGCTAGGGTCGTCTTCCTCTATGGCTACGTTATTGGGAATTAGTTCGGACTTAGGCAGGATTTCTGTCGGTATTCGATGTTCTATGCATTCACTTGCTTCTTCCATCGGCCAGAGCAGCAAGGGGATTTCCAGAGAGGGCAACAAATAATCTCAAGGCAGAAGAAAACCCGACTCTATGCCAAGGTGTAGTGTAGCAAGATGTTATAACTAAACACAGGCATCTATTCGTTATTTCCAGCGTTAGAATACGGTTTGTAGGCATGCGTCGTCGTGCAAATCCCCCCTGGTGCGGAATTTCGAGAACGTGTTACTTAGAGTAATCACCAGACCTTTAGGTTCTTCGTCCTCATTGAAAGCATATGTTTCGTTATATACTAGCTGAACATACATGGGATACGGGCGCACTCCCCGTATTCGTTCCATCAAAGGCATTGAGCTGATGTAGAATGCGAATTGTCTCACCCCCCTTCACCATGATTGGCTCTTCCGACAACGGAATTACTCCGCCGCTCACCTCCGGCACCCATATCTAGACAACTCTTCGAATACATATCCTTACCCGTAAGCCCTTCCCCGCTCTTTCATTAATCTCTTTATTCCTGCCTAGTGTCGTGATTCAAAATGGCACCAACGGTCTCTTCGAAAACCCCAAACAACTCCATCGCCTACATCAATGGTCAGATCTATACTATCAACCCCTATAACCCGTGGGCATACGCCTTCATTGTGTCTCCAGATGGTATATTCACGACCATTGGCACGAACAAAGAGATTCTTTCAATCGCAAAATCCTTATCTCTCATAATCGTCGACCTCAAGAACCAATTCGTCATGCCAGGAATCCACGACGCCCACATGCACGTGCTATATTCCGGTCTCGCCCTCACCAGCGACACAAACATCGGATTCGACTCCACCTCTGATAACATCGCGCAAAAGATCAAGGAAGGGTCTTGCGCATGCCACTACACGCACGCATACGAAGACTGGATCCTTGCTAACATGTTCAACAACGAAGGATTCCCCGACATGGTCGCCGATCGAAAGTATCTGGATGACATGTTTCCAGACACCCCCGTCGTCGTCCGCGGCGGCGCAGGTCACAGTCTCCTCCTCAACACGGAGGCTCTGAAACGAGCAGGCTACGACGTCGCCAATGAGCCCGATATTCAAGCCTCGCGATTCGTCCGTCGACAAGACGGTAGCCTCACGGGCGAACTCTCTGAAACTGCGATGAACAAGGCCATGCTCGCATTCCCGGATCCGCCACTCGCGCATGTGAAGCGTGCTCTCAAACATGCGATTCGAATTGCACATCAAGTGGGCGTTACGAGTTGTCAGGAAGCATCAGCGAATTCTCTGATGTTGCATGCGTTGCGTGAGCTAGATTACGAGGAAGACTTGAAGATAGATTTTTGCACGCACATCATGTATGCGCCGGAGTATCCGGTTGGCGAGAAGCAGGATTCGCTGATCAAGTTACTCGACAAGGCAACAGAGTTTAAGAGTAGACATGTTGATACAAGGTTTGTTAAGATAATTTTGGATGGTATACCTTTGCCTCCACTTTTCACGCACTGTGGGTTGGATGGGCATGGGAAGCCTGATCAGACGAAAGTCGTAGTTGAGGGTGTTGCAGATGCAATTGCGAAATATGACCAGCGTGGGATGACGGTGAAGATCCATTGCGCTGGTCAGGGGAGTACGCGGATGGCGCTTGATGCGATTGAAAGTGTGAGGAAGCAGAATCCCAATGGTCCAAGACATGAGATTGCGCACAATAGCGGGGTGCATGATGGTACATTGGCCCCTTTTTACTTGCCTACTCTCATAGGAATTTCTTGTTGTGGCTGATGTGTCTTGCAGATGAATATCCACGCTATAAACCCCTGAATGTTACCGCCGAAATGTCTCCAGCTATGTTCTTCACCCACCCTGTAACTGCATCTAGCGGAGGCCTCATGGACTGGAACTTCACTAAGATGCTTGATGCCGGTGCTCACCTTACTATTGGCTCGGACTGGGGTGCTGCCCCCGACCCGTCACTGTTTGGTGCATTGGCTGGTATAGTGGAGACCGTAGGTGGGGGTTCAAAGGACAAAGGTGCCGAAATATTGTGTCGGATGTTGACGATTAATGGAGCGGAGGCTGTTGGGAAGGATAAGGAGGTCGGAAGTATTGAGGTAGGGAAGAAAGCGAATTTTATTGTCGTGGATCGGAATTTGAGCAAGGGGGAGTTTGGCGGCGCTGGAGTGGTGAGGACGTACTTTGAAGGGGAGTTGGTCTGGGAGAGGGGGGTTGAGTCTGGTCAGTTGTTGAAGAATTTATGATGAGCGGATGAGTATGTAAACGGCCCAATAGCGATGATCTTTTGAAACGAGAGCAAGCCTAATTCTCACCGCGCCCAAGAAATTCGACCACATTACTCCTTTTCTCCCAGCTTCGCCAATAAATTGGTTAGGCATGGTAGTTGACGGCCCCATAGTTTCTAACCAAGCTGTTGTAGTGAGCGCAGCCGGGGACATCATCGTCAGCTCTGGAACGCTCGAAAGGCAATGCCAATGGTCGCTATGGGCATCGCAAGCAGTTCACAGAAGGCTCACGACCATGACAGTCAGATTCGGTTGCGGTAGGAGGAGGAAGCGTTGCTGCCTCAGCAACACATGAAGGGCAGTGCCAATGGTCCACGTGGACATTACGAAAGCCGAGTACGGTGACGAAAAGGGATCGGTGATCGTTGCGCTCGTGGGACACATGCGCCTGGGCGGGTCCTGTTGCTGTGGAGACTGATGTCGTCAGTGGAACTGTGGGTATTTTGCGGTGCCTTAAGCTTGCCGGTACATAACTAAGCGAATGGGCACAAGGTGAGAAGAGATTGGTTACCAGTGATCGCCATGGGCTCGCAGCCAACCGATTGGGTTGGAGAAGGGAGCTAGGATCCCTGGAATTGCTGTAACGAGATAAGTGCTTATCTTCATGTTGATGCGTGTGGGCTGGGGTTATATAATTGACGTTGCGCGGAAAGGACCATGCAAATGAGGAGAGTATAAGACACTAGCACTGGATCCTTATATGTTCTCTGCTGCAGGTGACCATTCTATTGTTCGGCCGCGCTGTTCATTGAACGACTCTTGGAGTAAAGGCTAAACCACCAGCGAAGGCCTTGGCCCCGGACACTGGGGTACTCATCTCCTAAGAAACGGGTCAATTACGATTAGAATATAGGATACGGAACAAGGCTGGAGAACGGTGTGAAAATGGTGGGAAATGGTGGGCAATAGTTGCTGTGGCGTCGGCAGGACGTGCGCGGGGGAATGGATAGAACGACTTAGCGTATCCCATGGATGAATGGGCCGAGAGTTTAATAGAAGAAGATAGGGCTCAGGCTTGATCTGGAGCTCAAGCTGAGGGCCTGAAACTTGTATCTACCCGCTGGAAAATGCACCAAAAGAACCGTTCTGTACTCGTTCTCTAATTCTACATCAATACCACTTGCCAGCTTCACAATTTCTCCATCGTTTGCTTTCTTAGCACGTCTGCGCCTAGAAAGATGGCTTTGTTGAGGAGAGCCTCCTTTCGTAGATCTGCGTTCTCGGTTCGTCTCTCGCGGGTTCCGGGAGATCTGCATCGGATCCATCGGGATGCTACTGCTGCAGCAACGGTGTCCTCATCTGTAGTGGAATCGTAAACGAGTAGGCAGGCACAAACGATGGCTTCAATATGATTTAAGATCTCACGGCCGTAGTATAGGAGCTTGTCTTTTCCAGCGCCTCGCACCAGGGTTAGCAGAGATTCAAGTCGATCGTATATCATCGAGCCTTCCTTGCTAGTGGACTTCGCTTCACAAGTTGCCAGGACTGTCCGGACCCAAGGAGCAAAGACGTTATTCAGGACGTCCCCATTACCTAGACGTTTATCGATTAGGACCCGAACAATGTCTTCGGCCATCACGCTGACAGTTCCCTCCCAAATCGGATTTACGAGATTGTCGCGGAAGGTCTTTGCAATATTCATCAGTCCTCCATCTTCATTATTTTCGCAGTATCCGACACCTCCTATGCATTCCATACATTCGCGTAGGCCGTCGACTGATGATACACTCACTTGGGCTTTCATGACCGGCGTCAATAGCCGTAGTAGAGTCGAAACGACCGCCTTGTCTTCGGGGATAAGCTTTTCAGCTTTGGTACTCCGTACCATCTGATTCCAATCTTGTTCCATAGCGCCTTGGAGAGCCACACCAAAGAAAGCGAAATGTGCGCCAGCCCAATATTTTACGGTCTCATCTGCCATCCACCGGAGGTGCTGGGGGTTGTTTTGCAGAAGACTGCCGCGAACCTTCCGCACTTTGGTGTATGCACGACATACAGCTAGTCCTCGAGCCCAGTTTGCCACAGATCCTGCGGCTGTGTGGAGGCGGGTAATGTTGAGGATGGCGGATATCTCTTTAACTCCTTTACCTTCTTCGCCAATGAGCCAACCACGAGTACCATTAAGTTCTAGTTCGGCGGTCGGGAGGGATTTGGTGCCGAGTTTATTCTTAAGTCGTTGGATCCGAATGCCGTTGAGTTCCGTTCGGGGCATTTCTTCGCCGGGACTATCCACAGATTGGTTTGCACGCCCGATCTTTCGACGCATAGGCACATAGAAGGCACTCAACCCTCCTTTTGCGGTCCGAGCGAGCAGCACAGCCATCTCAGAGTCAGTGGCGCTACTGAACCATTTGAAACCGTCGATAAGCCAAGGTCCTAGGGGCATCCCCACTGAATCATGGTCATGCGTAAGTGCAGATTTCTGTGCCATATCCTCCCTTGTAAGCTTTCTCGCAAAAGTCTCGGTGCCGCTGACATCACTTCCACCAGTACGCTCTGTCATCCACTGCCCGCTGGTCCACGCAAAATTCGGATCTCGAGATATCAGCCTCCGGTATGCTTCGCGAAAGACATCTGCCCGGCCAGGCTGGTCCGTATCTGGATCGTCGAGATGGCGTGAAAGCAACGTTGCGGCTCCATCGGTCATAGACATGGGACAGCCCGTCATAGTCGCGGCAGGCGTCCAGACATGGCCTAACGCAAATTCCTGGATTCGCCGGTTCCAGCCCTTGTTCTCCTTCTCATACGCTACAGCAACGACTCCCTCGCGATATCCAATCTCCTTCAGCGCTTGCCACCCCGCGGTTGTCCAAAGCGGGTCGTTCTTATTTTCTTCTCCGAATGTAGTCAACGGTCGAAGAACTGGGTGGTTTGTCTCAGCATCAACTGAGTGTACGAGGACTGAGGGTTGCAGGACACGGCGTGAGAAATCGTGAAGGTGCTGAGTGACTGGGAATGCGCTTGGAGGGAGGTAGAGAGCAAGGATCCGAGCGAATACTCGATCGTCTGACGTTTTAACAGCTATTGCTGTGCTCGCAGATTGCGATGGAAGACAATCCGGACAGGTGAATTGAGGGGGAAGGGAGGGAAGCTCTTGGAAGAAACCCTCAGTAGAAGAAGAAGGTGCCATCTTTGGTAATTTGGCGAGAAAAAGGCCCGTAAGTAGATTCGCGAGTCGATGCCCTCTAAGTGATTCTGGACAGCTAGGCACTGTTCTTGCTTACTGGTGAATGGGTTTGGTAGGTCACATTACCGGGAGCGTTGAAGAACTGGAATTTGAGGGCATCATAGGGAAACAGAGTCGTCGATAGCTCGAAAGCGCAGGTGGTGATGAGACCAGAGACGAGAGCAAGGTGGCTCGAAAGATGTTTCTCATACGGATCCATATTTCGTGCCTCGGCATCTCTTCATTCCCCTGAACCCCGCTTCCCCACGACACGCCACCTCGTCCTCGGGAGTATTTCTTTGCCAAGCCGCGGTGAATAAAAGCAGTGATGAGCAAGAGCGTTACAAGGGTAGCTGTGGAGCTGATGAGGGAACGAGTGCAAAGTCTGGAGGGGTGTGAAATGGCGTGCGAAGCTTACAGCCACCATTCCAAAATGGGGAAGGTGCGTCGAGATCCCGACCACGAAGCCCAAGAACTGCAACTATATCAACGCTCTATTTCTTGGTGTGCCTGAAGAGTTGTCGCCAGATCTACAATAGCTCATAAGGAGCCTTACATGTGATAAAAGCTGCTCTGAGCCGGTTGCCTTGTGGGAATAGATACGAAGTTCTTCCCACGATGATTCCCCAACAACTTTGTTCAGTACCCCTGCACAATCCAAGGTCGCATCTGTTTCCATATCTCCCTCGGAAGTACCTTGCCGCTCCATTACCAGGCTTCAGAGGCTGCTGCACTGCCCTACTAATAGACTTTCAAGGCACGTCTTAGGATTGCAAGGGAGTATAAAACAAGGTGTGACTTCGTTTGTAGGTCCTCACTCTAAACCTCTTCGGAGTCATCTGTGACATCTTCTGCATGAAACTATTCACTTTTCCTGTTCTTGTGCTCGCATTTAAAATCCCTTCACTGGCCGCCTACCCCGGGCGTCTGACAAACCGCCCCCAAGGTGCATTGAGTTTGCCTACAAGGCAAGTATCTCACACCAAATCGAATCCAAATCCTCCCAAGAACTCCTCTAATCTACACAGTACGAATTTCCGATCAGTGGATACGCACAAATGACTCAAGCCTACTCCGAGTTTAGAAGTGCTAAAGATATTCAGCAGTACTATGCCTCAAGGTAGCGTTTTTGGTCGTGGACTTCTCCGAAACCGTCTCTACTACGCCCTGCTACAAGATGGTGATCTTTGGCTTAAAATTGAGAAGTCGATGGCTTCCCTCGATCAGGCTTGCAATAATCTGGCCGGAGTACCGATTGACATGAGGATGCATACGTGCATATGATTGGGTCGAGCCGCAACCTAGACTCCTCTCCCGGATCTCATTTATCCGCCTTTATAGTTTCGTGAACAGCTACAGAGGATACTCCATTTCCCACACACGCAAATAACACTTGCACACCAGTGTACAGTTTGCATATCCTAGCATTAATTGTGCTGTTACAAGCGATGCATCCTACTGTATCCCACCGTATCGTCGTTGATTTTAGCTAAGTTAGTAGCTCGTATCCACTGTCGGTGCAGCCGCCTCTTCGAACATTCCATGTCGAGCTATCATAACTAGGTGTCGAACAGTGAGATACGGCATAGGAGGAATATTGTATCATCGCTTCTGAAAGGGTCGATTTCCAAAAATTCGATCTCGTAAGAGAGGCTGAACAAGCCCTTGATTCTGCTATCATTTAGAACATAACGGAGCACCAAAGGGTGTGTATACAGCAAACAATTTAATACGGCCCTTTGAGATATTCGATCTATGGATCTCTGACAACAATAGTCGCAAAAGGAACCCCAAGTGCAGTAATCACTCAGGTAAGAGAATAGAGAATTGTTTTCCCCCGAAGGCAGGAGACCAGCATATCCTACACTCTTCATGCCAGGCAGCATTATGATGCCTTGAAAAGGTAATTGCATATGTGGTTACGTGAAAGCGAAGAGATATCACAAGAGGAAACTGAAAGAAAGGCTGAATACCACAAAGGTGCGTTAATATAAAAGGACTCTCATTCACTCCAGATACACCACCATATCCGGCTAGAGAGGATGGATATACAGCAAGGCTGTTGTATATATCCTTTGCGTTGTAGACTGTAACACTATATCGAAAAAATGTACCAACCATGCGAGCAACGATTGTCGCAGCTGCACCAATGGAGACGAGGGGACTAATCAGATCAGGGTCTGCAAACCAGGCAACAAACATGCTCTGGTACTACCCATAAGCAGCTGATAAGAGGACATTCACACTCCTAAAGGCTACGGCTTGCGCTGTCCGATACGATCATCCCCTGGAGCGGGCGTGTCTTCCGGCAAACCGAACTCAGCTCAGTTGGCTGATACATATACATCGCGATTGGCACCATTAAACATACGCGGAAAAATTCGAGCTCAAAGGGTACGGTGGTGCTGGGTGTTATTCCTTGGGGTTTCGGTAGTCCATAGTATTTGGCCAGCACAGTGATCATTGCCCCCAATGCTAATGTCGTCACAAGCAAAGAGCAACGAAAACCCCTCATAGAGCCATGCAACTCTGTGCAAAGTAGCAGCCTACAGCTTTGCTAGACACGCTATGCTACTGGAAACTTTTGCGTTACTTGCAATCATGGGATTGTCTCCGCTCAATGACGACAAGAGCACTCCGAATGTCCGAGGCAGTCAGCGCTGGTGCTTCATTGAAAGTTGGAAAGCCTCGCAATACCTGCTCCATTGCTCCCGAGACCCCGTCCTTTGTGACATCACATCTGATCGTTCATATTGCAAAGTGGTTGGTAGGCCATCTGTATATGAGGTGGTTTCCCAAAAAAAAACAACCGACAGAACAAACCATCTACTGCCGATCACTCGTGCTTGCTCGAAATATTCCAATCCTCATATGTGTAACGAGGTACCATCATTGGAGTCGCCTAGAAACCGGCTAAGTCCCAAAGAGAATGAAGGATGGTAACGTGGAAGTAGAATATAGACGGAACCGGCCTTCTCATATCCAGAGTGATTACATCATAAAGGTACGATGGGGGCGCTGATTGGTTATATACGCGAACCACGACCGAACTAGCGTGTAACCGCAGACTCTCTTACTCGATTGCTGCCTTAGACTCCACAGATTCCTCCTATTCGCTGTCACTCCCAATTTCTTGATTTAAAATCTTAATTACTATTGTAACTTACTTTTGTGTATTATTCTACCCTCTGATTTTGAATTAGAGGTGCACTGCGCATGCAGCTGTAAAGATGATTTAGCGCGGGGCTGAAAATCCTTGACGAATTCTTCCATACAGTAGCTAAGACGACTTTTCGATCTCTCATGTTCGTCCTTCGCTTTAGAAGATTCTAGCACTGACTAAATCTCCCTGTGTATCGCCAGATGGACACTTACAAGGATGCCGATTCGAGAGCCCCTGCTCCCACCCCGAAGAGGGATGTGGACGGAACCATAAACGCCAAGCTCCCAAAGAAAAAAGCTATATTTGTCGTGGGAAGCTATAGCGACGATGATGGTGAAGAAGAAGAACTGAATTGTTTGTTGCTGCGAGGAAGCGAACTCAAGAAAAGGCTTGACGCGGAAGAAAACCCAGTCCATGCTGTCGAAAATGCACGGCGAGGGCCGAAGTCCTCGTTAGCTACTTTTTTGGTTGCATACTATGTCCATTCTTGTTTAGTGGTCCCCCCCTCCTGGCCGTCGTTGCACATGTTGCAATTACTCACGAACCGGCAACTTACAATCGCGGGTAGACGTATTCTGCTTGAAGTAAGATTTCGTGGAGGCAACGATTCCCATAATGAACTTTCGGAGAACCTCCTACAAGTATTTCCAGATGACACTTTCGTACAACTTCGGATGGAATGGTGGTCAGAATTCTACCGGCGAGTCGACACAGGAAGGATCGAATTTCGCGATGTATTGAGTCACTATGCTGATCTCTGGAGCCTACAAATGAACGGCTGTGGTTTCGGCGCAGCCTCAGAGCCCCCGTGTCCAAGAACAATTGGAGAATGCTACACAGAGCTGAAAAGCTTTTCCGGAAATACCAAAATTTCAGAAATAGAGTCATTACTTAAGCGGCTCCAAGAAGTCGAGGGCAAGACTCCACGATTAGAATGGGACTCGAAGCGAAAACACGAGACTGCGCGCAGCCTCCGCCGACGAATTCATGAAATCATGCGCGATTTTAGTGCTCAACAACGCATAGCGGGACGAAATACTACGTATGATCCGCAACAGAGTGCACCGTTCGAAAACTGGAGTCATGTCATCCAAAGGAATTCCCGAGCTCAGAACCGCCGAAGGGGCTCTGCACATATGATAGCGCCAAATACAAGCAGCGGCAATGTTTTTTTCACACCACAAACGCACAACTCCGGGGATACTTTCTTCACGGCTCACTCTCCTTATGTTGCATCCTATCAACAACTTGTAACGTAGGTACATCGCTTGCTTCCATCTTCACTCTAATAAAAAGTTGTGCAGTCCCCCAACACACTCCAACGAGCTCTCGCCCAGTGTGTCTTTTCATGGGCTGCTCAAATCTAAAGGGCTATGGCCCATCCACTACCTCAAAGAAAACGACTGGTCTGGGAGGGGCGAGCACGTCGAGTTCAATAAAAGCGAAAAGAAAGAGATACAAAAAATCCTACCGATTGAACAATTGCTTGGGACATCTAACTACGCTGTTGTGGAGAGCGTAAGATGCAAGAGAATCTATCTTGCCCGGAAAACAATCCGATGTGGCAAGCATTTCACCAAAGAACAAGCAATAGACGAAGTAGCCCACCTGCACAAAGTTCGACACTCTCATATTGTCCAGGTTGTTGGTACCTATTCAATCGGAAATTACCTTTCAATTCTTCTTTTCCCGGTCGCGGAATACAATTTGGAGACGTTCCTATCCGAATTTAATGACGACTGCTTGAAGCGTGATCGCCTACTGGATCCAGATCGACCAAATCTTTGGGCTGTTAGTGATTTCTTCGGGTGCCTTTCGAAGGCGGTAGAATATATTCATGATAATATGACAAAGCACATGGATATCAAACCAAAGAATATCCTGGTCCGTAATATGGCCGGAAAGTCAGCACCGCACAGGCTGCCTTGGAAGGTATACATAGCGGATTTCGGCATTGCACGCTCTTACTCCACTTTAGAAGCATCAGAGACGGAGGGACCAACAATGTTCACTAAAAGGTATGCCGCACCGGAAGTGGTAGCCCGTGAGAGGCGCGGTTTACCCGCTGACATATTCTCGCTGGGTTGCGTTTTCACTGAGATCGCTGTTGCACTTGTTCAAGCGGCATCGCAAGCATATCGCTCCAGGAAATCTAAAATCTCAGCAGTCGAACAACTTCAAGTGCATCTTGCATCTAACGAATATGGAGATGCATCCTACCAGGCAAACATTGACCTAGTGCGTGCTTTCCTCTTGGAAATGGACCTGGGGGGAACCTTGCAGTATCTCCAGCGTTCCCGAATTAAATTCGCTGACCAAGTCATCGCCAAAATGATTGACCCGGAGCCGGGAAATCGACCGTCTGCAAATTTTCTTTCTTCCTACTTTGGGGAGCCGGTCCTTTGCTGTTCTAGGGAATGTGGTTCGGATCCACTTGAATCAGCACCTCCAATGACCGATGTGGAATTTTCGGAGCAGCTTTTGGATCGAAGCCTTCAACATATCCAAAGAGATGCCCAAATCGCGAATGACTTGTATGACTCCAGTATGCCGTCGACTTAGATTCTGAGATTTTAGGAATGGCTTCTCGAGACAACTCGGCATTGGATCATATCCTCCTATTGTACATGAGTGTACGAACCATTAATAGGAATTTACATATACCCAGCGATTTCTGGCTAGTTACACGGTTCCATTTTCAGTCATACAAACGACGACTCTCTATTCCCATCATGCCGATAAACTCACCTTCTCGCGTCGCTTTACAATAGCCCCGTTCTTACTTTTGGGCTATACCCCGCCAGTACTCCCTGTCGTCCTAATCCGAGATAGCAGCTTACCCTATCGCTTCAACTCTCATAGACTTCATCCTTTAAGCTCAACGAGAAGTTCTCCTGCTACCTCATCCATTTTCTCACAAAGAATACCAAAATTGCAGGGCTCTCGGATACTGTAACCTCATTAGCCCCTGTCACATGTCATAACATCGTCTCAAAAACCATGCACGTTCCCACCGATCTAGCAGCGACAACTGTGTCGACCGAGTCGTAGGGATCGTCTGAGGCTTAATCTCGCTCATGGCATGACTAATGTATCACCATTTTAGAAGTCACATCTTCGAGGAAATACGTCTTCGAGGAAGTACGTCAAGTTCATCCCGACAGCCACGCCTCGAATTGGCGGCTGGATGGTGATCTGATCCATATGGATATGCATCGCCGTAATCCCGGGCTGTGCAATATTTGCGGTGTACGAGGACAGAATCGTGTCATCGTCTAGGAAATTCGGGACGAAATGGTAAATCGTTTGTTATCGAGGAGATTGATGAACTGTTGTCCCTTATTAAGCAGACACTACACTCGCCGATTTAGGCTCGCCTCCCCGCTATCGAAGAACCCGATTCCAGCATCGGCTCCCCCTTCGCTTAGTCTAAGAGACACTGCCGAAGCCTTACACTTCCTCTCGTGTTAACGCATTCTTGGCAAGTCAGTGACCCAATCTATCTACATCAGCCTTGCCCTGCGCAATACCTTCTGTGGATTTTGGTAGTTTTGATAATTCGAGGCGGTCTAGTTTCGGATGAACGGTGTTGAAGGGTGCGAGGGCATCGACAAGATTCCACCCAATTTGCGTCAGACCTGAAATCATATGTCCTCCAGTTCAATGCAAATCATGCATCCAAGATCCCGTCCACGAACCTCTTCACCATATTCGGCGTGATTAAAACGAATGCATCAAGCGCGGACTTGCCCTCTTCTTTCGGGAGCTCGGCCATAGCCACAGGGCCTTAGCGCGCATCGATCTGAAGTTCGGCATGGCTGGGTCCAAGATTTAAAACCAGGATGGGGTTAACGAGCTCCATCTGGGAGAATTTGTAGCGGATGAGCATGGTGGCACCGTCATATCCGGACTTTGGGGTCGACTGGAGTAATTTGCTTCTGTCGATATGTTTGTTCAGACTTGCCGAAGATTTTGATTGGGGCTGTAGAAGTTGCTATGGTTGTTTAGGTCGCTATCTTAGCCAGTAGGTGAGCAATCTGATCAAATGGAAAGTGTCAAAGTCCTTGACCGCCTTTGGCGCTATGTGTTGACACCGGAAAGTTAAAATTGTAGGCTCGGGTGGTATTTCGTTTCCACGGAAGGGATCAGCGATTGTTCTTTTATAGAAACCGCTTACTTGCATTTTATCACTTTGGAAAACTCGAAAAGGCATCCCTCATCTAGCGGTAATCGGGGGCGAGAAGCCTTTGTGATTCCTATGCAATCGGTATCTTGGCCACGAAGCGATTCAGCGCTGCAGTGTGTCCAACCGTTAGTACACCTAATAGTACAGTACTGCAGTACACTGATTTTGGTCACGTACGTACGTACAGGGCATCTACTCAGTATACTGTACTATACATGAGGCTGCTGTACTAACCGTTTACAGTAGTTATATAGGATTTTTGGTGGTTTTAGGCAGTTGAAGGCAGGTTGCTGAGGGCCAGGGGGCTCGTGTTCGGAGATTAATGCGGAGAATGCCGTTATTGCCTGTTTTGTTAGCAATCTTCTAACAAATTCAGCAACTATGCCATCTACGTTATTCTTTTGCCCATTATAATGTCCCAATTCCTATCCCAATCAACAACGCGGTCAACAATAGAGGCTCTTCAACTGCAGAAGAATTAGTTACATAACAACACTGTTACTAGTAAGCTGACTGAGCTTACAGAGTACATTAAAACAGTAAGATCAACAACAGTAGATCTCACAAGGGGTATCACAACTTCCTAATTAGGTATAGTCTTTAGCTTCAGCGCAATTACTTCATAATACTTCAATATACTTCAGTTACTGTATCCTAACCGTACACTGACGTCATCTCCTCCGTACAGTTAGTTAGTAACAGCCTCCTCTTCCGTAACTGTACTATACAGCCTCCAAAAGGCTCCGTAACTAACGGTTGGACACACTGTCAGCGCTTCATCCAGAGTAGGGGTGAGCTGCCTTCATCTCAGTGGACAACGTGCCCTCCAAGAAACGATCGAATATCTTGGTCGCAATAGTGTCCACCGAGTGCCCAATCTGGCCTGGGGAATCACGGGGTGTATCCAGGGTTCCATCATGTACGCGGAGAATTAACCAGTAGAGACGTTTACCGTGGTTTGTCTACAGCTTATGAGAACGGCAGTAGAGTCTTCACTTAGATGGTCATAGTCCCTTTTCATGAATGCCTAGGACATTAACTTCCGCGTCCAGCATATACTATAGTGGAGTGGACTTGGTTACTAGGATGATGAGCAAGTTCAGGCTAAGAGGTTGAAGGACAAAGAGGGTTAATTTAGGTATATGAGGCGCTCAGGAATACTAGCTTTGCACCAAGGCATATAAAGTTCCAGTATGGAAATTGCCCTATGGACTCCCAACTACAGCCAATGAAGTTGACTTAGGTATCAGCAGCGTTAGCAACACCAGCACCGTACGTAAACGCTTAGATCAAATCTTCCATACGATGCAAATCCGAGTTCTTTGTCCACCTCCTAATATTCTTCCCGACACCATAATATAGCGGGAATGCAAAGAGCGCCGGCCCAACAGTACAAGCAAAGATGACCATAGCCGGTGTAATCCAACCCTCCTTGCTCTGATGTGCAAGGTCGAAAACCCAGTAGGAATAGCTAAAAGCAATGAAGTTTTTGCAAACAGTCGCGACAACCATGATCTCTCCAGAAATCGGCTTGTAGCAATCGATGGCATATGCAATAGCGATGGTTGGGACTGTGGTTACGGATAAGCCGGCGAAACCATATCCGAAGACGATGGTGAGACCCCAGTGCCATTGGTATTGGTATGCACAGCCACCAAGGATGAGAGCAAGCATTGTGATACCCATGTAGAACCACAGAGCGGGCAAGCGCATCTCGGCCTCGCGGATGTTGTTGTTTTTACGCGTAGCACGGGCAGCGACCCAATCAGAGTATGGCCCAGCCGTAGCAAGGCCGATGAGAGCACCGACGACAAACGCAAAATTGGTGTAACCAACTTGCTCGGGGTTGAAGAGATATGGTGGAGCTCCAAGTACGACAGACTCGGTGATGTTGAAGAAGAGAACCAGGTCAGCGGGACCTGCAAGCATGAGTCCAGCCCAGAAGATGATGGGGTTGAAGAAGACTTTGACGGGTGTCCATGTATCGCGGATGACGAACATCTTCCAGCGCGAATCTGGTTTCTGGAACGGCATGAACTGCTGAAATGAAGGTCGACCCTTACCCACTGGTGGAGGGGCAAGGGAACTATTCTCCGAGTCCGGCGGGACGGTGGAATGGGCAGTTTTCTCGGCTTCTCCTTCCTTAACGGTCGTCACGACACCAGTTTCGCTGAGTGATGCGGAAGGAGAGATACTTTTGCCGACGGTGCCACGATGATACTTGGTCTCGGGGAAAGTGAGCGCAATCAAGAAGATAGCGAATGCGGCAAGGCCGGTTTCAAGCCAGAAAAAGGACCGCCAACCGTGATGTGTACCGATAGCTCCGCTCATAACGGGACCGAGGAAGGCCCCAAGGAAATAACCAGTGCTAAAGTTGTAAGCAAGAAGGGATACAGATGAAAGGAAAGTACGGCTTACAAGTACACCCCCGTCCACAATCCGCGCTCATGAAGGAAGAAGACATCAGCGATCATCTGAACTGGGATCGACTCGCTGGTCGCACACACAAGGCCATTGAGAGCTCGTGCAGCGAGAAGACTCCGATGTGAAGTCGCCAATGCCTCCCAGATGCAGGTCAACATGATGAAGACCGAGAAGACGAGACTGACAGCTCGACGCCCGAAGATGTTGCTCAGAGGAACAATGAAGAAGTTGGCAAAGCCGAGTGTGATGACCGTGATTCCGGTAAGAAGAGAGAGCTGGGAATTGTTGAGACGAAACTCCTGACCAAGGAGTGGGAACATTGGGGCAATAGAGAGCGCGCCAGTGACGGATATCCAGGTAAAAAGCCATTGGCTAGTCATTGCCATGACTACAAGTCTCAGTATCCTTTGAATTGCTCAGAGGACAGGAACATACGCTTCCACATCGTGGACCAGTTGAGGGGATCTCGAGGATCAGTTGAAGGGTGCGGAATGAGCGCCTTCTTCGCCCTCCCAGTCTCTGTCATAACCTCGGTGCCAGGCACCAGGTCGATTCCCTCCATCGTCTTCGCCATGTTGATGGGATAGATGAACTACAGAGCAGTTACGGTAGGGGCCTAGGAAGAAAATTTAATAAGTAGAACGCCGCGAATTAGGCCCGACAGAGAGCAAGAGTGAAGGAACCTGCCTACTTCATATATCTGTATCGCCCGGACATCTCTTAATATAAATGTACTTTGGCAAAGCAATCCATTTTCGGGGAAGCTCCGTGCCTCCCCCAAGGAGTCCGTCAGCATCGGAAAATGTACGGCCTAGTTCCACGTTCCTATGTGGTGAAACGAAAATACGAAATGTGAGTCAGCACCTAAAACACTGGTCGTGCAGCTGGCTCTATTCCAAGTTCTCGAATCCATCCAAATACGATTTCACCACTGCGTACTGTGGCGACCTGAGCGTCGGACCGTCAAACCTGAACCGTGATCCGCACATACAGCTAAACAGTGAACACAACGAAGGAAAATTCAGATTTCGGCGTTGTCATTTCGGGTGGAATCTACTGCGTGGATTGGCTGCATTATCTTGCATATACCAGAATTAGGCGGATCATGGCAAAGTTGATTTGTTAAAGCGGTAAGCACAGTCAGCTTCGAAAGGGTTGAATTCTCCAGGCCAGTAATAATCAGAGCTCGAAGGTCCGCAAAGATTACCACCACTAGCTACGCGACACGATCTAGCGCTGTCGTGCTGGGAGAACTTTCCTGAATATGTTGATGATGAGAGCGTAGATTGTTTCTAGAGACGAGGTTTAGGGCCATCAGCACTAACTCGTCGGAGAACAACATGACTGCTTCTGCTCGCGTCAAACAAGATGTTGCCCAGATTGATTAATCTGTCTTTTCCTGAAGATATAGATGATTGGGGTGAAGTTAGTCTCCACCTCGACCCCTGATTCCTCACCTCTTTGAATCCTTCCACCTTGGAGGTAATTCCGACAGACTGGAGAGCCAGACCTTGAAGAGCAACGCTTGGTGTACCACGGGCCAGAGGTGGAGATCCAGCGGCGCCCCACGGGCATCATTTCGGACAATGCGGGGAGGCGCCGTCAGCGATCGACGACACTAAATTAAGCTTATCGCGACGCCTTTTCTCTTTTTGATTGGCTTATCTACTCTTTGTGATACTAAGAAGCTGATGCTTGAAGCGCAGGAGGTTCAGATTGCTGGAGGATGCCGTCAGACACTGCACCTACAGAGCGTCTGACACACTGGGAGATGCCGTGCAGACGTGGTTGTTGATGCGTGATGCTGATGCTTTTGACGATGCCGACGTGTACAAATTTTTTTTGAAGGATGATTAGACATACCGGTGACTTGCGCACGTAAATTCCTGATATGATTCTTGCTTCTAGCGCATTTCAGCAGCTCATGATCGAATCCCCGAATTGAATGCTTATTAACCCAGATAAAAATGTTTTCATAGGTATAGCACCTCACAACCTGAGGGGCCCCAATAATAGACGTGGGGGAGTGGCTTCTCGGCATGATCAGAGACGATGATGATGGGTAAAATATCGGAGAACAGAGCTTCGCCGCGAGGTGAATGGACAATCGATAAGGGCTGCCTCAACAAGCCTCGGCTCGCCTATTTCATCCCGACCAGGCAAACTGCTCAAGTGCCGAGGTAGTTTGAGAGCCACGTGCGCTTTCTACCCTACGCACGTGACTCTTAGACTTTAAGGCTTTGCTGACTACCACCTCACTGCTTTATTTTTAGTGGGAGTGCCCCCAATCGTGCTGCCGGGACCATGAATATCAAGGTGTATGAACCAGGTTTGATCAAACCTTCCATGGTCCCTTCCTCGACTACCACAGAGGCGGCATGAAAGAGAATTGCGACGGTCCATTCTTGAAGAACTTGGTGCAAATGGGAGTTGGATACATGCTAAATTTCCCACCGCAGCCATTCTAGGGAGCTCCAGTGTTGTTGCATCGGTATGAAGAGCAGGGACGGAAGGACCTTGAATTGGAATCATACGGTACGCTGCATTCGTTACATCGCGATTTCTTGAAAAACGTTTAGCTGATGCTTCTTTGACGCCCTTTTCGTGAATCGATCGAATTAACTCTCGACATCTCGCCAATTTCTCGCATGTGCGTCTTGGCAATTGTCTTCAGCCCCCGTATTCCAACCCCACCGGTTCCACACTACCAGTACCAGTTCAAACAAGCTTTCATTAGTCTCCGCCTCGTCTCCATCTGCTCAACGTGTCCTCTCTGCCTGGATCTCTCTATATAGGCTCTCTACAAACATCCTAGTTCTCCTCTCATGCACTGCTTTCGACCCCACTTCGTGTTTGGATTGACATATCCCTCATTATGGAGCCTAACAAAACAATGCGGGCGTGGACCCATACCCGTGCCGGGATGCCTTCAGATGTTCTGACATTATCTCAGCTGCCTATTCCAGTTATTTCCTCTCCTACGCAAGTTCTCATTCGCGTGTTATACTGCGCTCTAAACCCGGGTGGTAGTATCATCATGCAACTCCTTCCATTCCTTTTCCGCTCTTCACCTGCAGTACCCGAAATGGACTTCTCAGGTATTGTCGTGCAAGTCGGTGCGAAGGTACCCAGCGATCGACATCTCCAAATCGGCGATGAAGTTTTCGGTTCCATCCCAGTTCCTCAGCACGTTAAATCCACCTGCGGGGCTTTGTCTGAGTATGTGGTGGTCGAATCCTCCTCTGTGGTCCCTAAACCTCCTGGAGCTCTGATTCAAGACGTTTCCGGTCTTGGTGTGGCTGGAGCAACCGCCCTGCAAGTCATGAAACAAGCCAAGCTAAAGAAGGGCGATAGTGTGTTGGTAAATGGTGCGAGCGGAGGGATCGGGCATATGCTTGTGCAAATGTGCAGGGCAGAGGTAGGAGAGACTGGAAAGATAGTTGCCGTCTGCTCGAAGAAGAACGTAAATTGGGTGAAAGAGTTGGGGTGCGATGAGGTATGTTCCCCCGGCCATGAAAGCGTGTGAACTCACTGGCACAGGTCATCGATTATGAACTGCATGCTCCAGTCTATGCATACCTGGCAAAATCCTACTCAGCATCGCGCTTCAATGTTGTTATCGATGCAGCTGGAGTTCAAGACTTATTTCTTAACTGCCCAGCTTTTCTCGCAGAGGGAAAGCCGTTTGTCACTGTTGGCCCTCGTCTTCCCGGCTACACATATCTCAGCATGCTCAGAGTCATTGGTACAATGGCGAAGAATTTCTTATGGCCCACCATTCTTGGAGGGGTCCCGAGGTCTTACGTTCAGGTTACGGCGACTGCTAATCTCGAGGCCATGGAAGAGCTAGCGAAGATGGTGGAAAGGAGAGAGTTAAGAATCGTGGTGACCTCGTGCGCGGAGATGGAGGATGCAAAGCAGGTACGCTGTCTACGCTCTTGTTGTTGTTTGAGGCTAACAAAAGGACCAGGCATATGATCGCATGCTTTCTGGTTCGAAGGGAAAGGTAGTAGTGAGAATTCAGAACCCGTAAGGCGGGATACAGGAGATTTGCATTGTTTTAGACTACCATCGTTTTGGGTCGAAGATTATGAGTACGATTGATGTTATCTTTCTCTCCCCAATTTTCTCCTATATCTACGAATTAATTACTGATCCGATATTCGTTAGCCTACTTCCGCATCAGTCCTAATTCTCAGTCACCCGCTCTGTTGCCCCTTTGAGAAGACTTATCTTCTCCTAGAGTGGCTTCTACAAATGCTAATTTAGAGGGCATACTGTACCCATTTTTGTTTGCTATTGATAATAAAAAGCGGTGAAAATTCTCACTCCCAAAATATTTCGCTTTCGTAATTGATATATACGACGACTCGAATTGATATCCCACCACCTCAACACCTTAAATAAATGGTAGGGTGGGTGAAGGAGCCAGGTGAAGGCAATCTCTAGAAATAGAGCGCGCTTCAAAAGGGCCGTATACTCTCGCTTCTTTTCTCCAAAACGCCACTCCTCCAATAATCTCGGCTGACCAAGATCGCCTTATTTCAGTATCACCGTCCATCATGGACCCAGGCCTCTCATTCTGCTCTGCGGCGTTAGTACCACAGCCATAGCTATTCCTAGTGAAACCACGGCCTTGGATGACACTCATATGAGAGAGAGCCTTCATTATTTGGCCGTGTATCTGTGCTCTCTTTACTCAAGCTGTGTCTTCTCCCGTGCGACATCATCGAGGTCAACAAGGCAGAATGCTAGTCTATTATTAAATGCAAGAACGCCATTGGACACCTCCTCTCCTTTAGCAATCTGTGCTGATTGATTCATAAGAATCTCCCCGAAAGCTAAACCCATCCGCCTGCCAGATGGTCCGTGGGTTATGTAGACCTAGGTGCTGGGCAGGACTCTTGAAGGGCACACAGGTATTGTCTCCGAAAAGTTATTCATTCTGTGAGGCCATGACCTTCATCTATCTAAGGGTGTATTCCCATTGTAGACGCGCTTTCGAACGTGCTAGATATTGTTAAATCTCTACTAACTATGTATGAAAGAGGCACCCAGAACACTTCATTTCCTATCACATAGTCAGTATCATGGACTGCCTTTGGTTCTTCAAGAGGCTGGAGGGACAGCCGTGTTCTGGCTAGTCTCCTTGCGCTGAATCCAGCCGAAGCGAGGAGACCCATTGTTCATATCGAAGATCTAATAAATGTAAGAACACATGTTGCTTTACTGAAAAAAATGTTCAGGGAGAGACTTACCGCATAAATTGCTTTCAAAACAGCGTCGCCATAAATATCCATGTTCATCGAGCCGCGCGACTGAATACTGCCATACACCATATTATTTCCAGCATCAGCGAATCCAAGATCTTCCTTCTGAAACGCAACCTGATTATCGCCGATGGCGAGCGTGATTTCCGGCAATTGGTCGGCGGTGGTGTTAGATGGGAAGACGTAACCCTGGTTGTTCTGGTCATACTTCGCGCCGGGAATCGCAGCATACACCGCTTCTACTAGAGTATCATCGACAAGACAGAGAGTCGTACCCGTGTCCATGATAGATGTGTTCCCGCTTCGATCGATGGTCTTACCAGCGACTACGGCTCTTGTGGACTGGACTTGCCAGAATCCCTGACTGTTGTCGACATCTGCGTAATTAGGCTCCGTAGCGCCGGCGGCAGTCATCGTATCCTGGTCAATGTATCCGAATGTGTAGAAGCTCTGCATTTTATTAATTTATGTCCAGTCTCCGGACCATGTTCTGCAACACTCACCTCTCCCTTGTCCGGCTCGTCGGTATCGCGCCAGCTGCCGAGATACGCAGTGAAGAGCTGCTGAGTGATGTCCTTTTGGTCAATCATATTGTCCACGGGAGTCTTCTGTGGGGTGGGTGAGACGGTGTTGATTGAGCTGAATGCTAGACCAAGGAGACCGCTTCCATTGCCCTGTACAAATTGCTGGGAGAGTTCCTTTGCAAGCTCAATGGCCTGGCCCTCAACCTTGAGCCCTCCGAGGTCGATAGTGTCAGTTCCAACATCTCCGCTAGCGAACGACGAATCGCCGTAGGAGATCTTCCATGTCGCGCCACCCAACTCCTTGAAGGTGCTTGACTTAGATGCGTCGAATGGAACTTGCTGGTTCTTTGCGTTGGCTTGACTTAAAATAGTCTGCGGCAACTCGGTTGACCAGACCTTGCAAAATATTAGTTAGCCCTTCACAAGAGCCAGCAGTTGAGAGACATACCCAAAGATCTGATGAACCAGTGTCAAAGTCGAGGTACAGTTTCTGCTCAGGGGTACCAATCCCGACTGGGCAGAGGTACAGAGAATCATTCTGAATGTCCTCTGCCGTTACCTCACCACTCTGGGCATCGGATGGTACTGCAGTGGAACCCCCGTCAGTCGCATCAGAGGCCGTATGAACTTGCGCATCTGAATCATCTATGCGCTTTCTCAATGCGTAGTGAGTTCTCACGCGGCCGCCGACTCTACCAAACTTTCCTTGCTGGCTGAAGACTTTGGCTTGGAAGTAAGGCCCTGGTTTGGTGGAGTTGAAGCCATCTGCGAATCGTTAAATATTGAACTCTGCTAGCCGAAGGTGTAACTGGCGAATGTACATTTGCTCATCGCCCAGACATAGGACTTCATGCCATTGTGCTTATACTTGGGACTTCGGTGGATGGCAACGCGTTGAAATGGCGCCATAGTTGCAGTAAGAGGAAAATGTAAGTTTGTTAGGGGTTTTAAGAGTCGATAGTAAGTCGTCTGTTGTTGGGGCGGCAAATACGTGTAGTTGTTATTTTCTATAAGAAAGCAGAAGTCCAGAGGTAGTGTTAAAGGAAGAGAATATCAAGAAAGTTGGCGCACTTATACTGACTCTTCGACGAAGAGCTTTAATTTTGCGTCACAGAAGGTAGGTCCCCTGACACGGCCATTCTTGTCTTTGTCTCTGTCGCAGTGTTATGCCGTGCCTATGCCGCGCACGTACAGTGGGGCGAAGGGGAAAGGCTCAGCTTGAATTAGACTTGAAATAAGAACCCAGGAGGGATACGTCGTGGAGCAAGGATACCAAGCTCCACCAAGCTCCACCAAGCTTTGGGGATTAGCAAATCAATGAAAGGACACCGATCGCGATGCCTTAGTCTACCTGAAAGGTGAAGTGGCTGTCCTAGTGGCGGAACATCTAGGCGACCCTTTTCAGTGTAGTCTACGGCATGTATTGCGGTTCGGCACGTAGTTACAGCCAAACTGAAGCTGCCACGATAGCAGCGAGCTATGTTGTTTGACAGATGTGACGTCGATGTGGCAAGCTTTTTGATCGATGAATCGCTAGTAGAAAAGGGGGTGGCAATAATGATCATGGTGGCAATAGGCCACGAGGTCAACCCTCAAGCTTTTAGATCTGCTTTATTGCGCAGGCCATGACTAGGGGCGTAAGATGGTGTATCCATGTTTTGGCTCCGTCGGCTGCTTCAGAGATGGCCTGCAAATATAAAGAGGAAGTGGTGACGTCATGTTCCGCGCGGCCGATCCGGGGTTCAGGGTACTTGTTAGCACGAGTATGTCAGAGCCGTGAAGAATTACTATATTAAACCCCCGAACCTTTCTTCAATCGAAGTGCATAATCGTATGGTTCATGCGTGAGAGAAGAAGAACAAACCCTTAGAAGCCTCGTAACCTGAGGCGAGGGGTTTCATTGCTAACCCTAATTTGGTATAACAAGGTAATAAGTAAGGTTATGGAATCACCTCTCCTAGCCAAACGTTGCATTTACAGATCCCGAAGACGTGGTTCCAAAGAGAACCCGTGATATTATTGGAAGAGGAATAGTATCATATTAAGATACTCGCCCAGGCAGATCATGCAGGTAGTTGCTCTAGAACACGTGATACTTGCAGTCAAAGTGAGTGCAAATTCCAGAGCGACACCCCCTCTTCTTCTTCCAATGACACCCATCGACCCCATTCATCCGCCTCAGGCTCAGAAATAACAAATATGCAACCTCCAGATGCGAACATGGAGGGTACACACACACTTCAACTATTTGGGGTAGGTGCCTCGGCAGCCCCCATGCTACGTCATTAACAGGTGGCTGAAAGCCAGATCTCAACCACAATCATGGCGTTCTCAAACAATTCCACCATCCTTTGCTATGACCTCTTAACCACTCTCTCCGTGCAACCCCCTTAACAACCCTTAAGCTTTTGTGTCCTTCTCTTCGACGAGGACTATGAACGTCAAGAATGGCAACGACCCACCACGCATCCCACAGCGGAAGCCGGTCGCAAAAACAACAACCTCCATTATACTTCCTCTAACTCCCAACGTCTTCATCGCCACCGTCCTCCTTGGGGCTGCCTTCTCTCGTCTAGTTTTTCGTTGGATTGTCTCTGGAGCGCCGCTACTGGCCTACTCGATCCTCCTTGGTGAATCGAACGGGTATCGCATCTTACCCTATATTCCCAAGTGGACCATATTTTCAACGTTAAACCTTGTATATGCCGTGGCGGCGACATCGTGGCTACTTTACTGGGTTTTCGCTGCTTTCTGCTACCCTTCCATCCTGCTCTCATGTCTTTTCCAATTCGATGCCGCTGCAGGTCTTGCTCGCTGGATGTTCAGGACGTTTCTAATCGATTTGCATTTCATCAATGACAAGATTGCATTCTTCGATCTCCCTGCGTTGGAGATCGACACGGAGGTGGATGGTCTCATGGTTATTCGAGGAGCTACGTTCTCCTTCACAACGCTTACCTTGACCGCACATGGTGTTGAAGCTGGCATTAAGCTGTCTGATGATATGGAACTTGCAATTCAAGTGGAAAAGGTTACCGTGTCTCTTTTCAGGAGAATCGAGCTCGACCACGTCTTCACCAATATCAAAGGCGGCGAATTCGAGATGACATTTGGTACCCTCGCGCCCGATACCCAAGATAGGACCGGCGACCCACTCATGGTGAGCGACACACCTATACTCATAGCAGCGTCGGCCGCATTAGATGGGACTATACCCTGTCCGACCAGAATGAAGACAGCGATGGCGGCTGGAAAACCGCCGAAGGACTCCTCGAATGTACGATCAGCTTTCGAATTGACGAGGACGATCTCACCAGATGAAGAGAATGCGAGTGCGAAGTACAAAGAAATCCTCGGTGAAATATTTGAGACTAGCACAGTGGAAATTGCAAGGGCCGCCTTGAAAAATAGTTGCCAAGACGATGAAAGCGGCACTAAATTAGATTTTGAGAATGCCAACGACATGCGTGCAGCCATTTGCGCTGAGATCCACGACCAACCGTCAATACCTCATCCGCCTTCGAAATCAGTTCGTGTCTCCACACTCGCGAAATCACCTCCATGGGTTAAGACATTTCTGCACCGACTTCCACTGCTGCTCCGCGTGCTACTCAACCCTCATAGTTACTTCCACCCCATTAGAATCAAGTCTATCACCAGTGCGGGGTCCGGGAAATGGATGGTTCACCTTATGCAGACTCACTTCTTTAGACATTACGTGACCCAAGATGCTGAGATCCGTCGATTAGAGTCTCGCATCTCTTCCTGGCTGGCGGACGCCAATTTCACCGTAGAGCTCGGGAAGATCGATTGTACGGCACACGTTCCGATCAACACTTCATTCGACATCGAAACCCATCTTAAGGTTGGCGACTTTATGGCTTATCGTACCCTGCCAGAAGCAGTCAACCTCACGCAAGTGATCTCCCTCGGCGGCCTTGACGCAACTGTGTCCATTCCGTCGTATCTTCTTCCGCACCATGAGCATATACTTCCCGAAAAACCGACCGAGTTTCAAGAGATGGAGCTAGAGCAGGCCATTAGGGACGCCGAGGGAGCCCCGAACATTGTGAAAGCTGAAGCCGCATTAGAACAACTCCACAAAGACGAAGCAAACATCAGGTTGTCTGCACACGCTCATCTCCCAGCATGCTTCCACCAGGACCTACTTAACTTTGTCGCTGCGACCGTCAAAGCCACCAAGGTCATCGAAATGGATCGCGGCTTCGAAGAAGTTAAATCCCTTCGCGAACTCAAACGCACAGGTACAAACACATCAGTCAGCAGCGAGGCCAGCAGTCTCATGTCCATCGATGGGTCCGACCAAGACCAAGAGAAGAAAAGCTTCAAGTCATTCATGCGCAAGATGGACCAAGGTATGAAGGACGCCGGGGTTAATATGAAGGATGGAATGCGCAAGGCTGGTGTGAATACAGTGAATGCCATGGCAAATGATCGATGGATCGCGAAGCTTGTGGGGAAGATAACGAGGAAGCTAGAGAAGGCGCAAGGTGATGTCGGATACTCTGGTAATCTTCCTGTTAAGCTGGAGTGGTATCGGGCGAGAGCGGAGCCGGATTCGAAACTTCTGCCGTAGAGGGATTAGCGTCCCAGAGTGGGAACATGAGGTTGCGAGGAGAACGCGGAAGTTGAGGCTTGCATGGACTATGATACCCATTTTAGGTTTCTTGATTCAATGTATTGATCTTCTTGAGTTAGTTCCCGGTTACCCGTCCGTGCCATACCGAAAGGCTGAGGCATCTAGATCGTCTTGCTGAAGAGAGCCCTTCGATTCCTACCCAATATCCCCTCCTTTCCTTTGTCCACCAAAAAAAGCCTGTTCTCAATCGCTCTCGTAGAAGCCTCATAGGCTGTAGACGCATGAAGGTGGTCGAGAGCACAGTCAACTTCGGTGATGGCTCTATCGGGTAGGGTGGTGGAGTAGTAGCATATAATGAAAAGCGCTCTGGGTATATGTGGGTCAGGGAAGAGCGATATTCGTTGAGTAGTCAACCCAGGGCGTTAGGTCTTGCTTGATCGCCCGCGAAAACAGATATCGACGTGGGCAATGGTTGATCGAGGAATGGGCAAGGTTGTTCCATTGCTAATCGAGTCCCCTAGCATGACTTCTGCATCAACTAATCTTACTCGTATGAAACCTCAATGATACATCACTCCTCGAGCGTAGTCGGACCCGGTCGAAGACTCCAGTCTCCAGGCTAGAGGTCGATACGATGGAGTAGAAATTCACGAACGAGGCCGAAGTGTACAACCTCAATTACGCATCCTTGGAGAGATACTGTTACGAAGTCGTAGTACGTAGCACTTAACTACGGAGAGTCTTATGCGGGGGGCGAGTCTCCTAGACTGCTAGGTGGAACTCTGGTTTGTCCTTTCTGGCATTGAAATCTGAAAACATCCAGTCCTACGTCAGTTCCAAGATTATTCCGATAATTTAGGAGACCCGTATCCGGTATTTAGGGGGAAATGAGACGGGAAGTGATCTGGCTGTGTTGGTTCAAGCAGCACATCTTCTCACGGAAGTTATGGACACTATTGGCGACATTGTTTAGCCCCTGTCGTCTTGGAATTTTCACCATTTATGGACATAGAGAGACGCCATTATCTTCAACTTGAACCAGGCGAACTATCACAATACACTAGATGTACAGAGTCACGGTTTCCCCTTTGCCTTGGGCATCGCCAAACGAGAGCACTCTCTGAAACGAGAAAGCCATCAGTGGCCTCACCACCACGAGACAATCAACCAGTAGCAAGCTTTTGCAAACTCGAAAACGCTCCGTTGAAGCTGTCCGAATCTCCGCCATAAGTATACCTATCTTCGGTCAGTACGTACCATCGCCATGTTGGAAAATAGAACGCATAGTTCTGACTTACGCATCGTTGAATTGCCAAATGGTTTGATATGGCCAGCCACCCGGAATGGTCCCAACACTGCTGCTATACCTCGCTAACACCAAAGGACTGTTCCCCGAGAACGCCTTCGAGTTCCCCGTACAAGTAACCCACCAGTCATTCGTAGTGTAGATCATCGGCCAGCGGCTAGTTAAGGCATGGTATTCGTTTACGAAGCTGGTGATCCAAGACACCATGGCCGAGGTACCTAGCCCGTAGCACGTACTGGTTGCTCCGTACTCGATGTCAAGCATTCCTGGTAGCGTGATACCGTCGCCGGACCAGCCACCGCCATGTGCGACAAAGTACTGGGCTTGAGCGCTGCCACTGCTGCTTGCAGGCTGCGCGAAATGGTACGCACCGCGAATGAGACCCGCGGAAGTAGCACCATTGTAATTCTTTGAGAAGTTGGGATCTTGGTACGTCGTGCCTTCAGTTGCCTGTCATGTTGTGAGCGGTAATCCGCTCAATGGAGGTGCTACAGATGGGAGACTATACGTCGCACCGAGCACAACGGAGGTGAATTACCTTAATAATCACAAATCTAGCACCAGAGGAGTAGGCACTTTTGAAATCGACTGTGCCCTGATAGTGTGAGATATCAAAGCCAGGGACTGCAGCGTGGCAGAAGTTGGTTGCTAATGCAAGAAGGGCAACTAAATACTTCATGATTGTCAGGTAGGAACTTATCATACGTAGAAGCTTGAGGGTGAGAGTATCGATTTCATTCTGTGATTTCATGAAAGTATTTATGTTCAACTCTTGCCGGAGCAGTCCACCCAATTATCTCCTTTCGAATGTCACCGGCCTCCAAGATACGAGATAGTCATTACACCAACAGGCCAAATACGGATGTTTGCGTTTCGTGGCTAAGATTTGCTCCACGTGTTTACGGGCCGATCCACATTTCATTGTTTCATGCCCGGCGACCTTCCGCCTTGGTCACCGGCCGGTTCGGGCCTTGTGCGCGTTCGCATTCCGATGCGAAGACGATCCTTGCGGCGAAAGGCAGGTGGCTCGGTATCCCGGAGGGTTGAATGCATCTCACAACGAACACGAAAGACTTCATCCAACCAAGGATCTTCTCCTTCAACGAGGTCGCCTCTGGAGGGGAACTAGAGCCCGGAATCGTTATCTCGAAGGAATTCGTCCAATTACCGATTTACTTCGTCCCTCCCCTCAGGCTCCATCCAGTAGTCACGCCCCGCTCTCTTTATCATAGACCCTTTTCTGGACAACTGTATCATTTCCTTGACCAACTCCAGCATGTACAACTCGCTGACTTCTTAATGTGGTCAGACCATCGAGGCCATCCTGTGTTTCTTCCCCTACTCTCAACTAATTTCCAAACCGTGCCGTATACCAATTCTTGCGGCGCAAAATCCTGTACTCTCTTTACCGAGATTAAAAATATCCTATACATGTCCATTTACTCCTCGGTGATGAATGATGGTAATGTTACCTTCCTGTCCGCAAGAAACCATGCTTCAAGTTTGTCTGAGTGGCATAATTGCGGTGCGGTGTCTGATTCAGTGCCGTAAATAACGGAGAGGGACTTGAAGGCTGGTTCACGAGCTCTGAAGAGGAGTCCAGGTTGAAGAAGCGTATGTATGCGAAATTTTCGAATCCCAGGGTTCCCGTCAACACTTTCGCCGCAGAGATATCCAACGGCTTCCCTGGCGGGAAGAATTCCATCAACAGGAACCTCTCAGCCAGGACGCTTGTAGGATGGTAGTTGATGAGTTGTGAGAGGAACAGATCTTCAAAATCATGGCCTACGGCGCAGTTTCTCTTCTTTTAAGCTCTCGTAATCCAAAGGCGCGATGGTGCCTGCCGGTATGGATTTGAAGATATACGGCTGTAGGCAGTCGGGTTTGTCCACCCATAACCAAGAATTCGGCGCAATGATTCCACAGCTAGTTGAAGAGAAATGCAATATTTGGTGGCGGAAGTCGGGAAAATATGAGGGGAAACCGTGCAAGAAGAGGAGAGATCTTTTCTAAACCAATGGGATGGAGACCCAAACGTAACACCTCCCTATGGATAGGATGGTGCTTAGCGTGCAAAGGTGCCCGCAGCTGTGCCGTCGTGAAGACGTGCAGTTTAGAACTTAGCTCGAGGTAGATCTGGAAACGTAAAATGAGATTGGTTCGATGCAAGATCGAGCCCGCTGAAGTACTTCAACAATTCATAGTTTGTCGCAATATATTTGTGAGCAATCTTGTGGAATGATGCAAGGAACTGCTGGGAAATACCGTATTTTGCCGTACAGCAACGCTGCGCAATACTCCCGCTCTTTCTGCAATGCGGTATCCTAGACAGCCTCCAGAATTACGGCAACAGTGTCTCAAAATCACTGACACTCCCTGAATTACCACACAATTTGGACGACCCGGACGAAAGAGAACAATTCGAACAAGTCGTGCTCCTACGTCGGCGTCAACTTCACTACTTCTATGTCGCAATGGCCGCAGAGCTAAACTCGACGCACTACGACCCCTAACCTACGACTTCAGCCCGTTGAGACGGAAACTCTTTGAGCCGCGAGTTATCCCTGAGAAGGCCGCCGTAATTCGCCTAACAAAGAATTAGATCAACATCGCCAGTTCAAAATCGAGTACGAACGACGATGCGAGGCCCGCTTGCCCGATCACCTTCTCAGAAGATGAGGTGACCTCGTCGCTGTCGATTTCGACCACAACATTATTAGGTAGTCCCCATATGATTTAATTACTACTGGGGAGATTCCAACTAGCTTTAGTAACTTTAGAAAGCAGAACATGACTCTTAGTGGTGGGCAGAGACGTTGACTCTTGGTGGATACAGCATCGAATATGGTGCTTCCCCCTGTCACTTAGCCAGGCTACTCCGCATCCACAAACCACAGTTTCCTCTAATGCTCTTGTATGTTTCTCAGCGGCTTTGTACTATGACGCGGTTGCTGAGTCAAATGAAGTGCATCACCGAGAGAATATGGCGGCCTCTTGGCACAGCCATTCCCCCTCGTCCCTCTGACATCTTTCAGCAGGTCAATCCTGGCTATTCACCCCCATCCTGATGAATTGCGAGGTAGCAGCTGCCTAATCCCTGTCGATAATCTCTAAGTTCTCGAAGAATTTGATGACCGACATGGAAATTGGGTAATTTGCACACCTGCTGCCTTCCTTGGACGTGGAAGCCGTTTCTCAGGCCCCCTCTCTGGAGTCGAAGCCTAATTCCACGCTACCTGATGAAGCTATGGTAATCCAATACCTCACCATTGAAAGTTGATAGGGCAGAGATTTGAATGAACCGTCACCAGTGCAAGGCCATGCTATCTGGTAAGTTATCATAAATCACTAAAGAGTCCCGAAGGACATTGATTTTTTGTCTAATATATGCACCTTTCCTAAAGTCGGATATTAAGTCTTACACTTTCCACCCCGTTCAACGGGAATAAAGTTTCTCGCCATTCAGCTCCTGTCAGCAAGCTCAGTAGCCTCTTTAACAACCTAGCCCGACTTATTTAACCAACTCCCAATAGAAAATAAGGAAATCCGAATCTGACTCCATATCCCTTTTATTTTTCTAAACGTACGTTAACCCTTAAGACGCGCCTCCGGGTCTTTTCGGCCAAATCACCATCATACCATCTGTAACATTGTACGGGGCACGAGTTATGAGAGGAGTCATGTATTGTAGATTGAGGATCTGAGGAGCTATATGATTTATAGTATTGTGGGACGCTAGGCCTAAGGCTGGACAGCCCATCGTAGAGCCCCCCAGCTTATACCATCACACCAACAAATAAAACGTGATATCCCTAGACTGAGCAACCAACATCGTAAACCTGGAAGCTCTGACCATTAGTCGGAGCCGGAACAGCCGAGGCAGCGACGCTGAATAGGCGGCACACATTGGCACCGTTCTCAGGGCCAAATTCGAGGCTCTTGCAGTTGGGGTCGCTCTTGCACTTGGTCAGACAATCAGCGGCGGAATTGATGTTTGCAGGCTGGCTCAGGGGGGCTTGGTTGGCATTGCTGCCGGCAGGTGTTGCGCCGCATGTATCGCGGGCAGCAAGTTTCTGACCAGCTGGCTTGTTACCTCCTTGTTGGTTATTGCCGCTGTTGGTGCCCTGGTTGGTGCCCTGGCCAGTGTTCGCGCCAGTTGGGTTGCTTGAGGTCGGAGCGACAGCCGGAACAGAAGTACATGCCTTGTCGAAAGCGACGAGGTTCTGGGAGCTCTGCGCCGGAACTTGAGATGCGGGGACGGAGAATAGCATGCACTTGATGGTGTTGTCAACCATGCCGAAGACGAAGGATTGGCATTGGCCATTAGCATTGCAGGCGCTCTGGCAAGCCGAGGCGGTTTTGATGTCGGTGGGTTGTTGGATTGGAGTCTGAGAGCCACTGGCAGTGGGTGCAGATCCGCAAGTGTCTCGGGCGAAGAGGTGGGTTAATGGAGAGCCAGAGACGCCGCTGAGAGCGGCGAAGGTGGCAACGAGAGTGGTGAAGGTCTGCATCTTAATGATGATTTGGGGTTTGGGGCTTGGATTTAGGAAGGAGGAAGTCGAAACTAAATTGTATGGATGTGGATTTGTTGTTCTCTTGGAAGATGAGTTGAGTGTTGCTGATGATGTTGATATCGAAGGATATCTCCAGCATCTTTATACCCAGCCTACTTCCTGTGTACATCGTACACGACACCTCTAAACTTTGCACATGCCCAAGGACGCGTCCTTCTTCTCGAGCATTGACTCCTATTGCTACCCCAACTTGAACACAAACATACGCTATTAGGAACATTCTTAGTGTTGAGTCGTGGCGCAAAGTCGAAGACTACGTACTTGCCACGAATTCAGATGTGGTGCATGAATTGACATTCTCAAAACGTCAGCAATGCCGTCCATGGTTCTGGCCTCCATTGGTCACTCTAAAAACAGCCCCACGTGAAACAAAACTGTACGACAAGGGAGGCCAGGCTGAGGAGGCTCAACAACCAATATTAGGCTTTGTAGGGAAACAAAACAAGCTCTCTCTAATTTAGGCGATAGAGGCATGGCATTACTTCGGTTGGTGTTGACGCAAGTCACAAGCGGATGAAACACTATGCGAAGTGAAAACAGGGGGGATGACGGCATCACCACAACTAAAAGGCTCAACGACTTAGGTCAAGTAATCGAACGAGGGCGAATCGCTCGATCATCTACCGTCGCTAGTGAGCCTTTTCGACAGGCAAAAGGATTCCGGAATCACTTCTTTACAATCGATACCAATATCAAATTTCCAGCCGAAGCCTATTCAACGGCTATAACACGCTTAGACCGATGAATTCTTCACTCATTCCACCTGACTCAAAGCGTAAAAAGCGTAAAAAGAAGCAGACCTAGAAGCAGGGGACCTTAATACAAAGATAAGGAGAGGATATAATAGCTTAGGGCCTCCGCCAGGCTCCCATCGGAGCCTAAGTGGAACTTGGGTTTGCTAATGGAACGCTACCCGAGCATGGAACCATATGTGAGCCAGACATGAAGGTGTTCAAATTCCTAAAGCAGATTTTAGTGAGCCACTGGGAACGAGGCGCTTGGTGCAGGAGACTTGAGAAAAGAACTAAGAGGGGAGTTGATGAGGGAGGTATATAAGTTAGCAAGAAGGGATCCAAAGGGTTATAGGGCCAGCGTTGTCCCTTAGCTTCTGGTACGAGCAGTTATTGTCCGCAAATAGGGTCTTGACTAAATAGATCATAGATAACGAACAGTTTAAGCATCAAATCGAAATCTTAACCCCCTCTTGATGGAATTAAATCCTTTTAGTTCTCAACCTAGTTGTCAAGGACATATGCGCTTCTTTTGTGTAAAACGAAGAATCTGAAATCACGAGGAGAGCCGGGGCCGAAAAAGTGTTGTGAATAAAATATATCTCATATAGCGCCAAACGTGGATGGATGTGCTCTCTTATCTTGGCTCTCTCATCTTGCTCGAACTCTGTACCACAAGTGTCAAAATGTTTCCCACTCTTTCCGTTTAGCTAGACGAGAATAATGGATTGAAGCTAAGCTGAGACGGAAAAGGGACGTACAACACGCCCACAGGCCGGTAAAGCTTTGAGATTCTCCACCCTCGATCACGTCTAACAGCCAAGTCGCGTTCAATCACAGGCCAAACCACTTCAGATCATCGTTCTCATGCACCGGTACGGTATGGCCAACACCCTGGCAGCTGTACCCCAAGAGCTTCGTTCCATCACCATATACCATTTGCGTGTATCCCGACTGTGGAGTGTTGGTGACATTCTTTGCGAAGGTGACACCCAAAAGACCAGACCATTCCTTTAGTTGCTCAGCGAGATTTGGGTAGTTAACAAAAGTATCTGCGGTTCCGTGCCAGGTCGCCATGCGTGGGTAGGTGCCGTTGAATCCAGGGTACATGGCCTTGACTTGCGCAGCCCATTCAGCAGATGTTTTAACAACCTTTCCATTCGCACAGGTTGGGTCTGCACTTTGAGGGCTTGCGCCAGGTGATCCTGCCAAACAGCCAGCCGCAACTCCAGAGTAACAGGAAGCGGCGTTGAATAAATCGGGGTAGGTCGCTAGCATGACATTGGTCATCATGCATCCTGAGGAGGAACCCGTCACAAAAACCTTGGTCTCATCGGCGTTGTACTTCTTGAGGGTGTATTTGACCATATTGGATAGGCCCTCATTGTCTCCTCCAGCGTCGCGTGATAATCCCTTAGAGGTGTTAACTTCCCAGCAGTTGTTATCCTTCTTAGTTGATGGGAAGATAGTAATGAACCCCTTTGAATCAGACAGGGAGTTGTACTTCGTCATCTGTGCAAATTGTTCGCCGGTGCCACCGCATGGATGAAGCTAGGGGGTTTTAGCTAGATCACAATAATATTACGCTGGTCCATAGCTAACCGCTAGAATCACTGGGGGTTTATCCGCAAGCTTGGTGGGCACGTAGATGTTCATCTGGAGGTTCGTTGGGTTCTTGCCAAAGTCACTGACTCTGACCAGAGCACCGTTTGCAATGGCAGAGAGTGCTGTGACAGCAGCGATGAGCGAAATGGAAGGAACCATGTTGATCGTAATGAGGTAGTGCAAGAATGGAGGTCCTGAGTTGCACTTGAATTCAGGTGGATTGCAAGCGACTATTTATACAAGACCTCGGTCTTACTCCCGAGGCAGAATCTTGATGGTTTTGTTGAAAGACCCATCGCTGGCGTATTTAATTGATGAAGCAATATAGCAACTGTAAAATGGAATCCGCATCCATTTTGCTTTCCGATCAGCCTGGTATCTTGCGGTAAATCCACCCTCTTCCAATAATTGCGAAGACAAATCCACTCGCCTCAATATCCGGGTGTACGAAGAATTGCAGTGACGTTGCTTAAATCGTCGTGATTAGCCGATTGGAATGATGCCATGATAAAATAGCCGTCCACCCCAGAAACAGCACGTGGGTGCATGGGTTCTAAATGCGTCAATCTCCAAAATCGGATTACTCAGCTCTGAACACCTGCCAAACCCTGTTGCCGTGTTTCTTGTCCGATGCTGTTACCATGTGTGCTCCAGTGCCCGTTGCCGTGATTGTTCTCCGATGCTTCAACAGCGTTTCACCGTTCTTAAATTCTTCTCCACACTTTATAGAGTTCTCCAATTTCCCCCTCACAATCCCCACAAACTTGAATTAGGTTTTCGAGAGTGGAAGCAAGAGTGGAGGCAGCAGGGTGGGAGCAGGAGGGTAGTCTCTCAAATTAGAGGCATGTTCATTCGCAAACGGAGTTTAGGAAAGGTTTCCCGGGACCTAGAGCCTAGAACATACACTTGCGTTCGTGGATCGCCAATGTCCATTCAGAAACGACTGTAGGCAAATTCACAGTCTTGTAATGAAAGGATCAATAAAAACATTTGGTGCCTAAAGGAAATAAACGCAGTGACGATAAGAGGTGGGAAAGGTCGACACTGTACGTGGACTGTGTGGCTATTGCTACAATGAATTCTCTGGCTGGGCTGTTGACATCTCAAGCTGTAGCTACCACAAGTCGACTTGGTACTGAAACAACCGATTTATACAACATGCCCATAACCCTCCGCATGTTGGTGATTTCGAAGATACTGAAAATATCTCGGTACCCGAGTTTGGAATATAGATGCAGGCATAGTTCTTATAACTTGTTTGAGGAAGGATCACCATCATATAATCTGGCAGGGCCCATAAATATGCGTGTCAAAGAAGCCATAAGAGAGTCGTATTCATAAATAGGGTTGAAGACGGAGCCGTGGCAAGAGAAAGAAGGTTCAAGCTGGTTGTGGTGTTGCCTTCAATCTCCGTGCCTTGAGAGAGGATAGGATAAAGCTCCAAGCTCGAAATAAAGATAAGCAGAATGGCGGGCAGCCCCACAAGGGCACCATTGGGAAAGAGGTTGCACGAAGGTATTTCGCCGGCTTGAAATAAATGTATCACGAATTATCGGGACTTGCAGCCCCAAGTTTGAGAAAGATCCTTCGCAAGCAGCTTCCCGGTATCAAATGCCGGGTATCAAGATATCTAGAATGGTCGTCGGAATACTATCAGTATTTTCAACTAGTGGAGGATGAGCAAAACGGTAGGGTCGAGAGGCTCGCTAGGGCTTGAGGTTAAATATCTCCAAACGGTGGTGGCAGCTTTAGCTGACAGTTTTTACGAATGTATGCACCGAGCCCTCGATATGGCACATAGAGTCCTGGCGGTCCAATTTGTAATCATTGTTTCTGCAACCTCTCAATTCGAGAGAGACACGGGTATATTAGGCGCTTAAGGAGTACGTTATTCATATCCAGCAATTCATGTACTCAGAGCTTACTAATCTTTCCAATGCCTCTTTCGCTTTCCGCGAATTCTCGTAAAGAGTGTAGTTAATTCTCATTATTTAGTGCTTTCCGGTGGTGGTCTGTATTTTTGCAACCGTTCTTTAAGAGTATCGCTCTTATCCAACATTTCCTATAATGTAGGCGGTATGGAAAACCCCAGTCTTTTGCGGTACAAATTATACGACAATAACCTCTGAGGGGATAATCTCTGAGAGGATAACCGCTCGCGGCGAGAGTAGCTAAAATAAACATCTTGTCAGCAAGGCTTTCTGTGTCACGCCGGACGCATCCAAATAGTAGCACAATCCCTAGTGTTCATCAGGGTGAGGTTAGGTGAGCTGCACCACCTAGGCACCATTGAATACCCAGATTATGGGGTGAGGCTGAACTGAAGTACCCATGGATTTTATTTTTGTCCCATCTCCGCAGTTTAAATGTATTTATATCATTTCCTTTATCTCCTACCAGTTGATAGCCACGCCAGAAATTTGTGCCATCGCGTGAGAACTGCATGATGAATCAGGGACTTGTCAGTTTACGCAGTCTGCATTGCAGTTTTTCTCATCCAGTAATCTGATGATAGCCTCAGCAATTTTAGGGGCTTCTTCCAACGCAGAGCTATGCACCTTGTACAAAACAAACCTTAGAAAAGGAGGCTACGTTTGGAAGAGCAAAGACCTCGTAAACGATCCATCCTGCACAAAGCAGATGCTTCTGTCGCACGTGAAACTGGTTCACGTGACCTGGCGCAGGGTGAATGTGGGTCCTTCACCTCACACCCTTTCCCTGTTTAGGACTAGCGCTCTTTTAGCTACTATATATTTACCTCTGAGCTCTCTCGAGCTCTAGAGACCTTACACCACACCTCAATATACCTAGGTCGTCTCTCAATACCTAATTGACTACTCCATGCCCTCCACCATCAATCAGCTCTAACTCTGCGATAACTTCGGACCAGCTCGGAAGCATATCCTTGAAAACTGTCAGATCGTAGCAGCAACGGCTAAAAACAGGACTTGCGGGAACTGGGAGACCATCTAATTGCGAAGACAGGAACGCAATATAGTGGGTTGGCCACAGAGGCATCAGTTATACGTCCTCGCGTAGTGACTGGCATTGGTCGCGATCTTTCAACTTTCTGCCTCCTGCTTCTTCTTGTTTACTTTCTCTGTCATCGCAACTCTGCCATAAAGCAGGCAATCGAGGCCTCTCTATTAGAACGATCCCATGCTAGGTCGGAATCCCGCCTTTGGTGTGGCGGAGTGGGATCGAGGGCCCATCCTCGAGCAAACATTTGGCGGCCATCTTGTGAGATATTTCCTACTTTCATGAAGGAAGCTCTATATCGAGAAATCCGAGCTCGCATTAGATCCCAGAAGAGCATGCAGCAAACGGCCTAGAAAATCGAGAAACGAGACCGATTCTCGAAGGGTAGACATAGTTTCTCAATCCGAGAGGTTTCTGTACACCCCTCCAGTCCGAGTTACATATTAAACCTGCATTATCGTAAGAATTTGCACGCCGTCCAGTTGGGGATTGGACATACTTCTAAAACCTTCACCTACCTTCAAAGATCCACTGATACTAGAATTACTTTCCAAACTCTGCTCAAGGCTTCTACCTCGATGTTTGCGTCCCTTCAAGTTCATGCACAGCTCGAAATTCATCCTTCCTCCGCGTATCTAACTCCACATGTTCCTGGTCACCAATCTCAACAGGGGGAGGTTTTAGTTTTGGCTCATCGTGCTTCATCTCATAAACATTCGGGCCAGGCCATGTGGCTTCATGGATAGATTCGCTGGCGGTCGCTAGCTCAATCAGTCCCGATTGTTTCCGTTTCCTAGATCTGAAGATCATGAATGCGGCTATTATGAGCGCAATGACGGCGGTTGGGACACTGATTCCTACGGCGATGGCAGCCACATGACTATCGCTCCTGGATGAGGCGCTTGGTAGAGGTGATGACGTGGCGGTGATGTATACGGTAACGGGGCCTGAGGCTGGGGAAGCGGTAGGCGTGGAAGCTATTGCAGATTGAGCGGCGGACGATGGCGTGGTTGAGGTTGGCATTCCTTTCGAACGTTAGCTGAGCGACATCTGTAGAAACTCTTGACATACCTGAAGTTTGTGCCGCAACTTGTCCCAACTGGCAGTAACTACTGAAGACCTCCAGAGCCGTCGTATTCTGTGATGGATCACTGGTGCATGCCGTCGACACGTGCTTCCCAATCATGCTGCTAAACTTCGCCGAACTTTCGTAACAGAAGCAAGCCCATGATGTAGTCTTAGAGCCATCACCACATCCATATGCCATATCGCGTACGATAGTTGAGACTTCTAGCTCGGCACAAGTAGCGAGAAGTGAATACTCCGGGATCGTGTTGATGAAAATCCTCGTTGGACCAGACGCGACCGCCACGGCTGTCGTGATGAGGAACAGAACGGATCGAATCCATAATAAATTCATAGTGAATGAGGAAGTCCTCAATTGCCAGAAACTATGTACCATGAACAGGCTCGCATGCGTGTAGAAGAAATCGGGGCAAACAGAGGGGTACAGAAAGCAAACGTTCGTTCAACCTCGGGCAGAAAAGCTCCTGTTTTGCTCCACCAGTCAACCAGGACGCTCCTGAAATCTTTTACTGCGGGATTCTCTATGGAGCGGTCCAAACCAATATCCCAGCTCGAACCACCACCAGCTGAATAAAAAACTGGAAATAGGAGGAAATTAGCTAAACCAAACGCCATCAGCGGCTGACCAAACTGCAGAACTTGGAAGGCTGCAAAGTAATAATCCAGGGAGTTATGCGTAAGTGGTGGTGGAGGTCAGGATACTCGCAGTATGCTGCCATTTTGGGCATGCTTGGGTGTGGGGGCGAGTGAGGCGGGAGGGGTCGAACGCAGCGCAGTTAACCAATGGTAGGTTAGTGCTAATCTCCTTGACCGGGCCTTGCGCAATCTAAGAACACCTTCCCATGAGCGCCTTAAAGGAACTGAAAATGGATTGCATTGTGCGAAAGCAAAGCAGTTGATCGACAGCCTGAAAGGTTCTCTTGATTTTGTCTCCTCTCTCGTACCAACGCCGCGTCGGCATGTCTCGTAAACTAAACATTGGAAAGTTGAAAATGCCATCGTGGAAACCCGGGAACAAAAATAAGTGTCCTATTTTGTAAGAACGGACGGGCGCGTGTCTCAGCCGAGTGAGCATCCAATTTTGACCCGCTGTCCGTAGTTTGGTGAAATATTGATGCCACAGCAACGTGACTTCAGTGTAAGATGGGGGTTTGGCCCCAGACAATGCAACATCTGGCGAACTGGGTTTCAGTCGTCCGCCAAAGCACACTGAGAATAGTTTGCTCCTGGTTATTGAAACATTCGACATGTGGGGGCTAAACCTTACCGCACTATTGTAGTCGCCTTCACAACTACATCCTCCCTTGCTTTTTCTAACTTGCAACAGGAAACTTCAAAATAATTCGCTGGAAGCAATGAGTATTTTCTACACGCACTTCCTGCCACTGACCAGCAGGTGTATGTCGAAACACTAGCTGGATGGGGTGTGTAGGTTATCCGGTTGTGGGGAGAGTCCAATCTCGTTGGCGTTCATCTCGTATCGCTGTATGCAGGTACAAAGCAGTTGAGGTGGGGCGGTGTCACCTGCAGGAACAAAAGAATTGAGCCTCCCCTTTCTCATGTTGTGGCTTTGGGGGCTCTGGGAATTACAGTGAACCACTTCACCGAACCGATGGTGTGAGGAGAGACTTTCAGGAGTGCTAACCGGTGTTCTAGTAACGTATACTGATGGAGGCTGTCTCAAAGGAAGCACCGATGTTCTGGTTGTTCCACCGCTGGAGAGCATGGTCGGAACTTACGACACAACTGTGCTCACCGCGCTAGATGATACGTTGAAGATTCTCAGCAGCAACGGTATCAAGGCAATCATCTCGCCACACAACGCGAACTCGTTGACTGGAGACGAAAGATGCGACGCGTATTGCAAAAAGTTCACCAACGCGTCGACGGTTTACTCTTCTGCTGAGGCTAAAGCAGACTACGATAACAGACTTGCGGCCATCTTGTCGTACGAATCGCCGAACTTCGGGAAACAGTGGAGAGACTTACGTGACGTGATTCTGGCCTTCAACTTACAGAACGAGCCGTTGATCAAGCAGAACGACAAGTTGAGCGCCAATGATCCAGATGACTGGCTATGGGGACGGGCAGGGGTGCTCCGTGGTCTCCTGGGAGCTTCCGATACCAAAGTAGCCACTGGTGGTATCGGGGGTTCTCAGTACTGCTGCGACAAGATCCACCAGTCTAATCTCCTCACAAAGGCTTTGGAATATGATGCAATCGACATAATGAGCGTACACGGATACATTAATAAGGCGTCTGATTGGGCCTACTTCATAACGGGAGAGCAATCAATCCTTGCCCAAGCAAATATCGCCGGGGAGCATGTGACGGTGGAGGAGCGGGGAGTGAGTACTAGTTATCAAGATGACTTCGACATTCAAGTCGACTTTTTCAATGGTGCCGGAATCCCATGAGTAAGCTAGAAAATTCGGGAAGGGTGAATAAAGCTGACGGCGCTCGAGGTGTACTGGCAAGTGGTCCCGGGCTTGGACGCATCTCAGGAGGGATCTCCCTCAGACTGTGGGTATGATAGATACGAGATTGGTGTAAACAGTTCCAAGGGTGATATTGCCAGTGCGGTAGCGGCAGCAAATGCAGCTAGAGCAAACCAGAGCTGGGATGGATATGTGTACTGATACGTCCGGGAGGTCTTTTTTGTCTGCGTCATTCGAATGAAAATTCGTAGATTAGACCGTTGGTGGCTTCACTGTGCGTCAAGGTATATGCGGTGAAGATGCCGATCCTAGTACTAGGAAGGGGCCGGCTAAGGATGACAGTATTGCTCAGACATAACACGGGAAAGGCTAAGAGCTGCAATGACGATGATCGTTTGAGTGTCATTATGCACCATTCCAACATGTTACTGGGGTCAAAGTACTTATTCCGTGTTGAGGGGCCTCAATTGTTAGCACAGCCCACGAAAATGGGATAAAGAAGAGAGGTTATGAAATGTAAAAGGGCCAGATTTGAGTGATGGTGGTCATGCTCAGATGATAGTCGAAAGAGTGATGGATATAGGCGGCGAATGAAGGAAGATTGAGATGGCCACGACCACGGAGAATTCCTTCCTCCGTTCCGGCTTAGCAAAGGCCTTTCATAGTCGGGTCATGGCTCCCACCTCGAGAGCTTTCCGGTGACCTCCCTCCAAGGTTCCTTAATCCAAAATGAGGTCTCCTTATACCTGCAATCGGTGCCTAACCGTCCTACGCACTTCGAGACCCCAATTGCGCCCGCTTCCCTTTCGCTCCAGCCCACAAAGCCTCCCGTCACAGCGGCCTCATTCCACCAAAACCCCCCCCGCGACTCCAAAGCTCGCCCTCCCCCGCCGAAATGTCTCTTCCTCTGCGATACAGAAATTCGAGAAGCCATTTGAACCGTATGAATATATCGATCCCGAGGGTATTACCCGCAAACTCGTACTTAACGAAGACAACCTATTCCACTCATTTACACATTCACCCATCCCCGAGATACGCAAACGAGCAGCCTTCATGCGGCAACATGCATACTGTCCGCACCCCTCGCACAAGCCGACACGCACGCCGCACAGTCCTGTCGATCTTGAATCACGCAAGTCGTCTGAGACCGGTACGCCGCCTGCACACGTGAATTTCGAATGTCCCGACTGCGGGGTTCCTGTATATTGCTGTGAAGAACACTGGGCGGACGACTACGAAGCGCATTTAGAAGTCTGCGATATCATGAAGGAGGTCAACGAAGACGACCACGATCTCCGCAGCGGGCGGTTTTTCAAGGAGTTCCTGTTCGCTGAGCCGCAGATGGAGGAGATTCTGGTGAACATGACGAGCTGGGATTCGTATCTGTATACGCGGGATTACGATGCGTTGAATGAGGATCGCGAGATGCGGCAGGCGACAGCGCTGTTGACGTATCCGATGACGATTGCGAGTGTGATACATGAATTGAGTCCGTATAGCATCCGGAGAGAGAAACGGTTAACGCCGGAAGGGCTGAAGAGCTTCAGCGGTACGTCTATCGAACTCCCCTACGATTTCCCCTCCCCTGTAATGCTAAACCCATCCCAAGCACTCCGCCACTCCCTCCACCCCCCCCGAACCGGCGGCGGCGATACGTGGAACAACCCACGCCTCGCCCCACCCTCCGTCCGCATCTTCATCCTCGGCGCGCGCGCCGAATCCTCTCTTCCGCGAGAGACTTGGATGCAAATGGCCTACCTGTTCCACCGGGTACAATTCTCCCTACACTTCATCGGTCCCGAAGCCATGGTCGGCCGCGAAAATGAACTTCCTTTACCCGACCGCACACCGCTAAACCCCTTCGGTGCCGTAGTGGAAGACCGCATCAGCAACGCCATGAAAATCAGCACATATGTAGAATACTACCACACTTTGCACAAAACGGGGTATTTCTACCCCTACGACCCATATTTTGACTGCTTCGTCCTATTTCACCCTGGTTTCGGAAACCCGGTGAGCATGCATGAATGGGCGGAAACACTGCCGCTGCTGCTCGAAACGAAATGCCCGATTATTGCAACGGGATACTCGCCATGGGATATGAAGCAAGATGTTGATTATCTGGAGAAGAGGTTTGGAAATGAGATGGATATGCTGCTGAAGCCAGATGAGAATCTGTTTAGGAGTTTGAGGTGGGATTTGAATGACTATGATCCCCATGATATTACGTGTAGTAATTGGGGAGTCTATGCGTTTAGGGGAAAGAGATATGAGACGACGAAGAAGGAGGATGTGAGGGAAGAAGAGGGCAGTGAGAGGACGGAGTGAGCAGCTGGATGAGTGGAGATGAGCGTGTACTACATATATGTATCATATTGTGTACATCTACGATTGCGGAACATGCCACTTCATGAGGGCTTGCGTATTCGAAAGAATTGACCTACTCTAGTGATGTGTCAGAGGGGCGAAAGGCTACTGGGTGGACATATGAAAGGTCATAACAGGCAAAAGGATCATGCAGAGGGAGTCATCAGAGTTTACTTTCTGTGACAGGTGCCCATTCCATATCTAGTCCTTAAGAATAGGGTGCAGTCTGCTATTATACAATGCGTCCCATCCAACCGAAACATCACTTGCTGGCTTGTAACCGTACATGACAGTCTCACTAATATCACATCACAACAACTAGCTCATCCTAACCTCCCTCTCACAGCAACGCCGATTCACATGAGCTCACACCCACCATTCTCCAGCCAACCACCTGTTCAACATATCAGCCGACGCCGCGGGCTGGTCATACGGAACCATATGGCCACCTGCATGCAGTCTCATGAAGGTGAAGTTTCCACTGCTCTTGACCTGGCCAATCTTGTCACCGTTTCCGCCAAGAAGAAGGTCCTCCATCTCGGCCTTAGCATAGTTCTTCTGGCCAGGCCACTCGAGAGCCTCAGTCCAAGCCTTGTTGCCAAGCCAATTGCAGATGTAGTCGGCGTCACCTGCATAGACGAGAACAGGGATTTGCTCAAGGAGGCCAGGGACGACGTGATGGTATGGCTTCATCCAATCGCCCTGGAGCAGGAAGTTACGGTTGATGTCGAAGTTACAGCTGTCATACGAGTCGACTTCAGCACCAACAGCTTTCATGACTTCCTTGTTGTTGAGATATGAGCTGATCCAGTCAATCTCATCATAGCAGAGATCGTTGTTGCCGCAGGGACGTCGGACATCATAGACGTTCTGTCCGGTGCGCTGGTACGGGCCGATCATGGCATTGTTGCAGTAAATGGAGGCAGGGACACAAGTCCAGACCGACTCAGAGTTGTAGCAGTTCTCGATGAGGTTGGCACAGCGGGGGTATGCATTCTCCATAGATTGGCAGGTGCTCTCATCTAGAACCGCGGGCCAGCCTCCCTCTCCACAGGCCATAGGCTTGTAGTATTCGTATTGGGTCAGTCCATCGGTGAGACCGTTACCGATGAGGACGGACTGGAGGTTGATGTTACGCTTCTTGTGGGATAGGATTTCAGAGGCAAATACGGGAATGTAGTGTCCAGCATACGACTCGCCAGAGATGTGGAAGCTCTGCTCGGCGTACTCAGGGAATTGCTTGAAGAAGAGGGTGAGAAGAGCATAGACATCCTTGCCAGCCGCGACCGTGTTGCTCACAGAGCCGCCGCTATAGGAATATCCGACGTTGACGGGCTGGTCAAGGAAGATGACGGATGCATTGGCATTCCATGAGAAGTCGTTGTACTTGACCTTGCCGGACTTGGTGACGGACGAGGGGCCAAGTTCCATGAACAAGCCCATGAGGGAGGAGCATCCCGGGCCACCATTGAGCCAGAGAACCACAGGGTCATTCTTGGGGTCATTGCGCGACTCGAAGAACCCTGAAACAACGTCGGCGAAGGAATCAGGTGATGCGGATAGTCGAGTACTCACAGTAGAAGAGATGCTTATCCTCCTCCTCGTCATCGAGATAGCCGGAGTACTGCTTAACCTTGTCGACGCCGAGCGAGCTCGGGTCAACACTCTTCACCCTGAGGTTGTAGTTCTCGAGCTTGCCATCAATCTCCCGCTCCTTCTCGCCCTTGGCATTCTCGACCCAGACACTCTGCACCTCAGCGCCCTTGACGATGTGATCCCACTCGTGGTCGCCTTTTCGTGTATGCTTCTTCGGGGTGGAGAAGAAGAAAGCCTTCTCCAAGGATTCGGGGAACATAAGAGCGACTTCATCCCAGATGCGACGAGCTTCGCCGGTGAGCGACTTCAATGACTCTTCCAAATTCTGCAGCGGCTTTGTCCACGACTCGGAGTTGATCTCCTTGTGCTGCTCAGGGAGCTTAAAGATTTGCTGCTGCGGAGCAATGGCTGCAGATGCTGCTCCGATGAGCAGAGCTGAAGTAGCGACCTTCATGGCGGCTTTGTCAACAAGCGACCTAGCGGAGCTTCCGGAGCTCAAGCGCTTGCGATAAGCTGATGATAGTGCGCGCTAGAGGGAATATCAAGTAAAATCAGAGAAAACAAATGAGATTCAGGAGAGATGATCAAGATGAGAGATGAGAGATGAGATGGAAGGTGCAAGTGAAGGGCGAGGTTGATGGGGAGGGCGAGAGGGTTGAGCGGGTTGTCAAGGCAATCATGAGGGCCGACATGACGCAGCGTATCCAGCCACCGCTAGCGCCAAAGTCACAGGACCACCAGCCGCCTTGGCGTTTCACAGCCGGGGTCGGACACGGAAGGTGAGGCGACTCGACTTAACCACCGAGACAGCACCCGAAAGAGAATAAGAAAGGGAGTGAATCGTCGTCGAAATTGCCTTTCACTTGTGTATGCGGCGAGTGACCGCTCTCCGCGACCACAATGATGTTCCTGCATAGCCGAATGTGGCATAGCCCGCTTCACCCCGCAAATCATCCCACCACAAGTTTTCGCATCTCAACACACGAAGGGCCGCCTATATAAGGCCTTGACTGCACTTCTTCACCAGTTCAACATTCCTCTGCAACACCAAAATACAGATTCCGCAATGCCTGTTGGAATCAACCAACCCTCCGGTCAGATCAAACTGACCAACGTCTCGTTGGTGCGTATCAAGAAAGGTACCTCCCCCCCTCTACCCCGCCCCCGCACCGCTCCTGCCCCCGTAACTAACCTGCACCAGGCAAAAAGCGATATGAGATCGCGTGCTACAAGAACAAGGTCCTCGAGTGGCGGAGCGGTGTAGAGAAGGACCTTGACAATGTCCTGCAAATCCCCAACGTCTTCGTCAATGTCAGTAAAGGCCAGGTCGCACCCAAGGCCGACCTCGCCAAATCATTTGGCAACAAGGCAACGACCGATGAGATCATACTCGAGATACTAAACAAGGGCGAGCTCCAGGTGGGGGACAAGGAGCGCCATGCGCAGCTGGACAGAGTTCACCACGAGGTCATTGACATCGTGGCCGGAAAATTAGTTGATCCGAGGACGAAGAGGGTCTACACTACGGGCATGATCGAAAAGGCGCTGGAGCAGCTCAGCTCCCAGTCTGCACAACCCCAGGCAGAGAAGTTGGAAGGCGCGCCCGTCGAGAACCCCGAAGAGAAGGGGAAAGGGAAGGAGCTCCCGAAGTGGACCGGCGTGGTCACCACCAAATCCGCCAAGTCTCAGGCGCTAGATGCGATGAAAGCACTCATTGCCCATCAGCCGATCCCTGTCGCCAGGGCCCGAATGAGGTTGAGAGTCACCTGTCCCACGTCAATTCTAAAGCAGGCTGTCAAGTCAGCTCCCAAGCCCCACAGCTCCGGCGATGCGGAGGATGGGGACAATAAGCCACTGCATGGAACCGTCAAGGACACAATCGTGGGATTTGTGGAGCAAGTCGAGAGTCAGGACGTAACCGGCGATGAGTGGGAGGTGGTGGGATTCGTCGAGCCTGGAGCCTTTAAGGCACTGTCCGAGTTTATTGGAGGGCAGACAAAGGGCCGTGGCAGGGCCGAAGTTCTCGACATGGCCGTCGTACATGAAGACGATTGAATGGAAACACGTCTCTGAACCGAAACACACGACCAATACTCCATTTCACGTGCATGTAAGGGGTTAAGCGGATCGGAAGCCTTAAATGGCTGTCAAGTCTGGCAATGTTCCACACGATAGCACTAACTCCGTGCCTGAGGCTGCAACCCACCCGATCTTGTGGCAGTCAGACTCCCGGTAGAGCTGTTGGCTCACCCATGCAGGGCTCCCACTCTAACTCCGACGCTCTCTTGTCCGTTGATGACAGCATCTCCCTGGTTCAATCTTTCTAGGAGATCTCCATGCTCCTCATTTCGACGCTGTAGCTGCGGCATATTCTGCGCTGCTTCGATCTACCAGTTCCTCGACTGTTGCCCCAGAGTAGCCAGTACAATCAAATCAGATAATCATTCCAGGCTATCGCTAGCGCTTGACCTCGTTCCTGCAAAAGAATACACTTAATTCTTTCCAGCCTGCTGCTTTGCACATTCAGATTGTCACTTGTATTGGCCCCGAAGTGTTCGCTGGTCGCTGCCTTCCCGATGCCCCGCCACAACGACAGCATGGACAGCCTGAGTGGTACCACGATATCTCACTGCACTTCTCTCAAGCTTCGGCACTAATGCACGTCACCTGAAAAGGCTTACTCCGCTGTCCAGCATCATTCGCTCCCAGCCAGTCATGGCCTGACAGGTGTTGCCGAGCTTCAGGCTTAGCGCGGCAATTCAAATCTTGTCCACACCTCACCTTCCCTCACGATGCTTCAACCTCCGATCTAGTGTCACCCCAGAAGAGCGGATATTATTCTCGCTGGTGCTCTAGACTACTGGTTGGATCTCACGCCATCATTTCAAAGAGTGACAACGTCCAAAGGAACCCTTGGATTGACCAATTAGAGCTTGTTCCCTAAATCGAGGTGAGTACCGTCGACTGGCATGTGTTTCTTTCCACTCCGATTTCACTCGACATACCGGGGTCTAGGTTTTCCAACTATCGATATCCTTGACAGTGCTCCGGGGCGCCAGTTCCGCTGCCGATCCTTCCCCACTCATGGCCAGGGCCCTTTTGCCGATGTCAACGGTTACTCAGTGATGTGCTAGTTCCGAATATTTCTCTAGCAAATGCGCTGAGGATTTTGAAACAGTAAAACCAAGGAGACGGTAAACGTATCCTCTCCCAACGAACTGCTCCAACATTTTCGCGTGCTCACCACGAGCTACTCACCGTCAAAAAGATAAGCCAACGCCATCATCTATCAACAGATAATACAGATCACCCCGATTAATTACCCCCATCGCCAATCTCCAACCTCCCACATCACCGGCAGTCACCTCCTCCATCCATTGACCAATCAAATCCCCTTCCCACACACCTCCATCTCCCTCCTTTCGTTTCAACACCCGAACTTCTGCATCTCGTCTTCTGATAATCGCCACCCAAGTCTCCCACATGTGCTACCCATTGGCTGGCACGGACTCCCACAGCCCGATAAGGCGCGCAAGGAAACCTGCTTTTGAGGGCGGAGAGAGCCGGATTTGGGCGCTTGGGGTAGTATAGAAAGATGGGACAGAGCGAGCGCGATAGTGGATCTTGGTGTTTCTGCTCTTCCTCTCTTTTCTTTGTAGTGACAAAGGGGGCTAATTTTGGCAATCATGGGGTCAGCAGACGTGCTCCAGTGTTGTCGCGGGCGTTGAGGACGTAGGATGGTACTTTCTTGGAAGGTAGGTTTGTTTCCGTTCCATCTTCGATCTCTGTCGTTCTTACTTTCCACATCCCTGTCTTTTGGTACCCCCCTTCCCCAACTTCCAGCGTTGTTTTTCAGTCGAAGTGACGGAGCGCGAGTAAGTTGCGTTACGCGGAGGTGCTAGGTGCGCGATTTTCGGGGTCTTTCGCATCCCCCGAGCTTTACGCGCAGAATCAATCATAGTGTCCAGGACACTATCCTATGCGGTAGGTATGGCAAACAGATTCTGATCAGAATGCGCGCCCGATCGGTGATGACTGCTGGTGTCTCGAAGTGTCATGCGTTTGCAACAACGATGGATGGATTGGAGATTTTTTATTGCAAGCGTATCAGATGATCTACGTACATCAGAGGTCGTGATTTCATCCATCCACAGATAGACATTAGTCGTAAGTCGTTTCTGGTGTGCCGGACACCATGCATCTTTCATAATCGATCCGTCAGTGGTCGTGGGATTGTAGCATGAACCCAAAGATATGCAAAACACAAAGGAAGAAAGAAATAAAGGCAACGAAATAGGTCCGGAACCCGTAAGTCAAGGAAAGTAGCGAGAGCAGAAGCTATGTGATGAACAAAAGAGCCGAATGTCCAGTATACCAACGGCGGTTTGCCACCAAGGCCAAAACATAGGAAACTGTAGGTAAGAAAGGGAAAGATTTCCAGTTCACCAACCTCTTACTTTTCCAAGTACACCACTGAACTCCAAATTCTACTTCATTCCAATAACCTCCTCTTCCATTTCAGTTCTTTCCTATTCGCTTCTTAATCCCACCACACGCACCCCCTAATTCTCCCATTCCTCGTCAAAATCCCCAACACCTCCGCCGAACTCGTCCTGCAGCCCCAAACCCGTTCAATCGGCTCCGCTATCATAGTCCAATCGAATCCACGTACATCATACATATCCAAGACCACCCTGACAAGCCAGGGGTCATACATCTGGACGTTGGGGTCTTGATACATGGCCAAATTTGGAGCTACAACACTCTCGTTCAGGGTATTTGGGGGAAGAGTAGTCTGTGCCATCGGGGGTGACGGCGCACTCGGAAAAGCCGGCGAGCCCGACGCAAACAGTCCAAATCTCGCGTCCGGCGAAATCGGAGAACACTGGATGGAGCTAGCGGCACTAGAATTAGACTCGGATTCAGATTCTGACAATATCGAGTCGTCGCTCATTCTAGTGTGAAGCACGACTTTGTTGCCAACATGCCGTATCATAGCCTGTTCAGCTGCTTTCAAGGCATTGTAGCTTGGCAGTGGTTTGGCTGTCAGCGCACCCGCTGATTTAGAGTATGGCGAGTCGTCGATAGGGGTTGTGTTGCTAATGCGAGATGAGGGGGAGTCGAAACTTTGGGAGCGGTGGATGCGGATCTTGGGGGAGGGAGTTCGGGGCGGAGGGGCGTGATGGGTTGCCATTTTGGAGAGATTGCAGCGGGCCTTGGAAGGTCCGGCCTAAGATGTATCTATTTATGTGGAGATGGAGAGATGGAGAGATGGAGAGAGAAGTATGGATATATGGATGGGATGGAGGAAGAGACAAGGGAAATCTGATAATACACACAACACAGCGGCAAGCAAGAAGCGCCGCAACAAAATGAGAGCCTCAAGGTAGGCGAGAAAGGGTGGAAACACCAAGACGAAGAGGACCGGGGAGAGCGAATCCCGAGCTTATATCTCTGATTATCTGCGTCGGTCGTTTGTGGTGCCTGCACTATGCACTGTCTCTGTGTGTGTCTGCAGCCGGACGGCGAACTGGGGTTGGAAATGGTCTGGTCAGGGTCTGGAAATTAGGGGCTGTTGGACCCGTGGGTCGGAAGCTAGTGTTGCATGTGGGAGAGCATCGGATAGGATGGCTGCGGGTGGATGGCAGGGCGTGGGTGCTGGGCTGCGTGGAGGAGAGACAGCGGAAGGAGAGGGCTTGCAAACGCAACGCACTCCAGTCTTGGCAGATGGGAGAGGACGGAAGGAGGGCGAGGAGTGTTCCCGAGTGGTGTGGATGTGGATGAAGCGTCAGGGAGTGCGGGTGGAGGGTGTGAAGGGGTCGTAACAAGGGCAAGGGACGAAATGAGACGAAATGGTCAACACATCCAAATGCTTCAAACACCCCAATATTCACCCTCCAACGGGCCCTCCATACATTCAGAAGCAAAAAACAATAGGCCGTTAGCGGTCCGGCCCGTTCAGTCTCAAGGCTCTGGTAGTCAGGAGACACAGTGCCTCCACGCGACCCAGAGCGAGGCCGACTTGTTCTCCACAGAGTGGAGTGTAGAGCCGTGACGTGGTGAGATGTACTTTGGCCGTATATGCGGCCAGAAACTATTCTCCAATCATCTACATTCTTGGCGCCAGCTTGTTTACAGCCACCGCCAGTGTCTGGTCACCATCATTTGACAGCTGCAGGTCGGAGAGTTTTAAATGAGGGGTTTTGAGTCTGGGGGTCCACGTAGCATGGAGGATCTGAAGCACAACTATTGAAAGGGACTTGGGATCAAATTGTGATTTTGATTTTGGTACAGGCTGTCCTTGGCCAGCCACTACCCCTTGGCCTCACAGTAAATCCTTTCCTAAGGTGCAGAGAGCCGCATGATGTAGGAACTTGAAAGCCAATCAATGCCATCGAATAAACACCGTAAGTGCACCGCCCATCCGCAGAAGCCCTGTTCCCCCGCCCGAAAGCTCTCCCCAATTGCCCAGCACCCGCGGAACATTTATCCCTTCTTCTTGGACACACCAACAGTGCGACCACGGCGGCCGGTTGTCTTCGAGTGTTGGCCACGGACACGGAGGCCCCAGTAGTGTCGGAGACCACGATGGGCGCGGATCTTCTTGAGGCGCTCTAGATCGTCACGGAGCTTGCTGTCGACGCCGTTGGCGAGGATCTGGGAGTTCTTGCCATCGACAATGTCGCGCTGCCTGTTGAGGAACCATGTGGGGATTTTGTCTAAATTAATCAGCACGCCGGAACTTGCCGTATTGAGGGAGTCGCAGCATACACTGAAGCGGGTTTTGGATGATGGTCACGATGCGCTCAAGTTCTTCCGATGTGAGGTCACCAGCGCGTTTGGTGAGGTCAACGTCGGCCTTCTTGCAGACTAAGTTGGAGTATCGGCGACCGACACCCTTGATCTTGGTCAAGGCGTACATGACCTTTTGCTTCCCGTCGACGTTTGTGTTCAACAAACGGATGATATACTGGAAGCTGTGGCGAGTCAGCATTTCGGAAAGTAAGAATTAACGATCCGATGCCCAGGCACATTGCGTGCCTTCACGTATGATGATGGAGCCGTTCGCTACTGCAACACATGTAGAAGTTCCCATGTCGATGGTTTCTCTCAGTGAACAACCCCATCAAGAAGCCATCAATGTATGCCAAAAAGAGTAGATCGCGGCAGGCGACGTATTTCTGGTGCTCGGTCGGGTGTTGGGTTCATATCGCTGTACGGGTTGAGACAGCGAACGACCTACGATCGAGGGTGGAGAATTGTAGGGATTGACGGCAAAGGGATGCTATATGAGGAATGACGGGGGCAAAAATTACGGGATATACATACTTCGACTTCTCTCCGGTGACGAGCGCTGGGATGCGTTAGCGAAGCTATACAGGAAGCAACAGGTGAATGTAATGGCCAGGACCTCGACCATGACGGGGAGAGCCATGGCGCAAGATTAGGCAGACATCCAAGAATCAAGTATGGCATAACAAAGGGGAGTACTCACACATGATGGCGGCTTGACCAGGCTCGTCGATGTTGGTTGTCCTTTCGTAGGTCGCGGGCGCTTTCGAGGTCGATAAGAAATTTGGAGCGGAGGCGCCAAGAGTGTGGGCTCGGCAATCATGTAAGCGATCCATCCCCAATCAGACAGCGAGAGCCTTCGACAGCATCCTGTCACGTGCAAATGCTCACTCAAGCCTCCTCTCCCAGCCCCGCACCCCCGACATTTAAGACATTTTTGCAGAACCAACCCTACACAACTCTCTTCTCATCAAGTCACTTTCAGCGACGCCTAATTTCGATCAGCACTACCAAGTTCTGCTTCTGATTAGCTAGCGAGTCACAGAGGCAGCGACGACTGTGAGCACAGACCCATCGTCATCCCCCATTTCTTTCCAGCTGCAGCATTCATTCAACCGTCTCACCTCCATACCTCTCGCATGCGTCTCGCGATTCCAGCAGTCTCCCAGATGGCCAGAAGAACAGCGGCGCTCCATCCCACTCATCCGCTTTGACATCCCCCAGCCTCACATCACTGGTCTGTGCGTGAACCGGGCGTAGAGGGGATGAACTACAAGCCCCCACCCCCCCTGGCTCCAAGGCTCCATCATGTGCGCTTCTGGCGGCTTCTCGAGACCCTTTCAGCACGGAGACATGCAAACTAGCTTCGAGCATTCATGGCTGTGCCATTTCGGCTTCCATCTTAGTTGAAGTTCCACGGATCCGTAGATGCTCGACCCGAATCTGCCTCATCTTGAGCTGTAGCCTTCTGCGTCAGGCTCACGGGGCGCTCCGCCCTGGGTGGTCGAGGTCATTTCGACAACCTGCAGCTCGTCTTCTTTCAGAAGTCGTGTCACTCACTTGTCGTCGGATTTGACGTTTTCGTAATTATTCGAAGGATGCGGGAGGAATCTGCCTGTCTCGCTTACTGGGCAATCTGCTCGTCACCCCATCTGCGGTTTCAGCTTCCCATCCTCACCCTCTGTCGTTTGCGTGTCACGAACCCTCAGTTTCATCATTTCCCTTGACATTGCATGGAGAACATGCCCGTTTTCGATGTTTTCTTGTTACTCTGCCTCTTGCAGTCATTAGTACTGGCCCCATCTAACTCTTTTGTGGAGGCGGAGTTCACACTCAGCCACAGGCCCTTCTCAACATTTTCCTTACCCTTCACGCCCACATGTTCTGTTTTCTTGCTGCCTGCCAGTGTTCTGCTTGAGCCGCGCGCATGCACTTCAATAATAAGGGCAACCTGTGGCCTCACTTTCGTCAAAGCTTGTTCCTTGCCGACCTCCGTGAACCTTCATCTGCAGCCTCATCTTTTCGCCCGACTTACACATCCGTGCTGACCGTCGCTCACGGCTATCAGCCCGACTATTTAAAAGCAATCGAACGTCATAAGTGATCAATTCTAGCTCTTCATTTCGTTCCTGTCTTTCTTCACGTCTCTCTTTCCACGACTCTTCTAAATCAATGCATCAACCGGAGCTGGCTTCTGGTCACTTCTGTCACAACCCGCTAGCCTGGGACTAGTCGTCACTAAACTTCTACGAATCGTGCAGACGCCATGGCCGACCGAACTTCCGCCGAAGGCCTGCCTGGTCCAGCATTCGATCCGGAGGCGTTCCCTGGTCCAACCTCGTCCAGTCCCCGCATGATCAGGCATGATACTACATCTACAGTCAACAGTGGAAACATTCCTCCAATTAGCCCCGGGTTCTACAAGTTGCCTATCCATGGAAATTGCCCCAGGTGCCACCATCGCCATAAAGCCGCTACCATCAAGGTTTCCAGGGATTTGAGCCAGGTTAGCCACGTCTACTGTGAACGATGTGGTGAAAAGTGGCTAGCCTTCGGTGGAGGTAATTCAACCAGAATCTCTTTGCTCTCAACTCAGACCATGGACCCGGACCCCAATGACGTTGATTTCCGTTCCACGCTTATTGAAATGGTGCGATCTCTCACCGCCGTAGGATCAACAGCTGCGCTTGCAAGCGTGCCAGAGTCTCCTTCTCGTATCCCGTCTCGGGAGCAATCCGTCAAGTCTACCAATGCGCCATTGGGCCAAGAGCAGCTGCCGTCAAGCGCTGGTGCTCCAATGACTGCATTCCCTGAACGTACTGATGCATCCCAGGTCACTTCAAAGGTCTTCGATGCAGCGCCACCCTCATTTCCCCCTCCAACTGGAGCAAACATTCGAGGCGGTGCTGCAACGAAAAGCCCGCGAAGGAAGGCCCTTGTCGCCCAGTTGAAGGCAATCAAAGAACGTATTCCATTCATCAAAAGGCTTCATTTGAACCAGCTCATGCCATCCAAGAAGAAAGCAAAGGTCCCAGACAAGGACAAAGGGAAGCAGCCAGTTGACCAAGCATTGACCATGCATGAAAATCCAGGTACCCTTATTTCCCCAGCTCCCAACGCCACCCCGCCGAAAGCGCCTTCCAATTCCATGGGCATAGAAATATTAAAGACAGCTAGCGATAGGCATGATCCTCAGAAGGAATCTGTTGACACGCCACATCCTGGTAGCCTTCCTCACGACAACTTCAAAGAAACTCTCAAGGACATGACCCACGATCAGCGAATCGCCTGGGTCCGGGAGATGGTCACGGATTCCAAATGCCGCTGCGGCTACTATTGTTACTGCAGGCGTGCTCCGATATCGGCTACCTTTCCTGCCAGCAGCAGTGGCAGCGGCGGCACTCAGGTAGACGCGTCTACTCTTACATCCCAAGCCACGCGCCAATACCTGGCTCAGAGACGCCGCTCTAACGAGGTCTTCGCTGTCGGTGGTGCTTTTGACGATTCCCATACACGATCCAGCAGCCCCCGCCGTCCTACCAGTATTGCTAGCCTCAGAACCTCACAAGCCCCAACGATCTATGGTTCAGAAGGTATGACTGCCACAGCTGGTGGACCTCACTTGTCGTTTCTGGGGGTCGCACCTCCCCCAAGACCAAGATCAAGATCCCCACGGCCGCCGTCACTCCCAGCCGGACCTTCTCGGCTTCATGAACAAATCAGTCAAGACGAGATTTCAACCAGGCCAACGGAATCGTCTACATCGGGTAGAGCAGTGGTGAGTTTACCTGGTGCACGACCTGTAGATGGGCATGGCCCATCACCTTGGTCGCCAGACCTCGTAGTCGAGAACAACCCCCCGGCACAACCTGAACAGCGCACACCGCAATCTCAAGAGCAATCAGATGCCGTCTCGATATCTGCAGGAGATCGCCAATCTATCGAATCGGTGCCTCATCTCAACGGGTATCGCACATCCGATGAGCGTAATGGAGACCTACCATTCTCTCCAGACGATAGACCTTCTCAGTAGCAATGGTGCTCACTTGCTGCGATCTCCTCATCCTCGACTCAACATGAACTCCTATCTCAGCACTACCAAGCATGCCATCGTATTCATGGTCCAACGACATATTTTCAATTCACTTCCACACTTGATCGTTTCCCTTGCCATTGCCTCGTATGCTACCAACAGTTCTTTGCTATCTTGCACTCACTATCAATGTTCCGACTATGTCGGCACCGGATTCGACACAACAGTTTACCCAGCATCACTTCACTACCGAGCTACATCATGAACCTCCTCGCTCGCTTTCAACGGCAGGGACTTCGTGTTTCCGTCTCTTCTTTTTATTTGCTCATACCCACAATACCACGAACGCAATGAGCGCTTCAGCACAACCCCACTGCAGCATGTATTTATCTTTCCTGTCTTTATTGCGTTGCGGCATCTCTCTCTCCAGCATTTCTGTATATCCACTCCTTCACGATATATGGGTATGGACTATGCGAGATTATGTGTTATGGCGAGCTACAGTCATTCTCACTGTCTAAGGTGTTCTTCGGACTTTGTGGTGGCGCGTTGATTGGTGGCGCAATGGATCAGCGGACTGAAGGGGGATATTGGATTGGCGCGCTATACCCTCCTTCCCGGATTCGTTTCTTCTACATTTTAGTCGTTAGAGGATGAAAGATCGAAATCGAACACGTACTGTCGTTTTCTTACTAAGACTTTGGAAAAAAATTGACTACAACCGCTGGAGTTATTTTCTCCTATTTAAAGCCAAAAATATTCGGCATAATAAGAGCAGGTCCGTCAGTCCGCCAGAGGAGAGTTATTCAGAGGGTTTTATTACGATCAAAAGAGTAAAGGACATGTTTGCTTGACCTAACCAATCCTGTGGCCACGGCCTCATGGGTTAACTAAGCTCTTTTCAGACCCGCCGACACAGCCGCTCATTGTGCACCAATGCCTAAGTTAGACGATAGCATCGTATTGTAGTTGAGTCAAGTTGTTGAAGTTATTTAACAAACGCTTTTGACAATGATTTTTAGGATCAGAACCCGAGTGCTGCAACGCTCTACATGTTCGCAGATCGAAGGCAATATCATATATGAGTATAAAACAGCTGAGAAGGTGAAAGAGCTCAAACTTCGGACGGCCAAACGCATTAGGTGTTACTATCTAGATTGGCGATTGTGCCCTTAGTGTTGCTTCCGGTTCTCTTGAGACCTCGGTTCAGACCACTAGACAATGGTATTTCTTTCGCTTCTTTCAACTATTTCCCTCTCGTTGACTCTTGCGATGAGCAACTGTGGATCGTAATGTATTCTACTTACAGTTACTATCTTCTTTCTATGCTTCGATTGCATAGCGGTATTATATTCTTGGGCACTCGTTTATGGAAATTGGGTCTTTTCCCCGGAGTGAATTAAGAGATAGGGCATAGTCCAGGCCAATGTCTTTAGCGTTTACCCGCAAAGCCACCTACCTAGCTAAGTAAAACCTTATAAAGGCGTTAGCCTGTTTAGACCCGTCCAAACCAATGGGAAACAAGGTCAAAGACTAAGATACCCAAATGCCATTGCAAGCACTTTTACAAAGACCAGATCACCAAACAAAACCCAATGCATAACCCATGCAAGAATATCACTCCAAGCACAGACCCAAGCCTCTACCGTGGGCATTCAGACTCTGGGATAAGTCCTCATAACCCCCTGATACTCCCCCACAAATTCATTCAGCCTCCTCTCCACACTCGCCCTCCCCTTCCACTCCCAACTCAACCCCAAGTACGCCCAAACCCACTTCGTCGTAACCTCCCACGCTACCTTCATCCCCACTTTCCCACCAACTGGCCCCACTCCCCTCACCATATCCCTTGCGCCCGGGTACTCGCTGGAAGTGATGTTGAGGATCAGCGGGAGGTCGGAGTAGTCGTATATTTGGCCGGGAAACAGGTCCCATTCTGTGGCGTCGCCGCGGAAGTGCGGCCAGGATGCGTTCCAGTGCGGAGAGTCTTCGCGGCGGAAACCAGGGGAGAGGCCGAAGAAGAGGATCGGGGCGTAGGTATCAGAGGGGATGAGGGGGGGTGTGCCAGCGAGGTTAATATAGACGCTCGAGTTCGCGGCGAGGTATGGAGAGGGGGTGGAGGGAAGAGTGGATAGATAAGTGGATATGGAGCCGCCGAGACCGTGGCCGATGATGTTGGTGTTAGCAGGCAGTGTGTTGAACGCTGCGTTTTGAGGGATGGGAATGAGCGTTGTGTTTAGCCCTGCGGATTGCAGAATTGTATAGTTCCGGAGGGAGGTGGTTACGATTTCGAGGTCTGAGAGCCGGGTATTAAAAGCCTTTGTAACCGTTGCGTTCCAGGGATTCATCGCCACGAACGGATCTAGTTCCACTTTCTTCAAAGCTGTGCTGTTCTCGGATCCAGAACCCGGGTCCAATTCAACGATGCTGCTGTCATACGGATGATCAACGGTCACGACTACATAGCCCTGACTCGCAATCTCCTGTGCAATTGCACCATACAGAAACCTCGTCGTCCCTACATTTGGTTCAATCACGACGACTGGATATGCAGTAGGATTCGTCATATTCCCCTGCTTAACGCCACAACAAGCCTGGAACTTGATGTTCTCGAAAATACGAGAGTCGTTCTGCTGACTGCCGAAGAACTGTGCGCCGGAGACTACAGCTGTAGCATTGGGCATGTATGCGGGATAGCACCTGCCGCTGCAGATGTTCTTGCGTAGCGGATAGAAGACAGAGATCATCACATGTCGTCCTGCAGTTGGGTCGGGGTGGTAGGGATCGGGGCTTGAGGGGGAGTGGAAGTGGAGGTGTGAGATTGTGACGTTATAGTCCCTTCCTGAGGGGAGAGGGAGGAGTTGTTGGGCCTGACTGGTCGTGAGGTGGGCTAGGAGGGATATGCTAGCTAGGAAAAGGGCTGAAGGGAGGAACATCTTGGTGAAGATGGAGGAAGCGGTCGTTGGGTAGAGTTGAGATTGTAGAGTCTGGGGAGGTGAGGGAGGGGATAACGAGAGACTTAGAGAGGGGTCTTCATATAGGCTGACAGTCAAAAATTGTCGAAATCCCTCTGACGTAGATGTATTGCTTACCCCAATTCACTCCACGCCCCAGAGTGACCTCCAAACAAGCCCACTTAGTCACTTACACGCTGCATTCCACCACACGCCCCTGTTCCACTCACTCCCTCACCGCTTCCAAGCCCCAAAATACCCTCTCATCCACCCTCTCCACAGCTCTTCCCATCCACCATTATCGCCGAATCTGCGGTACCCCCAAACGCGGAGAAGTGTCAGCCAATGCCGATCCCGCCACCAACCAAGACATGCTCATACTCTAAAGTTTCTGGAACGCCAAGGTTGCACTTTAGGGCGGCACGGCAGCAATATGGATCGGCGTGTCCTACTTACCCGACGGCTAAGCTTCCGCCACATGCTTGTGCGAGTGGCTAGCTGCTGTGTACCTGCTTTAACCAACATGGGTGTGGATGTCGATATAGATGCGGGGGAATATGAGGGGCATTTTGCGACATCTGTGTTGGTGGTTTTATGAGAGTTGTAGAGCTAGCAAAGGGGTGGGAGTGGGGTGACCTACCCTAACTCTAAGCAGAGATATTATTCGGGTTTCAAGTATTTCTAGAAAATATTGGAGCGGGCATGTACTTGGTATTTTGAGGATATTGTTGCAACATCACTGGTGATAGGTAGTTTTGATATGAGATGCAGACCTAGAAAGGAGCTGGTGGAATAAATTCCTAACTAAAGTGTAACCGAAAAGGGCCCAGTGCTCTCATCTGGTATTTAAGTATTCCTGGGAAATTTAGAACTATCATTCAATCCACGTCGCTGTATCCTTCTACTCTTCCTCGCTATCAATCTCCAAGTCCTTTGGCGCATCGCTGAGCTCCTCGTTATCACTAGCCTCATAATTCCTTAGAATATATTCCTACTCCGTATCCGCACCGTCCTCCGCTTCGTTATCGTCTAGGTTGATATGTCCTGTGCCATTGCTCTTTAAAAAACCAACTCTTGCTCTGTCTAGAAGCCACTTAGCGTGGGGGTGTGGTGTGGATATGGATGCGGGAAAAAATGAGTGAGTACTTCTTGGGCGACATGAAAAGACTAGTGATGTTTTTGATAAGATGTTGAGGATTAGCAAGGGCCAAGAAAATGCATCCCCAGATTCGAAGTCGACCGCGAAGAGTGCCGAGATATTTTCGCCTCTCACATTTTTGCTCTCTCTGATTCGTCACCATTGTCTACATATCTTCAGAAATCGCAGTTCCTGTCTTCTTTTCCGCTTCCCCCACCTCACCTGCCAAATCGCCCAATTCACCCTGAAGCTCACACGCCTCATCATATGCCATCTCCGAATCCACCCATCCTCCCACTCCGAATCCCCTGCGTAAAAGTGTCTAATCTCACCCACTCCTCTCAAATCACCCCTTGCTGCACCCTAAAAACCACTCCCTACACACATCACTTCCAAACTCGTCATCCTTAGGGTGTTATCTGACCTGCCCCATTTCTCCACTAACCCTCTCTCCAGCGGACTCACAGTGTTGGAGAGATAGGATAATAGCCAGTCACGCGTTTGCAGCAGTCTCGATGCCCTACTCCGTGCTTCGTCGTTCCAGCTCCAGTCTTCAAGCCAGTGCGTAGATACTTCATAAATCGTGGCTAAACCTTGCGCTAATTTGAGTCAATGGCGATGTGCAGGGATGCTTCGCGGGCAGGATCCCGAACTCAAGCCATCGTGAAACTATCTAACGGTCCGGATCTAAGTGGAGTGTGGGAGGGACTTGGTAAGAGATAGAAGAGTGAGGTGTTATGCAGCGTGGTTACAGGCGAAGTTGAGGTGGTTATCGTGAAGATTTTGGTGGTCGGCTAGATACAGTGAGCAACAGTGAGGGGAAAGTAGCTAACACTGCAGCGTCTGAAAGCGGTTAGGACTGAAATGTGGCCATAGCAGATAATTACTTACATTTAGATCTTCCTGACCTCAGATCCATCTCAGACAATGCCACCATCGAATGATGTTGCCAAATGCATAGTATATCCGGATCCTCCATGGTCTACTTTCAATCTACGAGCTCATCTTCAAAGTCCCTCGTTGAAATCCAGTAGACTATCAAAATCATAACATCTTTCCCGCCCCGAACTGGCCTCACCCGCACACCACAACCTCCTCAGGCCGAGGACCAACAGCTTTCGCATCCGCCTCCTCCTGTGCCAATCTCTTCTTCTCCTTCTTACTCAGCTGCATCGAGCCCTTCTCAATGGCCTCCTTAGGTACCGGGCGTACATATGGCTGACATACCCACCACGGGCGTTTACAACGGGCGACCGCTGCGAGAGAGGACGTATATGGGTCGTCGGGGATTTCTTCCAGGCTACCGTTCACCCCATTTTGAGCGTCCTGATTCTGAACAGTCTCTGTCGTATCTACCTCGCTAGTAGCTGGCTCATCAACATGCTCCGTCTCATAAGCAATTAAGCCTTCTTTCACAGCCTTCTCCACCAAACTCAGCACATTCTCAAAGGCATCGATATCACCAACCCTACACCTAGCCAATGCATCTCGCACATTATGATGTTGCGCGACGAGAGGTCTCAGCAGGTGGAATAGGTGAGCCTGCATCGCCGTGAGATTCGGGTTCTTGACCTGCTGCTGCTTTCTGTCTGCCTTGGAATGCTTCCTCTTCTTCCTCGCCGGGCCTTCAGAATCTTCCTCCTCCTCAACCTCAACCTGCACTTCGGAATCCGATGGTAGGAACAGCGGCGTCCGCTTTGGCGGCGCTTCCCCGAGTGCGTGCTTGTGAATGATATCCATATACCGCCTCATCACAGCATCCATTCTATATCCACCTTTCCCGTCTCTTCCGCGCCAGTACTCTCTGCCTTCCTGGCCAACTGGTGGGGGTTTAGCAAAGATGGTAGGATCATAGAGATTGCCTTCTGCGCTCATGACGGCATCTGCACCGGTCTCTTGCAAACATCTATCAATATCGTCATGCTGCAAGATATTCCCATTCGCAAAGATTACCGTCTCTTTTGGAAGATTATCCCTGAGATACCGGATCACACTCCACTCCGCCAGGCCGGTGTTATGGCCTTTCTGCTCTCGTCGCCGCCCATGCACTGTGATGATGCTTGCACCAGCCTCAAGCATAGTCTTAGCGTAGTCCAAGGTCTTCTCTCGCGTCTCGAGGATCCGCATCTTAGCTGTAATTGGAACGTCTAGCTCCTCATGCAGTTTCCGGATCATACTGGCAATGAGGCCCCAATCCTCCTGCAAGAAAGCACCATACTTCCCTCTCTTAGCAATGCCCTGGGGGCACCCCAGGTTCAGATCTACAGCATCGCAGAAAGGCGCCACGTGCTTAGCAGCATTCAGCAAATCGTCCGGGTGGTTTGAGCAGAACTGTACGAACAGTGGCCTGTCAAACGCCGTATTGCCATCGAGGTGGCGCTCCGACTGGGGAAGCTGCGATATGTGATACGGGTCCACAGGCGAGGGAATTGCAGACTTCAGTGGCTGGAAGTGCGAGTCTCGGTACTTGGGCATGTCAACAAACATCTTGGAATGGAACATGGGCGAGTAGGCGAGCAGGCTCGACCGCAAGGGTGGAGGGAGGAAGGAGCGAGTGAGCATCCGCCATGCCTGGCCCTCTGGTTAGCCTAGCTATGACGAGTACATGCGGGTGGTAGAGGGAGATGCATGCGTACAAATTCCGACTGCTCGACCATGGGCGCAAGCACCATCTTCGGGCTGCCAATACTCTCATAGAAATCACGTCCATGCAATTTCGCCTTATTCTGTGGTGTAATAGCATGTCCGTTGTTGTCGGCCTCCTGTCGTAGCTCTTGCCCCATCTCGGAACCCATCTCGGAAGCCGCGGCTCTGCAGCACTGTCTCGCTCTCTCACCAGAGACGTTACGCCACGACCGCAGACGTGCGACCCTCCCAAACAGTACGCGAATGATGAAAAGCAAGTCAGCAGGTCCAGTAGGAAGAAGAGGGGACGTGGCGGGTGAGCTCGGGTGGTGAGGGCCCCGGGAATGGTGGAATCAATGCCCTCATCGATGGTGAAAATGTTGTCTTCGGCTCACTGTCTCCCGCTCGCCAATCAGATGCCGCCAGCCCACATCATCGGACCCTCAGGCAGGGCTGATGCAAGAGCCTTTAATATCTATCCACATCGCCTGACACTCGTTTCCCCTCGTAAGACTGATTTTATCGCCATGCATCAACTGCCGAATTCCGCATTGTTGACCTTGTTTTTCCTTCTTTCTTCCTCTTTCCTCCTTGGAATCTGCGCCGTCCTAAGGACGCTGTCCCAGCACCGGAATGCCATCAGTCACGTCCATCACGGTGCTCGAACCTCGTAACCATCACTCGCAACTCCCTCAAGAGTACAATCATGTTGATATATTCATCATCCGTGCTAGCTAGCCCGGTATGCCCATTACCCGACCATGACAGTCGCCCCGAAAATCTACGCCGCTGGGAGCCATAATCCCACTCTGGCAGTCTAACGCTATCCATAATCATACCAAGCAAAAGCAAAATGCCGCCCACCAAAACACCCAACTCCCAGTCCCAAACACCAACCGGCCCAATCCTTCTACCGCATCCTCATCTCATGCCATCCTCCTCGTTGAAAGTCGGAATGACCAATGTCGTCCTGGGCAACACAAATCCCCAGTCATTAGGTTGGATATTTCATCGGCCGTTACGCAGCACCTATCCAGAATGGACGGCTGGTCTACATATTCCGCACCGTGGAAACGCTGAATCGCAGGAAATCGGACAACCGTCGGTAAATGCAGAACGCCAGGATGCTACGCTATTATGCATATGCTTCGTTAGGAAGCTCAAAAGGAAGTTTGAAGAGACCAAATATCGAGGGTGGAACCGATTATTGGCCTGGATATCATCATAAAGTTAAAGAGAAGATTGTGACGACGTCGAGCAGCCTAGAAGGTACTCCAGTTCCAGGCGCCTTGGAAACTAGAAGCGAGACTGCCGACCCGATTCGCCTCGGGGCGTTTTGCTACTGTGGGAGTGTCGATCTGGACTGCGGCCGTGCTGTCTGAGCTCTCACTGTTGGCGCGGCTGGAACGCATGCGCTCCCATTGGACAAACTGGCTATGACATCGGTCGCATGCACGATGAAAATCGCCCTCGGGATGGAACCGGGCATGCTCGTCAAGCTGCACCTTCTTCTGGGAGTGTTGGTAGCAGAAGATGTGACCGCACTTGCGACAGTGGTGTCGGCGGGTGAAGAAGGAGAATCGCGTCTGGCATGCCGAAGCATTGCATTCGGCAGTGGAAGTGTCGAGCTGAGTGTTTCAATTAGCCCGATTGGTTAAGACGTGGCGGGGAGGGAGGCGGGCTGAAAAATGTGGACGGAAGTTGAGGGGGAAGAAGGCCGTGGGGTAGGTGGGTGTGACGAGCGAGTCGGCCTGCATTCGCCAAAGACACTAGTGTGGGGGGAGAGAAGGGCGAGTAAGACAGCAGAACGATTTAGGACGCGGCATTGCGTCGCGGAGAGAACTTAAGCTTCGGATGTGCCGCCTTCTTTCAACATCATCAAAAGACGCAGCGAAAGCTCCATTTCGCAGTTTTGTCTGTCGCTCGAACGAAGGGTGCAGGCCTCTCTGCCCAGCGTGCCGGTTCTCGGCGAGGAAGCGCCTCAAACCCACAGAATCGGACCGACGCTAGAGCGACCGCCCACGAACGAGTACGTAACAGCTGGGGACTTGGGAGACTTGAGAGATGGAGCACGCGACAAGCGGGGGTATGATGGCGGCTGCTAACTCTGACCTAGGAAAAGGAAATTCAACCATGCAACGTACCTGCCAGTGGTTTCTCGTGATCGGTCCGGCAATTGGAGAAAGCGGCATGTCGTTATAGATGCTGTGCATGTCTTCGGTCGGAATGCGGGAAAGGCTGGTGTCGATGGTGTCATTCGTGGGTCGCCGAAGCCCAGCACCCGCACTCCAGCTGCCATCGGGGGTATCGACTACCGAGTCAACCTTTGGGGGCGATGGTCGCGCCGACTTCTCCGTCTTCCTCAGCGCTGCCGGCACATATAGCGGGGGCTTCATCGGCCGGATAGGCGGGGCGTAGTTCGGGTGGGTGGGGAGGTGAGCGGCACTCCGAGGAGAAGTCGGGGAAATGTTCGCAGGAGTGTTGGAGCCGGAGCCCATCGGAGTGTAGTGTGCGGAGGTCTTGTAGGCGTGGTGTTGATACAGAGCAGGCTGGGGAGCCACAGTCGCAGTCGAGAAGTCCGTTGCCATCGTCGAGGGGTGTCGTGTGCGGGCGAGCGAGGTGGACGGACGGACACAACGCGTATCAGGCACTTTATCGGAGGGCCTCGACGAAGATAACGGAGACGGCAGGCGGTGAAGCTATCGCGGGACGCTTGCGATAGCTCTCAGAGGGTGGTATCGGCGGCGGACCTGGAGTGCAGGGATAAGGGCAGCGGTGCGATACAGCCAAGCAGCTGGCGGTGCCTCTTCCAGCAGGATCACTGCTCACCCCGGGCAATCGTGCCCTCTGGAAAAGGCTGCGGCTCTCAGATAATGTTGAGGTTGGATGAATTGGCAGGCTGACGCACGCACAGGCAGTGGGCGATAAGGACGGGTCGCGGCAGCGGTGGGACAGGCGGCGCCGGGGCCACACTCTTCGCTCAGGGCAATTGGACAGGGCGCATCGTCGAGTGAGCACAGTAGAGGATTCGTGAATGGTCGCGGGAAGAGGGCGGGAAGGGTGGCAGTGGTGCGTGGCCGGTGAGGGTTTGGGGACGAGGAGGCATTAAGACATCACCAAAGATTATTGATGGGGAGGGTCCAACGGCAGCCAAATCAGGCCATGCAGTCTAGCCTCGCCGAAGCGTCAACATGCCTGTCCTCGGGCTAGCATCGGCGCGCGTTACCGGGCATCTTTTAATTTCTCCGGGTACCTTCTCGCGCAACGCCGCGCATATCCGGCTCTTTTTTTTTTTCTCCTTCGTTGTGTGCGGAAACTTGAATATAAAGGAAGCCCAGTGCCCTCTGCCATCACGTCTGCATTGTCTCCTCCCGTCATGCTCTTGTGGCAGGTGCATTGGTGACTAGAAGCAGTAATTGACAACTGACACTTGCTGGGAGCTGCAAGGTGGTCGGACGCCAAGCCGTATTGGGCCGCTCTTATCTCTCGCCAATCACAGCGCTGCATTTCTAATTTGAATTGCATTGAAGAAAGCGAGACACCCTCATAGCTTTGCGCTCGCATGAAAATACGCATGTCTTCATATAAAAATATGGATTCACTGCATGCGACAGCATTCAGCCTTGCTGAGTGGATGCTGACAGGCTTCTCCAGAGAGTCGAGGCCCGCAGTTTCGAACATGTGGGGAGCAAACTTGGAGCGCAAGAGCAAGAGCCTCCAGATGCAAGTCTCCACTAGAGCAGGGTATTGTAACCACCAGAGTCCAGACGCCTAAAAATAGAAAGCCTGTCGGCAAGCGACTTTATCCGAGCCGAGTGCACTCCACGCACGGATAGTGTGGCACGGTTTGAGGCGAAAACTCCTGTGGCGCGAGCTGTGCCTGTGGCCATTGCTTGAGGAGATGCCGAGGCTCTCACATGGAACATCAGCTTGAAGTCGTGAGACCGAATCTCATCCTCAAGAAACGCGGGGAAATATAACGAGCGTCCAAAGTGAACTGTGCCTTTCTCCCTTTTTAACAAAACCCCTACCCCTCGATGAGAGCCCCTGGCCAGACTCGCACCAACCCTAGGGGGGTTCAACACACCAAAGACACTCCTTCTCCGGACTTGTGTCCCCTCGTATCTTCAATTTATCCACCATGTCTCTCACTACGGCACCAGTCTCACCAAGGGCAACTCCGTTGCCTCCCGTACCCTCCGAGGACCCTCTCACGGCAGCACAATGGAAGACGCTTCTCGCCATAGCCGATACAATCATCCCGGCCATCAAACCTATCGCCACCGCCAACACGAGACTTGAGATACCGGCTACGGCTAATGAGTACTCTACGGCCATCAGCACTTTGGAAGGTCTCTCCCCAAATCCGGATAGACAAGCAGCGGCAAAAGCGTATCTCGAAGAAAATGCTTCGTCGAATCCGGCTTTCCGAGAAGCCCTGCACCGCCTGCTGGCACTGCATATGCCTCATGCTACAAAGAGGCAGTTCATTCTAGTATTGAATATACTGAAGTAAGGGTAATTCGTACTATTCTTGAGAGTCTACATGATTGTAATTTCTTTGCTCTCTCTTGATTACTGCTCAATTCTATTTCAGTCATGAAGGGATCTGGTTTCCATTTCATTCGCTCGTAGCAGACTTCGGATAGTAGAAATCAGCACTATCAAGCCATGCCTTAGCAAATGTCTTCCTTACCTTCTTGCCCCGTCGTGCTTTCCGTGTCTCTATCTATCTCGTTATGCTGGTTTCTAATTCCAGAACAGTACTCGCGCTGGCTCACTCCTCCTAACCGGATCCACCACACCCATCGGCGACCAGCCCGTCCATATCCGAGAAATCATCATCCAAGGATGGGCAGCCGCCCGCCTTCCTCTCCTCCGCCAACTCTACCGATCTTTAACCATGCTGTCAAAGCAGACATGGATCAGGATCACGCCAACCCTTCCTCGCATCCTCGGCTTCCCCCACGTGCCCCTTGGCATGGTTCCTGGAAAAGACTTCGACTATGAATTCATCCAGTTCCCGCCCGGAGATAAACCAGAGATCATTGAAACAGATGTCGTGATTGTAGGAAGCGGATGTGGAGGTGGGGTGTGCGCGAAGAATTTAGCGGAAGCTGGGAATCGGGTTCTTGTGGTTGAGAAGGCGTATCACTGGACTTCAGAGCATTACCCTATGTCTCAAGAAAACGGCTGGGACCATTTGTTCATGAATGGGGCTTTCATATCCTGTAAGGAGACAAAACTCTCGCCACCATGATTGAGGAGTAGATATTGACTTGCTCTAGCCGATGACACAGCTGTCAACATCATAGCAGGACAAGCCTGGGGTGGCGGCGGCACAATAAACTGGTCCGCATCCCTTCAAACCCAGGGCTTTGTCCGGCGCGAATGGGCAGACCGTGGTCTTCCTTTCTTCACGTCTTCAGAGTTCCAGGATTCTCTCGACCGAGTCTGCGAACGCATGGGTGTTTCGGCGGAGTTTATCGAACAGAATCGTACCAACCAACTCCTGATGGAAGGAGCCCGCAAACTCGGATACACATACAAAGCCGTGCCTCAGAACACGGGAGGTAAGCGACACCACTGCGGCCACTGTACATTTGGATGCGGGTCTGGTGAGAAGCAGGGACCGTCAGTATCCTACCTGCCTGACGCGGCCCGAGCGGGTGCGAAGTTCATCGAAGGCTTCCATGCCGAGAAAATCATCTTCTCCCAAAAAAACGGGGAGAAAGTAGCGATAGGGGTTAGGGGCACATGGGTCTCGCGAGACGTTAACGGCGGCGTAGCGGGTGAGCCGATAACCAGACGCAAAGTCATCATCAAAGCGAAGCGGGTTATTGTATCCGCTGGCGCGATGCAAAGCCCGCTCTTGCTTCTTCGCTCGGGACTCAAAAATTCCCACATTGGGCGGAACTTGTACATCCACCCCGTTTCCCTCCTCGGCGCCATCCACAAAGAAGATATCAAACCCTGGGAGGGCGCCATCTTAACATCCGTTGTCTCTGAGTGCGAAAATCTCGATGGCAAAGGCCACGGGGTGAAGCTAGAAGCCACAAACATGCTTCCGTCAGCCTGGCTCATCTGGCTTCCTTGGAAGAGCGGGTTAGACTACAAGCTCAACGCCGCGCGGATGAAGCATATGGTAGGCTACATTTCGCTCGCTCGAGACCGCGATACAGGACAAGTGTATCCCGATCCCGTGGACGGCCGTGTTCGGTTCAAATACTCGACATCCTCGTTCGACAAAAAACACATCACGGAAGGCCTCATCGCCCTAGCAAAGATGCAGTACGTAACCGGCGCCACCGAGATCTTCACTGTTATCCCAGGCGTCTCGACGTTTATCCGCTCCGCCGAGTCAGAGCAGGACGGTGTTGGCATCAATGACGCGAAATTCCAAGCCTGGCTTGAGGAGGTGAGGACAGTGGGGTTCCCGAGCCCAGAGTCGATGTTTGTGTCGGCGCATCAGATGGGCACGTGCCGGATGAGCAGCACGGCGAAGACCGGCGTTGTTGATCCGAAGGGGCAGGTATGGGGCACGAAGGGCTTGTATGTGGCAGATGCGAGTGTATTTCCGAGTGCGAGCGGGGTTAATCCGATGGTGACGAATATGGCGATTGCGGACTGGCTTAGCAGGGGGGTTGCGACCGGACTTGTGAATCAGGCGCGTTTGTGATTGAGCAGCGGGAGATCTTGTTAGACTCTGGACCGTTGATGTATTATATTATATAGCAGTGAGGAGAGCTATATTAACAGGTTTGGTGAGGGAAAGGAGCTCTCATCGAAGGCGCTTCGTGTCGTTCAACGCAGAGAAGCTCGTGAACAGCGAGAACTGTTATCCAAACACAGCTTCTTCGACTTACGAAAGGTGCTCCCAAACTCAGAGATCTTGCGTCTTGAAACAGCTGCGCTTGTTCAACCGGGAAACCGTCTGATCCGGCTGGTGAAGCTGGGGAAGGTCACCACGAGGGGACGCCTCCAAGCTCGCAGCCCATTTAGGTAGAGCATGTTTCCGACACAGAGAGGCGCCAAATCAGGAACGTCTTACGTTGACTCCACTTCACTTCTCAGCCCACAAGCCTTACTCACAAACCTTCCAAGGCTGAGAGTGGTGAAAGGGCACCTCCACAAGGGGGATGCCCAAATCCTGGCTGTTGACTGGCCAGCACGGACGGCGGCCTCAGGAGGCAGAAAGGGCTTGGCGCGGACCAGGCAGAGATCTCATCGCCGATTGGCTGAAGGGGAGACGGTCTCGGGGGGCAGAACTATCTTGGCAGGGCATTACGTCACAGCACCACCTCTTCCGTATAGTCCCCACTGCTTTGGTTGCCTGTCGCAGCTTCCTCACCACCCACGCTGCCCACATCTGACCTGACCAGCCGCCACCACCGGCTGCGTCGGATCGCACAAGCAGATTCGAAACAGGGCTAACGTTTCAATCAGTTTTTGGCACGGCAATTGCCCATTGACCGCCACGAGGGAGTGCTATATGAGCCAGGCGCGACTTGAGTGATTTTTCAAGGGACTGCTCCCATTTTCGCTTGTTTGCGGCGATTGCGATTGCGGCTTGCGACTCACGCCATTGGGGCCAGCAGGGTGCTTTGATTGCCAGCAAACGCGAATCACCGTTCTGACTCACGGTCGATACGCTACAGGTCGACATACGGGATATACCAGTACTCCCGCCACTACCACCCTGTCTCTATCTCCTCCCGGCTTCCGCTTCAACCCCAACTTCCACTTCTACCAGCCCGCATCCTTCAACAAATCCGAAATATGACCTTTCCTCCTTACTCTACCATTATGTCTGGCTTCGGCGGTGTGGGAACAGAGTTCATCTCGAGGCTCGATCCTCCCCGTGACATGCTCAAGGGATATGACAACACAAAGACCTACAAAGACCAGTCTGGATCTGTCCCGCAAATCTTCCGAGATGCGATGTCTGTCCGCGAGGAAGTCTTTGGCGAGCAGGGTGTGCCGTTGGAAGCCGAGTTCGATGAGGACGACCCGCGTAGCTACCATTTCGTCGTGTACGCCTCTGTTGCCCCGACGTCCTCGTCTCCGCCCCCCGGCAATTTGAAAGATAAGGAGAACATCAGCAAAATCGAGGAGGATCGTCGTCGTTCATCGTCCGCCCAGCGCCTGCCTGTTGGCACCATTCGGCTCATACCCCCCCCACATGGTCCGAATAAGTATAAGGAAGGAGACAAGCATCCGGATGCGGACCCTCCACCATCAGTCAGCGCCCACCCAACCGAGCCATATATCAAGTTGGGCCGTCTGTCCATACTGAAGGAATACCGCTCCCTCGGCCTGGCAAAGCTTCTCATCAATGCGGCTATCGATTACGCAGCTCAGCACCCGGAGGAAGTCTGTCCACCACCATCCCCAACCGCCTTGGAAGCTGCAAGCCGTCTTGGCAAGGCTGCAGAAGATGCTGTCCTCTTCCGAGGTCTCTGCATGATTCATGCCCAAGTCAACGTCGAGAAACTGTGGAATAAGTATGGTTTCACCGAAGAACTTATCACGCCCGGCGGCGCCGTCATCGAAATCCCAGCAGAAGACCATTGGGTCGAGGAAGGCCTCGAACATATGGCTATGTGGAAGCGGGTTAACATGGATGCGGAGACCGGAAGGTTGTAGATATCCTTCCCCCCACCCCCACCCCAACGCCCAAACCCCCCATTTGCTTCAAAAGTATTGTTATTGTAAGGTATGGAGTCAGTTACTTATTCCCTTTTCTGTCTAGGGAGAGGACGCTCTCGAAGTCCATGGCTACTGGTCCAGCCAAGTTTTGCCAGGATTACCTAGGCGTTTGGTAAACGGATGCGGATGCGGATGCGTATGCGGATGCGGAGTGGACGGTCCGGTTAGGACTGTACCGCAATCACTTTCTGCTACGGCTTCCCGGAACCTTTTTTTCTTTCGACTTTTAAATACGATTTGCGGTGCTTCGATTTGATACTATGGGCTGGGTGTCTGGTGGGGTGGAATTGTGTGCCGTTTGATATGTGCGGGCTGGTGCATGGTGTATGGAGCCTGGAGCCTGGAATGATGGAACGAAAGTATAAGCATGTTACGATATACCCCGGGGAGAAGATCACGACGACATGGGCACTTTTCCTATTTCTTACCTCAATGGGATTGGGGCACTGGCGTTCTCTGGACTGGGCTGGCTGGGTTGGGCACTTGCGACTTCTTCATCGATGGCTTGCTTATCTGTGGGCTCGAATGAGATGGTTGGCTTTCGGGAAATTTTCGCCAGTAGATGAGAGGCTGCATGGCTTGTTTGCATCTACGGCTTCATGGAAAGGAAATTGAATTCAAAGTCAGGATCGGAATCAAACACTCTTCTCCCCTCATTGTCCGAGCCATACATGCTCGTGATATACATGTACCTACCCAGTAGTCATGTATGTACAACAAGGATGCTATCACATAACATGGAACATGACCAAGGAAGAGTCAGTTCAGTTACTGATTAAACCTCACCCTGGAATTAGAGATAATGTTAACATAACGTCCATCTCTGCCTAAGTTACTCCCTTTTCTTATCTCTCTGTCAGGTGGCAAAATATAGCAAGTGGATATCTCGCCCCAGTTCCCAACCCTCAGACAAGAGTACAGACCTGCGGGGAGGAATAGATGGTGGTGAACTCTCCAAGGGTCGGCGGTGATTTCGTAGACGATATGTCCATTCATCACCTTACATTTACGCAGCAAATCCATGAACGACATTAACTAACACGCCCTCTGACAGATTTCCCTGATATCCGCGCTTGGTTGAATGTCGCGGCCGTCAATAACAACAGTTCAATCCTGCCTTTTCCTGGCGACGCCATGCATACAAAGGCCAATTAAGCTAGTCAAAGCGCTAACGGCGATTGATGAGGAGATGGAACGGATTAGAGGCGTTCTTAGGATTGCGTGAAGCACAGCCGGAATAGAAAGTACAAACTAAGACAGTTCATTTCATTCTATCGTTTGCCACATCACGCATCCGCAACCTCAACCTCAACCTTAAACTCGAGATTGTAGAAATATTCGCATATGATACTTCTCCTACCACTACAAACTCACACTTTCTAGCAACTTTCTATATCCACATCCATGTCTCCCCCTCCCAAATATTCTCCGCTCATAATCTCTGTCGTGTTACATCGACATGTTGGTTCGGTCATCTACGAACAGCAAACCCAACAAAACATTCCGTTAAGAATCCACCGGATGTCAAGTTCAAGTTTCTATCGACAGATATATTAGCATATTTTGTATAAAATGCGGGACAGACAAAGGGGCAAGGTTAAAAGCCCGACCCGACTCGGCTCAGACCATCCTAGAAAGTGGAAAATAACATCCGCCGAATTGCTTCTCCTGACCATTCCTTCTGTCCCAAGAGCGAGTGCCATAACTCCCTTAGGGTAGGACTAAAGGGAAGCTGGGAGAAAGTGCAGAAGGAGAGAGACTTGCCTGTCCAGCGGGACATCCGTCGGATTTGCGCTTCAGACAGTTTCCGCATTTCCTCTTGTCTGTGTTGGTGGTGGTAGCGAGGGATACGTCGTCGAAGGGGTTGGTGTTCTCATTAGGGCTGGGGGTGGGGTCAGTGGTTCCAGGAAGAGATTGCACGTTGGTGTCATGAAGGGTTTTTGGAAGGGCGGTAGTTAGGGCGGGGAGAAGGAGCAAGAGGGGGGCTGTGAGACGCATTTTTAAGTTCGTTGAAGTTTGATGTGGGCGGGGAAAAATGTAGGTTGCAGAGATATGTGCGGTCGAGGTTATTGAAGGTGAGATCGAGGTGAAGAGATGATAAGGATTGATGTCAAAGTGTATGGGAACGGCGAGGGCTTTTAGTATCTAGTTCAGGAAAACATTTTCTAGAGTGCCGAGAACAGATGATCAACCTGCGCCACCATGTTGTTTATGGGATGTGACGATGCGGGTCGAGTTGATGCGGAGAGAAAACGCCACAGTTGCGCAGAGCATATGGAAGTTTGGATTGTGAGAGAGGCGTGAGCATGTGTGTGACTGCCAACACGCTTGCGTGAAAGAAAGCCAGTGTCAGAGGTGGGGTTGGTCCTATGATCTAGCCATCTTTGCGCATCGCTGTGGGATGCGGATGCAAGAAATGCGATGAGTTGTTGTTTAGAAAAGGATAAGAGTGAGCGGTTCCCGATAGACATGGAATTTGTCTAAAACAGCCCATGGTGGTTATGTGTTGGAAAACAAGGATGGAAACTATAAGCTGGAGCGAATCGGTTTGCTACCAGGGGTTCGGTGGCACCAATGCATGTCCATGTTGTAGTACTTGTGCGTCACAAATATGGTAGCTGGACTTAGAGCAGATAAAATCCTAAATGCGGGAATTTATAGCACGATTTGGAAATTGTGGGCCGGAGAAAAGAGGGAGTGTGTGGCATGATAGTGTGTTCTCCCCTACGGGTAGTTTCTTGGCTCAGACTCTGATACGGAGAATTCTTGCGTATCGTGCAACGAGCAAACTCAGGTGACTAAAATAATAAGACGAAAAGAGGTGCAGTTGAGAGCGTTGAATATGTGTCTGTATTGGGATTGGTAGATAGCGAAAATTTAATATTGCCGTCCTTCAAGGGAGGGATCCAGAACCGCACCAACTGAGCTCATGGTTGTGCTGTGCCCTGTGTTTCATGGGATCGACCTAGAGCCAAGACGGATGTAATGTGCTAGATGGCTTATGTCATACGAACTGAACAGTGGAGCATAGGGAACGAAAACCTAGAATAGCGAGGAGCAACAATTTGAATGACTGCCTAGGAATTGTGCCGCGGATATCGGTGATCAATGGACCCGTTCCTTCGTTCTAATTTGTAGGCAGAGTTCAGTCACCCGCTTGCTCTGCTCACTCAGAGAGGTTCTTTGGAGATTTTGGATGAGAAGAACAGGAGATGAATGCTATATGAATCGAAGCAGTCTGCGACTGCTGTGAGATGTCATCACCCCACAGCGATCGAAATGTCAAACAGAGTAAATAGGCAGACATACGCCGATGAGGTTACGCACGACGACAAGTGTTCGACGCATGAAGAGTGATGAATATGTGGTTGTATTTTCCCACCATTCCCGTTGCTGGAGCCTCCAATATGCGCTAAGCTTGTTTTGCAACGCTATGCCCCTTTCGAACCAAGCCTCGACCTCGAGATTCTCCATCGCTAACACTTCTTTGAAGTAGCGACCAGTATCTTATTTTTTTGAGCCGAACTGCCTTTCGGTCCTACTGAGCAAAAATCTGATCATCTTCTCCAATCTCCCCCTCGCTGAAGTTCAAGGCGATATACATACGCCACGGGCTCGAGGAGGACCCCAACTCGGACACGAACTACTGCCAAGCAGGCAAACGGCGCCTCCATAGTGACAGCGGCCCCAATATCCCCCAAATTTGGGGCAGCCCAGGTACATCTTTTTGGCATCGTTAGCCTCATCACAATACCCCGCAAGAGGTTATTGGATGCATACATAGGGCGACTGGCGGCGGGGCGGTTTGGGTGGGTCTTCAATGCTACCAACGCTACTAGTTGTTGCTTTACCCAAATCTCTTAGCTCGATACTTGTGTCGTCGGAATTGTTTTCCGGCAGAGGTGTCGCGGAAATGAAGCCGAAAAGAGTAAGAAGAACAACGAGTCGCTTTGAGAGATGCATTGTAAGTACTTCGTTCAGAGGGTAAAGACGGGCAGGAGGGTAGGATTTTCACTGATGGCTTGGCTGTTGTGAATGTATATTTCTGGGTTTTATACCTAATTATCAAAAGTCAAGACGTATTTTTGTTGGGAGGTGAAAGTGCGTTTCCGCACCAAGCGACGGATGCGATGCAGAGCCTGTCCTCATACTGTTGTTACGTGGAGCACAAGCAAGACCTGGGGTAAAACACTTGTGTGAGAGTGCCTTGATTTTGGAGACAGTGGTGGAGTGGTAGACCTGTGGGCAGCGAGGGGTTTGAAAAGGTGGGGAAAAGAGACCTTTCAGGCTAGCTGAATATGGTTAGAAATGTGCGCACTATCACACGTGCCCCCTAATAAAAGCCCTCCTGGTTGCTGCTTGCTTCTCTTCTTCTTGCAGACCTCCTCAACGAAGTATCGGGCGTTTCCACTCCGCAATTCATCCACGATTTCATCTTGAGCCATTGCTGATCACTGGAACCATTGAACGACTACTGATGTGGCATCCATCTCGTCCTACGCTTCATCCGTTGGCAGCAAACAGCACCTCTCCAACGGGAGTCTACGTTCGGCAATCTTGGACGATACACCTCCTCTCGTTGCGATACACAAGACCTCAAAATAAAAACGGAACTTCTCAATTCGTTGCACGCCGCCGCACAAGGGCGGGATCGGATGCGGTTGGAGAAGAAAAATATCACGATTCGAAAGAATAACAAAAATAGAGAATATGAAGGATGTAGCGAGGTAGAGGAATGAAATCTGAGCGAACCTTTCTAGACAATATCACAAGAGTTATACCGTATGCCCAAAACCTCTAGGTTATGCGCCATGTTCATGACCAGAACTCCGAAAGATGTCACTCCACCGTGAGCAGACACGACACGCTTCCGCGAGAGGATGGTGATCGTGGTCCATCATCAGTGGCTGCTTAAGATTATTGGAAAGAGGCTTGGATGACAGGTCTCGGAAATTCTTACTCTAAGGCCACGCGACGAAAAAGGGTTAGCAAGACTTCGAAGGAGAGCGCATGCTGACTGTTAAGAATGGATTAGAAAGTTCAGTGCACAAGAGCCGGCAAACATTCCGAGACGTCACAGCTTCTGACAAGATGAGGCAGGGTTCTAGTATCTTCGATAGTGGGCTAGGTCTTATAGGTCGAGTCCTCGCCGCACTGGGCTAATTTCGATCACTGCGGGGTGATTCAACTTTAATGCAATTTGAATTCTGACCGCATGCGTCCCAATACCGACACTGCTGCGGCGAGCCGCCCTCATCTCTCTCGGTCGAAGCCGAGGAATGTGACATCTGTCTGTCATGCTTAGCCGCTGGCGACTAATCCAGGACCCGTTTATCGGTACCAACAAGAACGGGAGAGGCTGTTTCTCCATAATAAACGGCCATGGTGCATGGGCAGCCGCAGTTGTGGAATGTAGAACTGATGAAGCTCGTTGCCATGGAGCCGAACACTGCGAGACCATCGGCCGGGTCTCGACCGGGGAATTACGGACTGTGTTAATCATTGTACGACAGGTAGATGTCTTTGATGTCGTGCAATCGAAGTCTTAGAGTCACCACATGAGCGATTCCGGAGAACACCATCCGGAGGTCATAGCCTGCGCAACGCAGAGCAGAATTGGGCCGAGGCTTCCACTACAAACCTTGTTGGAAAAGCATGCTGGTGACGGTGGCATGACCATTCTCCTTAACTCTTGACGCCACTCGGTATTCTCTTCGGAACTTCGCGCGCCTCCCCCAACTTCCGATGAGATTCGTATCTGATGTGGGATCGTACGTGCATCAGAGTTTTTCTGGACGGTAAGCGGGGCAAAGATGGTCCCTTTCCATTCACACTATGGCTGTGGTTAAGGTAGCTGTTAATAAGCTTTTAAATTTTTTGAACTGTGGATAACTCGCCTGTCACCTTTCTAGACTTAGTTGTTGTACTAAAGTGGTCAGGATGCTAAAAGATGACCTGGAAGAAGAGTGGGCTTTGGGTGGGCATCATGCACACTTTGACTGGGCGCTTGGCGCAGTCGGTTTGGAAAATATTGTGGCGCTGCTGATGTGCAGCTCAGGAAAACTCCGGTGAGTGCCGTGTGGGGTTCATCTCCAATCAACGGCGATCTCCAGGCATTTCAGAAGTCTCACATCTGGGGGCTTGCAGCAACATGAAAAGGTCACCTCAGCTCGACCTCAAGGCGTACAGGTCCAGGCGCCATCATTGCCTTCCTCTGGAAGAAGTTTCCGCCGAGATAGCCTCAACATCTTTCTTTAGTAACAAACATCTTGGATCTTACACATTTCGCAAGCCTGAAACACCGTGCTTCCGCAGAAGAAAGCACGATCCCATGAACAACACATTAATATCTATCGAAAGATGCTTTTGACATACACAATCGGGCTGGACAACCTTATCAATTTGAGCCCCTGCGCAGGTGGTACAGCGCAACATCGGAGAAGCGTCCTCGGTCTGAATGCGAGTGGCTTTTCCAGCTCGTTTCTCAAGAATGCTCAATCATGCGACCGTCTGGAAGCATCGTGAAGCGGGGAGCAGCCAAATTTGGCGCCTTCAGTCAGGAGTTGCAACGTCAAGACGTCACGAACACGAACCGGGAGACGCAGCCGCATGGCCCGCAGGAGTTGCTGCAAGTTTCTTCCGCTCAGAACTTTGTTAGGCAAGCAACTTGCTTTTCTTGTGAGTTAGCCATGCGGTCGATTGGTGTTGAGCTCCGGCTCCCCATCGCCAAGGCCGGCTGCGCTAGCCAAGTGACAGGGCCTTTTTCGGGCCATGCCTGTTAAGGCTTAGCTCATGCAGAAAATAGATCAAACTTGCCGTCTCGCTAAGCTTCTTTCAAGCGACGGATGGCTCTCGATGACAACAACACACTCAAAATTCCCAGGTCCTCGGTCTGATGGGAGCATCAAGAGAACGGCGAGCGTGATTTGATGTCTGACTCAAGCCCGGAAACCTGTCTGACATCCCTGTTTACCTGTGCGAATGGCAGGCGACCAACGCCCGTTCCACGGCCACGATCCCTCGATCTGCAGCCCTATCCAAACTTGATGGCAGTAGCGGCTCTGGAGCTGAGCTCCAAATTTTGCCCTGCCCTCATGGTGCTCACCACCACTCGGTCAATGCCGTTAACTGCTTTTGCAGCCGTCCCTCCAATATCTCGCAGCCTTGCGTGCATACCCAATGGCATTACTCCAAGTTCGCCCGCGACTGCATGAGGCATCGCCCAGCTCCAGCCGGGCCCCAGACCGCTACAGCCCACGACCCCTCCTCGGATGCTGAACTCAGAGGCGTTCGTGATAATCATGGCAGTGCGGCATCTTATGTACGAACCTTGGACTAACGCTCACAGCCCACCGACCCGCTCTGCCAAATCCCGCACTTGCACTGGCGAGACCTTGACTCTGTTGGCTCTAGGCAATAGATCCTCAGGTCCATATCGAGACGAGACAGGCAAGCCGCCAGAATACGCATGCGTATTAAGATGAGCTGCATGTCCCTCACAGCTTCGATTTCTTTTTGACTTCACATATCCATCTCATCAGGTAGCTTTTCCCTTTGCATTCGTTACTAGTCTCCAGGGGAGTTGTCTCAGAAGTCACCTTTCTTTTTAGTTCGTTTGCTATAGTCCGTCATGTTTTATTCGATTGCTCGAACAGTAGGCTTCGTGGCCTTACTATGTCCTACAGTACTCTCTGCCGCAGTACCAGCTCCTCCTGAGGCACTCAACGTTCCCTGGAAGAGGGGTGGCATCTTCTCCAACTTCCACCACTACGATGAGCGCGATTATGGATGTTCACATGGGCCAAAGACGAGGTCATGCTGGAACAACGGCTTTAGTATATCCACAGATATGGATGAGAAGTGGCCAAACACTGGTAAAGTAGTTACGGTATGTTGGGACAACAATCTGTATGGGATGAATACTAACATACCGCAGTACGAGCTAGAGATCACAAACACAACCGGCTCACCAGATGGTCTGTCGAGGCCGATGTTCCTTATTAATGGGCAGTATCCGGGGCCGGTAAGAACAATTCAATGTGGTTTGGATATCCACCCTAACTCTAGACAGACCATTGTTGCCGACTGGGGTGACACGCTTTCAATTACTGTGAAGAACTCCCTTGCCAATAACGGTACTAGCATTCACTGGCACGGGTTGAGGCAGCTTGGGACGAACCAAATGGATGGAACAAACGGCATTACTGAGTGCCCAATTGCCCCTGGCCAAAGCAAGACCTATACATTCAAAGCTACCCAGTACGGGACATCCTGGTATCACTCTCATTATTCTGTCCAATATGCCGATGGCATTGTTGGTGGGATCATAATACGAGGCCCTTCCACTTCGAATTACGATATTGATCTGGGAATATTGCCCTTCACAGATTGGTTCCACGTACCTTCGTATGCTTGATCTCCCCCTGATTTTCTGTGGAACTTTGGCTGACAACTGCATAGGTTCACAGTGAATGCTGCAGCTCTCCATGCTAAAGGCCCCCCAATTGCTGATAATCTACTAATCAACGGTTCCATGACTTCGGCCTCAGGAGGAAAATATGCCGTCACCAACTTGACGCCCGGAAAGAAACATCTTCTTCGCCTAATTAACACTGGCGTGAACAACTATATTCACGTCTCTTTGGATGGACATCCTTTCACTGTAATCGCCGCGGATTTTGTCCCAATTGTCCCATATACGACAGATTCACTTGTGATCGCCGTCGGTAGGTTCCATTCCGTGCGCTTAAACCCCACTATCCCGTGCACAAACCCTGCGAGAACTCCGCTGACGAGGAACACGAATTTTAGGTCAACGTTATGAAGTCATCATAGATGCAAACAAACCTGTGGGCAACTACTGGCTGCGCGTTGGAACTGGAGGTGGAAAGTGCGACGGCCCGAATGCCAACTCTGCCAACATCAAAAGTATCTTCCACTACGATGGTGCGAATTCTGCAAACCCCAATTCGACTGGAATTACCCTTCCGACTGGATGTTACGATGAGACTAACATCGTTCCTTACGTTAAGACCACTGTACCACAGAAATTGCCCAAGAAAATAGAACTGGGTTTCACCAACACCGCCACTAGTGACGGTTTAGTTCAATGGCTTGTGGACTCGAGTATGATGCAAGTTGACTTCACGAAGCCGACGCTACAGTACATCCTCGATGGGAATGACACCTTTAATGTCGCTGAGAATGTCTATATCGTCGGCGAAGCTCATCAGGTATGATCCTTAGACAAACTATCTGGCATGAAACTTGGCACTGACACCTCCCCACAGTGGCAGTACTGGGTGATCCAACAAACCAATACTGCGCCTCCGCTCCCTCACCCAATCCATCTCCACGGTCACGACTTTTATGTTCTGGACCATGCCGAAAACACTCAATGGACGGGTGACATTTCCAAACTGAAGATGGAAAATCCTATCCGCCGTGATACCGCAACTCTTCCAGCTGGAGGATATCTCGTCCTTGCCTTCGAATCTGACAACCCTGGCGCGTGGCTTATGCATTGCCATATCCCGTTCCACGTTTCTGCCGGTCTTGCGTTACAATTCCTAGAACGCAAAAGCGAGATCTTGAATACTATTGGCGATCTCAGTGGCTTCAAAGACGGGTGCAAGACTTGGACTGCTTTCCAGGAAGGCTTCCCCGGTGGCTTCCATATCGGGGACTCGGGTCTGAAGGTTTGAGCTCTGGACGTGAGCCATAGGTAAGTGAGTTGTTGAGTACATACCTATGAGATACCCAAGCGTGCATTCTTTCATGCATTTTTTTGGCGTTGCTACTGTTGCTGGGTTTAGCAAGTCAAATTTCGCTTCCTCTAAAGCTTTGGCTACATATTAGTCGTGATAGAGGATGGAGGGAGGATGATCCTACGTAATAATAATGACGTCTAATGCTACTAACTACTATCATGTTCAATGGCTTCACCCGTGTTCCAACTCTAGCAGCTAGACAGTCTTCCACCAACAATCGCCAAATTTCTTCTTTTCAGCGATGCAGATAGCATCAATAGTCTAGTAATAACACGACTCGCCTCTTGAGGTTTTCGTGGCCTGACCACGTGACCGTGGGCCTGAAACCAAGCTTAGACCACTTCTCTTCCAGAGGGTCTTGTAGCCTGTGTAATTTTTAGTGAGCAGATAACTGCAGAATTGAGTTGCGTCTAAACTATCTTAACCTACAACGCAAGTTTATGTGTTTCCTGCTTATGTACTATTTTAGTGTGCCCTCTAAGAACATTAACAATTTATAGCTCTTTTCCTCTAACGTAGAGGTCCTCCTAAATAGTCTTCAGTCCCCTGCTGTCATCAGCCTAACAGCAGCTGTAAAGCCGGAGCAAAAAGTCCAACCTTTTGCTTATGGGAATTGTACTGCTTATAGCAGCAGATAAACCCTAACAACTGTAATGAGGTAGGCGTCCTGCCTGCCAAGCCGATACTATACCATGTTTTAGCGCGTAATGCACGGCCTCGCGTAATGCACGATTTTGGCAATCTGCGCCTTTTACTTTTAAAGCTCTAGAGACTCACACAAATTATAGATTATATAGATTTTTTGTTATAATACTAATTAAATGCTATAAATTCTATTCCTAGCAATAATTTACATGTAATACCTTATAAAGAGGTTAATTTGCCTGCTATGTTAAGTTCTGCCTAATGCTAGCTCCCTCTTTTTATTTAATGCTGCATTATTATTAAAATCCTCTAGCGTACTAGCAATAGGCGTAGGAGCTTTCTACTTGCCCTTTATTGCCTACTAGAGGTTATTTTTAAGCTGTTAATTAACCTGCTAGGTAAGCTCTGCCTCCTCTTATTAAGCTGCTTTTATCTTAAGCTCCTATAGGTAAGCCTTCTTTGCTATTGCTACTCTATGCTTTTTCCTTTTAACTGCGCGCGCCTTTTTAGCTTTCTTTACTTCTTTACACTTTACCTTCTCTTGTTTTTAAAGCTGTAGAGCCTTCTTCTTAGCATCTTTTTATGCCTAATAATTACATGCTTCTTAGACCTTATTTAGGGACTAGAAGGTCGCACTACTATAATATTCTAGAGGTGCTTCTAGTAGAAGAGGCTTACTACGCTAGCAGCGCTTCTTCTTATTAATTAGCGCATCTTTAACCTGCTTAAGCTTACGCTAGAGAAGGATGCAACATACTAAGAATAACTAGACAGTCTTCTTAAGCTCTTATACATCTCTTTTATAAAAATTACTAACAACCTTATCTAAAAGGCCTTTAACCTTTTTCTAATCCTTTGCACTAAGCGCTAAGCTAGTGCTTTTACTAGAGGATAGTTACTTTTTTTACTTATAGCAAAATTAATCTAAGACTACTTATAGCTTAAATAGTAATAAACTAGTTGCTTTAAAAGCACTAAGGATAGTTTTATACTTAAAGGACATTTTCTAGGCCTTGTTAAACATGCTGTAAAAGTCTCTCTTTTTAATTAATAATAGTCCCTAGTATCTATCTATAAAGCTAGCTAGCTTAGCTAAGTAGGCTAACAAGAGAGGTTTAAACATGCAGACATTAAAAGGCTGCAGCATATAAGTTACATGTAGCAGGTATACAGCTAGGAGGATCTTATTGTTGTTGCAGTACTTAATAAACTTTATTAAAACATGTAATCTATAGCTATCTAGGAATAAAAGTTAGTACACTTATTACGCCTTTACCTTAGTCTTATAATTAAACACATGTTTAAGCTATACTAGGCCTAGTTTATTATTTATCTAACTTATAAGTAATAAGGCAAAGAAAGCTTAATGCTTAAAAAGGTTAAAATTTTATAGCTAAGAGTCTTATATATAGTTAAAAACAGCTTAGTAAATTAGCGTAGGCGTAAGAGAGCTACTGTTAGCGCAGATGCAGGCTATTATTATAATCTACTTGCAATTGCCATCCTGTATAAGCTGCTGCTTAATACCTTGCTTATACTGCTGTCTAGAGAAGATTTGCTTTATTTTTAACAGTACCCTAATTAGGAAGCCCTTTTTATCTATATTATAGGTATGCTGTGGTTCTATGCTATATTGCTTAATTTTTTTGCGTACAAGCTTAAAATATAGCAAGTACTTAAATGCTAAGTTAGCTTTGTTACGCGCAGCGTCTATGCTAGATGTCTATTAAGATAATAGGTTAATAGAGTGCCTTTTAATAAATTAATTAACCTAGCTTTTGCTAGCTTGCCTACTACTTATTTCTGTTACAAAATTTTAAATTATCTGTCTTAAAGGGGATAGACCTCTTGCGCAAAGCCTATTAATGTACTCTACTAGCTCTTTCTCCTGCACTAGGCTGAGTAGTTGCTAATTTTCAAGTTTCTCTGCACGCGGGCGGGTAACGCGTTAGTGACGCCTTGAGAGCGTAGATTGATCAACGCCATACTGCCTAGCTACTGCAGCATAATTTGGTGATTCTCTAGGTTTCAGCGATTTCAGCGACTCCAAAGCGGCCTCAATACTGCCCATATTGGTTGAGAGAGAGGTGGTTGAAGTTTTGACAGCTTCGCGCAGAACCGTGCATTACGCGAGGCCGTGCATTACACGCTAAAACACAGTACGACTTTCCCCACTGTACCAAAAGGTACGCACGAGAATACTTAAGCTAAGTATTCTCGCATAGTATAATATATATATAGATAATGCTAGGGCTAGCACTAGCACTAGCGGTTGTCTCTCGTCTAGCCTAAACCTCTATAAGCGAGAGAAGGCGACGTGGTTGTGTCAGATATGCGCACCTACTGTCAAGACAGGAGGAACGCTTGACGAAAGCTGCTACATAGTACGAGCAATAAGCTCGAACAGTATGTTGCAGCATTTTGCAGCATTTTGCAGCATGTTGCAGCATTTTACAGCATTTTGCAGCATGTTGCAGCAAATTGCAGCATGTTGCAAGCTGGTCGCGCATAGGGCAAGTGCGCGAGGGACTCGGATCGGCAAAACAAAAAGCCGAGCAACACGAGTAGAGCAGAAAAAGGATCGATAAATAAATACAATCAATGATCATCCCATACATGATATCCAAACCCATCATTCATCTCAGGAAGCCCAGAAACAGTGCTTCAATCTGACAGGTTGACCGTGCCTACCTCGTTACAACAACCAAACTTGCGCCCCCTCCTTTAATGAAGCTGCCGCTCTGCTTAAAAACAGTACAAGTTGCAACTTAAATAGAGGCAACACGCGCAGCTATATTGTTATCCTCATATAGTTAAGTTGCTAGGGGTGTGAGATGATCTATTGTACAAAAACTAGGTCCCTAAGGTAATAGGGTTATCTCTGCAATCTACGGTGCAATTTTGCTAGAAAGATATACTAATTAACACAGAATTAGATAAATTAATTTATTCTTGCGCCAAGCCTAGTAATAGGAGCAGTAGAGAGATAGCAGGCTGCGTTAAAGTTAGGAGCAGGTGGGTTTTCCCATACAAATCTGGGCCCCCAAGCTACCAAAAATTACACGGGTGACTCGACCTGTTGGGGAGGACCCCTCGCGGCACGTGACCCGAGCACGGATCCGAGACTCGGGCCAAGACAGGTGGGTTGGTTATGACTAACTAGACTGCAAGCATCACAGCCGCTTGGAAGGACATCAAAGGTCAGAAAGCAGGTGATTGGAGAGAACTCGCATGATAAGCCCTGTGGCTGTGGCTGTGTTGCTGCCTGACAAGGGTGGCTCGGACGTTTTCCACCTCAGGTGTTCCTTGAGCCGTGCTCTTCAGCTCTCGTCAAGACTCCTCCACCACCTTCACGGCGGCCGACAGGCGTCCGCAAAGCCTCATGCTCAAACTTCAGCCTACCCAATATTCTTTGTTGTCGTTTGGTAGCCTGCAAGGTGTTGTTAGCTGCTCTCCCGACGAACTAGGCAACGAACTAGGCGGCTCGGCGCTAACACCCGGCTCCCGAATCGCACCATCCGGCTAGCCGTCAGCTCCCATGGGTCTCGCGAAGAGATGGAGAAAAGGAAAGCTCCGAATTTCTGCTCCAGAAAAGCTCGTACAGACAGGCCACGGGACACACGACGAGATCACGCTGAAGCTGCAAGGCTTGCCTCCAGAGTGGGTTTCTATCCTGCGCGAAAACGGCGTAGTTGGCGAAGACTTGGTCCTTCCCAAAAAATCGAAGAGCGGCATTTATGCCAATGGGTTCTTTAATTTGAGCAAATCTTCGCTCTTGAGTAATCGATCATTTCAGAGTTTTCTGAAGGGAATATCAGGGAAGCCAAAGAATCCAAGTCTGTATGACAACGGCTCGATTCTGGAAGAAGAGTTTGTAGAGACGCCGGGCGTGATGGCAAGTTCATCGGTTCGTGACGACGAATCTCCACTCAGTGTTGGATCTCCAGGCGCAAACCACTCTGCTTCGCATTCAAGACAGTCCGGTCAATGTCAGGCCTGTGAAACTGGTAACAATGTGGATGGAATTGCCCAGGAATGTGGATTAACTTTCCGGCATAAAGACTACCAAGATATCAACCACAGCCTCCTCCAAGTTGTTGATTCCCTTGGCCACGGCTCTTTGGGCGTTGTTGAGGAAGTCCGAATTGGCCCAGAATACACGAGCTTCGTTCGGAAACGCGTTCAGATTCCGTACAACCGGCGGAGGCAGTATCTGAAGATTATAAGCCAGGAAGCTCAAGTACTCCAGAATCTTTCTCACTGCCATATTGTTAAGATGATTGGCAGCTACTCCGAGATACCTGACTCGGGTCGGCAGTTTTTCTCGCTTCTGATGGCACCAGTCGGACAACGAGACCTAAAAACCTTCTTAGATATAGTCGGAGACCAATCTACGTCGCAAAGTGTAGATTGGATCGAGGATCGGCGGATGTGGCTTCTGAACTGGTTCAAGTGCCTCTCGTCGGCATTAGCGTACATCCACAGCAAAGGAGTTCGACACCAGGATATCAAGCCTTCGAATATCATTCACCGAAGGAGCGCAATTTACTTCACGGATTTCAGTTCTGCATCTCAGTTTCAGATTGGCCAAACTACATCCACAGAAAATCCTGCTCGAACGTCTGCAATGTATGCTGCTCCTGAGGTTATTAACAACGACGATAGTTTAAATCGCCATGGACGAGGGACCGATGTGTTTGCGCTTGGCGCCGTGTTTACTGAAATGCTGGCGGTCCTACGAGGAAAGTCTATCGAAGAATACCATCAATTCTTAGCAAGCGTAGAGCCGAAGAGTTCATCGGGGAATTCACATGTGATTTCGCATGCTCCACGACAGACCTTCCTTTATGGCAGGAAGCTGGACCGAGTCGATGCGTTCTTCTCTGGAGACGAATTTTATTCCACATGTGTTGCAGCCATGCTGACGTCTGATCGCGAACAGAGACCAGATGCAAAGGATGTTGCGAGTCGCATTCGGAGATTTGAGCCAAAGGGATTGCGACCGTGCTCATGCGATGAGCCTCCCTGATACAGGGTGCCGGGCAAGGATCTATCGGACAAACTCTCCAACCGGCGTTTTGAATGGACACCCCACCTACTGGGCGATATCCAAAACCTTGGGCTCTACTTTTGATCCTTTTGCACTAGTCCCCCTGACTATATGAGCGACTCGGCGTTTCGGAGATGGGTTCTCTACTAGCGAACCTGATAGCAAACGCCTTTCGTAATGCAGGTAATGCTAGAAGAATTTCGTCCCATGATAAATGAACGTCCGCATCACCACCGTCACCGTGCATCCTGGGTTCACTCGTATTTAGCGCAAGGAAATCCTAAGCTGCAAGAGGAGATCGATCGAAATATGGCCATTGAAGAAGTATTCCGCAGACAAGTTCAGTTCCAGGATGTCCATCTTGCGTTCCCGTGACCAGTCCTGCTATGATCATAGACTTCATAGCTGGATGTCGTGCAGGTCGCCGAGGCTGGTGGTGCTAGATAAAAAGAATAGCGAGGAGTTTCTCGATCGTTTCGGAGGTGAAGACATAGGATGTATAATTTAATACTGCGATGTCACGCCCAGCTCGTATGCCTTTCACCTTCCCGTGCTTGTCTTTAGATTGTATCCTCGTCATTTCAGGAACCAAATTCCCATTGGCAGATGGTCTATCCAGGCAAGACGCTATTTCGTGAGCTTGAGCACATTTCTGCACCTTCTGCCGCGATCCACTCGAATTTCGCCGGACAGTGAGACTAAAAATTTGCTCACGAGTGTCCCAAATGTCCCAAATGGATGTTATTTTATGGTTGACCCGTAGCTGCTGGTTCTTTAAGGCGATATGGTATCGGTACTTGTGCAGACCTATAGAAGGCTAAATATTAGGGGGAAACGTTACACTGCATCTATTTGCTACTGGATGAACGAAATAATGCTGGATGCCTGTTGGGCACCTGGCCGCCGAATCAAGAAATTTATCTAGCAATTCCGTATGGGTGCAGGGAAAGGTGGCTCAGGTGGCTCATAATTCTGTCTCAATCCGCGCTTGCGGAGATGGACGACAAAATTATGACACCCACAACAGACAGAAACCCGCAATGCTCACCTTGAGCCTTGGTGTCTTTTGTCATTTGATTTGCATTACCATGGAGACGAAATAAGCCCCCAAAAAACAAAAAAACATACAACAGCCGGGATTCGCTGGTGGTCTCCCACCCAACTACTAATCAGCCGGTCGCAAGCTTAGATATCAGAGATCAAACGGGGTCTGTCGAGTTCAAGCGCCTTTGGTCGTATGTGGTTACAGTCGGAAGTAGATTAATATATAATTTAGGGTGATAGTCGTAATGGTTACAGATTGTGGGGCAGAGTAGGCACACTGAACAGCATGTTCTATACCTCTCGATGTCTGACCCTCTCGGCTCACTCAATCACAATGCCCAATTTTGCCAACAAAGCGATTCGCTACGTTGTTTCTTTACATTATGACTCGTCCCTAATTGAGGACAGGTGAGCTAATGGGTCAATAAAGGGCCTTAGCTCCTCTCCAGTGATAAGAACAAGGTCCTAGCACCATACAGTCTTTCGGGTTTTCAACCTCTCTGCCGTACTCCTGAAATTGGCACTTGGTTATAGATGTCTGGATATTGGCAAAAGAGGCAGCAGAGATGGCATCCTAGCCAAATCATCTAGTATATCTTCATGAACAGCTGCCCTAGTTCCCGCATTCGTACCACAAGACCTAGGAAGATAGAGTGAGGCAGTCCTTCATAGACGGACTGCATATGAACAGGGAAGCTTCGGGAGGAAAGCCTTGGTATTACTTCGTAAAGAAGTGGTAGCCAGGTTCGGTAAGTGTATCGTCTAGCGAAATAGGGCTCGTTTGTGGGAGTGGTGGGTATGGAAAAAGGGTGCCAGGCATGGGAGTGTAATGTATGAGGGAAGATATATGAGCGGTGGCAACATTAACAAGGGGCGCCTGGGTCGGGCAACCCAGGGTGAGATGGTTAATTTTGAGGGATAGGCCTAGATCAGCTTTAGATGTGGAGAAGGTTGAGACAGCGTCGTTTAAATTTGAGAAATTACATGCCTTGATGACGCGCTAAATTTGCTATTATGGATCGCGTTCTGTAGCAGCAAGTAGAACCCGCTTATGGGCATCAGCTGAGCGGTCGTCAGTTGAAGGTGTTGGGTAGAAATTGGCGATGCATCGGAACTATACCGACGGCTGCGGATTTGTACCACTGGCTGAAAGGTTGCGTAGGGATAACTGAAAAAAGGCGCATTCCAAGGTGGAAAGCCAGCTCGTGTTTGCAGAGTGATAGTTATACGCCGCGATCAAAGCAAGAAGGAGCTTTGCGACGCTGCAAGGGAGCCATGCGACGGTGGAAATGGGGTACCGTGTCGGCAAAGAGAGAGTTGTAGAACAGTGAGGAGCTGATAAAAGAAACAATCGATATATAGGTTCGCGCGAGAAGGCTATGCAAGATTGAGCGTTTTCTGCTTGTGTGCTTTGCCGCATTCACGCTTTCGCAACAACAAAAGGTGGAAGCACGAAATTGAGTGATAGCTTTGGATTAGGCATGAGTTATGAGAAACTTGGAGCAATGTGATATATGTAGTAGTATAGGACGCCAAATCCTAAGGTGACTTGACAGCCCATCGTCGAGCCCTTGGGCTTACACGAGTTCCGGGCCTAAGCATCGCAGGAAGCGGCACAGCCAAATAAGGTAGGTAGTGGCAAGTTAAGCCGAGGAATTCAAAAACTTGGCCAATTTGAAACGGAGCAATTGGTGCACGGTCAAATTGGACTGTAGGTGGCACAGTATAATAGCACGCGCAGTAAAGCCGCTCTTCGATTTCAAACGATTTACTCCCGTAAATTATTATCTGAAAGATCCCACCCCTTTCTTCCTCGCTAGGTTGCTCCTCATTCATCATCATTTACCATTATCAGGCCATAACCTGTGGACTCTCCATCCACTTGCAATATGGGCTTCCGGTAACGCAAAAGATTTCAAGGGCCCCGAATCTTTATGCGCCATATTCTCCATGTGTTACTGTAAACAAGTTTTTTACGGACTAGTTGTCTTGCGATGCCGTACCTCTATTGAACTCGAAATGTCTGCTAATTGACTAGAGCCTTCATTGACCGCTTCATCTACAACTTCTAAAGTGGACAATTGTTATTGCGTTATTCTGGCCTCGGTATCTTATAGAGCATGGTGAATACTATATGCCGCTCAAACTAATAAAGAGCCTTCAAAGGCTGTTCAATTCGGTCACGCATCCCTGTCTCTAGTAAACATGGCTATTTCTGGAATAGCTATGAACTTGGGGAAGTCCGCAATTTTACCTTTCATCCCTTCGAGCAGCCACTAGCTACACAATGCTGTACTAGCCTCGACCGGAGCAACGGGATGCGTATCGGCCATCTTTCTCCTTCGATCATACGTGACCGATGGTAAAAGCGGACTTATGGGTCAGCTATTACAGCGCAAACCAACTTGCACACAGCAGGACTTGGAGCGCATAGCCTTCTCTTGTCTTTATTGTACGTAGGTACCATTTACGCCTTGAAAATGCCTGGTCTCTCCGGTGTTGCGGCAGGAATTCTCGTCACAAATGATCGCGCCAAGTGGAGGTTAGTCTCCAAATATTAAAAATACTAAATGAATGGTTTGGTGATCCTCATACGAGGTGTCTAGCTCCTCGAATCTATTAGCAAATTATCTATTAGTAGATACCCGAGGCTTTCATCACTTTTGGGCATACTAGGGAGTACGAACGAATGCTCTCTTATTCAACTTGAGACCTGTGTTTCGCGGCGCTCGCACAAGTATTACCTAGGTTATCTACCGTCCTCCTTGGAGGCGTACAAAACCATCCAACTCTCTGCGCCACGTTCATCACCATATCATATGTATCTGCGACGGTCCTATTTTGTCACACCTTTTAATAGAAATATTGCCCTCGGTATGTCGGATGACCTGATCTCACGAAGCGAGATCGTATTTACGCCGGTCTAACACAGCGTATAAATCGGTGCTATTAGCGTATCTCCTAGCACGTTTGCGCCACACTGCCACCAACCAACCAGTCCTATCGCATTCGTGTTACTATCGCATGACCATCACTCCCCTATTCGTCTCTGAACACGACAAAGGCAATTATCTGTTTTTGCGCACCAACAGCAGAGTTCTGTTGTGACGAAAATCGATGATTGATATCGAAATTTGCCGTTTTCAGGACGCCACATTCCTTGATGCTGGCCTTTGTCACAGTCTTAGTTCGCTAACGACACAAACGGCAGTGCAGAGTCGACAGGTCACTTTCAGCCCTTGCCACTGTGCCGCAGACGATGTGCTCGGCTGGTATCTGCGCTCTTATATGAAGGGTGGGCGGTCATTCTGGGTGCCAATGTAGATGATCGTCATGGCTCTCCTAACAACCCAAGCCATTCGCATGCTGCAAGTCGTTGTAGTCTGTACGATTATTTTGACACTTTTCTTTACTGCGAGCCATTTCAAGTCGGACTTGTGGAGGAAACATCTTCCCTCCATCCCAGATCAAGTCCCACAGAGTTTTCGACCGCCGCCAAGCTTATCGTTCAAAAATCAGCCGCCAAAGCCGAAGCCCGCGAATTCGACACTCGATTTCCAGGAGATATTTTATATCAGCATGCCGTATCGGACGGATCGACAAGATGCATTGTCGCTGTTGGCAGCCGTATCTGGCATAAAACTTACTATGATTCCCGGAGTGCGTATACTCAAACTAGTCTCCAATGCATTGCTGACAACCCTCTCTTAGATCGACCCCAAAACCATCCACCACAAAGCCGAGCCACACATGATTGGTGGAAACAATATGACGGCGACCCCGGCATTGGGCTGCTGGCGAGCGCATGCAAATGCATGGAAACATATCATCGACAACAACATCGAAACCGCACTAATCGTCGAGGATGATATCGATTGGGACGTAAACATCAAGGACATCATGGGGTTGTGGGGTTGGCAGCTGCGTTATAATAATACCATCCGGTGGGGTCGGGAGAATGTAGAGAAGGGGTGGAAGGAAGATTGTCCCTACGGTAGGCAGGAACCACAAGCCACTGATCTCGCTGTTCGATACTAATCTGGTACTAGGTTGTGACTGGGACGAACTCTGGATGGGCCAGTGCGGCAACGCCGTCAACAAAGAGCGACTGGATCTGCATTGGAGATACTCTGATCCCAATGGCCCTGACATTGGCTCCGCTGACGAGGGCTTCCAAAAAGAATTCAAGGACATATGGAAAATTTCTGGCGGCGACGGCATGCGTGTAACTTCCGCAACGTACGGTCCGCTCTGCACTATGGGATATGCTGTGTCTCGTATGGGTGCAATGAGAATGCTGTATCATATCGGCGGCTGGCATGGGATGGGACTACCAGTCGACAATGAAATTGCGTTCAAAACCGAGGATGGATATATTAGCGGGTACACAATGACGCCGCCTGCTTTCACTGCATGGAGAGTTGGGGGCTCGAGAGATACCGACAATGCTCTGAGTAATAACAACGCGCCAACCACGGATGAGGGGAATGAGAAGGGGTGGAGTAAGGGACTAAAGAGTAGTGTTAGGAAACATCTTGCACAAGTTTTGGATAAGAATTATTGGAAAGATATGGAGAATGAGAGAAGATAGACTTAATAGTTTTGAGAGCTCTGGACTGAGCGAGCGTGTTGTTTTAGATACCCTTGTCCCGAATGGATCTCTGTATTAGTTCCTAGCAGTCTCGCCTGACCTCAACTCAGCCTTTGAGTTGTGCGAGAAGTGCCAAGGCATCTTGTTTGTATCGACCTTTAGAACCCTAGTCTGAAACCGATAATATTCCTTCAGCTTACTGGGAAGTTAAGAAGAGTCCAAACAGAACCGCCAACACGTCTGCTCCTCGTGCAGTCCACCGTATCGCGAATCCAGATATTCTCCTATCTGCGTCGACCCGATATTCCCTGCCTCTGGCGTTGTTCTGACTAAAATTAGACTTTCGTCTATGGTCTTGGAATATGAATTGTGTAGATAGGGTAGAAAGACAACTTGTTCTTTTATGGTTTGCAAGTAATGTCGTCTCCACTTGATTCACGGAAGGAATACTGCCGAATGAATTTGCCGCAAAACAGGCAGACTACAATTCCCTCCTTTCATAATCCATCAAAGCTCGATGTCCTCCCCGTCTAAATGCACTTCTTAGCCCGAAGCCCTGAGCTCTTCAGCGTATCTGCCCGGGATTCTCTGGCCAGCCGCCGTGCCATTCAGATCTTCGCCGCCTTCTTATTTCCCTGTCGGGCACGCTTCATCGCTTGTTCAGGGCGCATGTCCACGGTTCGCTCCCGTTTCCGTCGGCATTCCTCTTCTGTGGCAGCATCGTAGCGCTCCTCGCTGCTTCAGCTTTCCGTCATTGTGCATGTTCTGTTGCTTGGCGCGAGCGCTCCTCCACTTATTTATCCTTCTCTTCTCGGCGCCTCACTCTTTTCTGGTAGTTCTTCTCACGGCTTTCGCTTAGCCTCTGCTCTACGTTTAGCTTCGAAAATTTACACTTCAATTCGGGAGCAACAGAATCTTCAACCTCTTTGCACTTCCTATCTTCTTCCTTGTGCTTGCATCCCTCTTGCTTCCGATTGTTCGTGTCGGCATCGGTGCGATACCGAACCTATTTATTTCAGAGTTCAAAGTAGCCTTGGTTGTACTCCTCTTGGTCTTCTCTATTTCAGGGATCCGAGAAGGATTCACGCGACTAGTCGCCTTAGTGTCAGCCGAAACCTTTTCTCTTCAGATGAAAGTGAGTAGGCAATCTCACCAGTCAGAATTCAGCCGCGCAGACCTTCTTCGCGGGTGCTTTCCCATCAGGATGATGAAGGAGGGCTAGTTTCCTGCAGATCGCCTTTGCATCCTACGCGGCGGTATTCTCGCTCGCTCGGTGGAAGTCGGAGTCTTGTGGCTCCAATGAGATAAAAAAATTCGGCATGTATTATTAAAAGTGCAAGATTTCGGGTCTCTTCGTCGAAAGTAAAGAAGGTGATGAATGAATCTGTAAATGCTAAAGAGAAGGAAAGAAGGGCTCGACAAGTGAAATGCGCTTTTCGAACAAGAAATTCAGTAAATTCGGTAACTCTGCTGAGAAGAAAGTACAACGCGAGATCGCGTTCACATTTTTAAGCGGCTAGCTAAAGAGGCCATTGTGGTGAAATATTACGGTGAAAGACGACTAAAGGAGATCACGCATACACGAGTCGTCACGTGTTTCAGAGGGGAAATATTAGGGGCGGACGCTGGATGTACTAAGACTAGTACCTGTCGGACTATGTGCAAAAATATGGCTGATCGGAACTCCTTCGTAGGTCCGGTGTTCGTCTAAGAGTTTCACTCCACACCGTTTGAACGTCATTGCGAACCTCTTTTGCTAGGCTCTGCATGTTAGCTACGGACACTCTGCGCCAGCCGGAGAGTGAACGGAGAGTGTGGCCACATGTTGGCGATGAATTAATTGATAGGATCCGAGAGTTTCATGTAAATGCGGACTTCGTTGCAATTTTTTGAGTTTTGATGAGCATTTGTGGCTGAGCGAGGCTGTGGGCCAAAGTCGTATTCCCCATGGAGGAGCGGCACGGAGTTTTGCACCCTCTAATTTCTTTTCTTCTTACAAGTTCCTCATTCGGAATGAGGACTCGGCGTGTTGTATCACGAGGCACAAACATTGCTTTCACATAAAAAGAAGGCCTTTAGTCGATCAAATATTCTCTCGACAGCTTTATTGTTTTTTCCTATTTATCATTCATCAAAATGCTTCGTATTCTCCTCTATACCAGTGCCCTTCTCTTGCCAGTCATTGCTGATCATGGCAAGACTACGCGGTATTGGGATTGTTGCAAACCATCATGTTCCTGGAAAGGAAAGGCTCCAGTTACCATGCCTGTTCACACTTGCAACAAAGATGATCAATGGGACTGGAATGCTGACCTGGCGAACGCATGCGGTGGCGGCGATGCGTTTGCTTGCTCCAACACCTCGCCGTGGGTGGGTGAGAACGATGTCGCGTACGGATTTGCTGCCGTGAAACTTGCTGGGAAAGGCGAGGACCAGACTTGTTGCTCTTGCTATGAGTAAGCTATCACGCTTATGTGGAAGAAGATAAGTTAACGCTTCTCGCAGGCTGAAGTTCACAACGACTTCAATCGCCGGAAAGACCATGATCGTTCAAGCCATCAACACTGGCGGCGATCTCGGACAGAACCACTTCGATCTGACCATTCCCGGCGGCGGCGTTGGGCTCTTCGACGCTTGCACTAAGCAATTTAATGGTGCTCCGCTCGGGGATCAATATGGAGGCTATCATAATAGAAACGACTGTTATAGTCTCCCAGATGCATGGCGTGGTGGATGCTTATTCAGATTCGACTGGTTCCAGAACGCGGACAACCCGGAGATGGAGTTTAACGAAATTGCTTGCCCGAAGAGTTTGATCGATCGTAGTGGATGCGCGAGAACTTGATTGAAACTGGTTGAGTTTCTCGCATTTCAGTGATGAGTCGATGGAGGGAGGGGATTTAAGGGACGAGCAGATCGATGGGCGGTATGTCTCCAGTTAATCGCATTCAGTATGCTACGTGTACTTCTTCTTTGGTCACCCTAGGGATTCATTCTAGTGGTTCGTTCTACTCGACATATTGAAAGAACATGAGTTCGAATTACTACCCCGGTAGCAACACGTTTGTCACGTGCTGTATTTAGTTCAAGCTTGAAGCAACCACAATTGACTTCAATTTCCAATCTGAAGGCAATAATTCTGGACCTCTTCTATGAATTGAACCACTTGCTTCCTCATTCATTTAAATCTCGCATTGTCTTCTCCTCCCAAAACATTTTTGTAAGGCTAGGAGGAGCACCAGAGGCATGAGGAACTGGATTAATTGTTAGAGGAGTGCACCTAGAGGTCTATATATGCGCAGAAAAAAAGTGGTAAGTCTTGGCAACATGAGACCATCGTGAGATGCATACAGGGGGGTCTCCTGAGCGGGCTGTTCCGCGTGCACAAGCTAACATCTGTGCATAGAATGTTCTAAATAATTTACAACCCTTTATAAGTAGGTTGCTAACAAACTTTATGTCCCTTATTTAGCTTACTCTACTACTAAAATGTACTATAATGCTAAAGACACTAAATTAACAATTAATGTATAAGAAGCGTATACAGATTAATACCCTTTATAAGATAGGCTAAAAATAAAAGGATATTGCCTAGAAACTAGGGATACCTACTTCTATAGTCTCTCTCTGCCTCTGTACGCCTAAGACGCCTATAAAGCCTAAGGGACAGTCTCCTATTTTATTAACTCTATTTTAAATCCTTCTTGTACAGCATGCAACTAAGAACGCTAAGCAGCAATAGAAAACTTAAAAGGAGATAGCTTAAAAGCTAGAGATAACTATCTACTAGTAATTACTTATTAAGGCCTTTAGAAAGAAGCTTTATTATTACTATAAGGCTATAGAAAAGCCCTTCCTTACTAACTAACATAAGGTAGATTAAGTTAAGTAGGCATAGAAGCATCTAGACTAGACTAGCAATTAATAGGCTAGTATAGGCTAGCCCTAGCAAGGTGTAGGTAACAAGGAGAGCTAAAAAGCGCTTCTTACCTGCCTACTGTGTTGCTTAATTTAAGGGCTACTTAAGCTGCATAGTATAGGTAATAATATCTAAGGATATAAAGGGCCCCTTTATTATGTATAAAAAAAGCTAGTGTATAAACTAAAAGCACTTAGTTAACTCTAAAGTCTATATTAAGCATATCCTACTACTTATTATAGCCTTTTAAGATGTGTACACTGCGTACATAGGCAAGTAGCTAACCTTAATAAAGGATAACGCATCTATCTATACATTAAAGGCTATAAAGGAGGCTAAGGAGGCCTTAGGTATTCTAAAGATCTAGTAGCTAGTAAACTTACCTAACTTTAACGCTATTAAGAATGTCTAGCAGATCTTAAAATATTACTTAGGGAAGCGCTTTCTAAAGACTAATAGTAAGGTAAGGCAGTATCTTTTTAAAAAGGAAAAGAAATTGTCTTTAGTAACTATAGCAAGTACATTAAGTTAATAAGAGAGCGCTGTTAGGCAGTTATTAAGGCTAAAAGTAGACATACAAAGTAGTAAGACAGTAGTAGGACAAAATAACAGTACAATGCTTATTTGTATGTATTTTACATAGAAAACAGCATTTTGAGAGCATTCGAGAATCGCTCGCCTGTGCGCGCGGGTGCAGCCCGTTCATGGAGGGGGGTTGTACGACCATTGTGACGACGCATACGAATATCGTGAGAGCCACGCGCGAGAGCTATGCGTGACTACTGCAAACAATTTTCGACTCCTCTAGCGCATAGCATCCATAGCTGTTTGGTTCGTAATTGCGGCCGTATGCGGTGGGAGATTTGTAGAATTGTCACCGAAAAAACATTCCACTGCCACCACTCGGCGTAGAGAACGAGCATTGACATCAGTGATGGCTTAGACGAGTGGTATATTCGTTTTGTTCGCTAGTCCTACAAACTGTAGAGGCAGAAAACCCATTGCATGTTCTTTCTGACTTGTTTATACACTCTCTTGCATACTTCCGGGCGACAGAGTAACATGACTGTGTTTCCCACCTTCACCCGTCATGAGCTCCTTATAATCGGACGAACCTTCGGCATAGTTGATGTACTATACACAGTTGACCGAATGCTTTCAGTAGACCTGCCTTTCCGGAAACCAGGCATGCAAGGAGCTGCACACGGCCTGTGTGGTAGAATGTGAATTTTCTTGCATGAGCTGAGGAGGGGACATATGGCAAACGACTCGACAAGGGAGCGAGATCCAAACAAGGTGGAATGAGTGTATTGTAAGGTCTGAGGAGCTCGATAGAGCTCTAAGCTGACTATATACTGTACGAGATAGGAGCTATGCCTAATGAGTGAATAGTGCAGTACATGGGTATGATATCGCGTGAGACACGTGCGACACACTCCCCCAGCTTTAACAAAGTGAATACTAAAGCAAAGCTGTACAAAGAGAAATAATAAACTGCAGGTGTACAGTAGTGCACTTAAAAGCGCAAAATAGCAAAAGAAGTTAGCTTAGGCTTAGGCTTTAAAGCTAATGTTAGTAGAGTAAGCCTTTAGAGCGTTACTTAAGCAGATAAGGCCTAGTTATTTAATAAAGGCTTAATGCTTTTATTAAGGTAAGAACTTAGTAAGGCTGTTAAGCAGCATGTCTACAGTAGAGATTTAGTGTATGCAAATCCTTCTTTTCTAAGGCTTATAATTAATTAGAGCTGTGTGCTAAGTAGTTATAGCTTACTTAAGATTATTATTATTAGTCTTAAAGTCTATAGCTGCGTTACCTGTTTGCAGATAGACCTTAATAACTAATAGTAGCTTATTATTAGAGCTATTATCTAGTGTGTTGTTAAGGTTATGTTAAAAGACTAAGTTAATATTAATTTCTCTTTTAAAGTTAACCTTTAAGATAGTTTCTAAGGTTATTTTAAAAAAAGGCATATAATAAAGGGAGCCTTACTAGCGCTTTTTATGCAGCTAATTACTAGGTCTTTTATTACGCTCCTTAAGCTCTAAAAGCTCTTTTGTAAAATTAATGTAATCTTTATTATTTAAGGTATTATCTTGCGTAATAGGTTGCTGTGTAAGGTCTTTAGTAGCTATAACTATTAGCAAAATAGATCTAATGCATAGATCCTCTGTGCGCAATACTAGGGCCTAGTAACCTCTAGTTTAAGTAGTAAAGTAGATTAGTAATTAAGTGCTATTATAAAGTTATTTATATATAAGGTTGTCTCTAGAGTTAAAATGTATATTCTGTCCTTAAGAAAGAGATACAAGACTAGTAAACATGCTAGAGATGTAGGCTACATTATTTAGGTTTATCTTAGTAGGTCCTCTAAGACTCTTTACAGTAAGTGTGACTATGCCCTATGCTAGTATAAGAAGGTGTTAGCTGCTAGCCCTAAGTTAGTCTAATAGAGATAAGCTCTAAGTCTATTAAAAGTTAGCTAGATTATTATAAACATAGATGTCTACTCTAGAATCTAGAATCTATAAGTGCTAGAGAGAATTCTCTTTATTATCTAGCTCTACAGCATGTTCTTTACTTATAAGGTTTATTATAAAGCTTATAAGAGTAGCTGCTAATTACCTAGTGCTAGTTAAAGCATTAAGTAGATTTTAGTTAGTAGAATTATTAGAAGCTAGCGTCTTAGAAATTGCATTTAGATGTAGACTAGGTTAAGACTATAAGCTTTAATTATATAATTAAGTTATATAACTAGATAATTAAGTTAGCTAATAATAGTTACTATTATTACTACCCTTTCTACATCCTCTTCTTTAGTTTAGTTAGTCTCTTAGTAGTAAAAGAAAGTCTCTGTTCTTAAGCTACTTAGCTTCTACTTTAAGCTAAGAATTACTACTTATCTACTTATTATATTTCTGCTAGAGGAAGGTAAAGATCTAGAACTTTTTAAGTCTTAGTTAAGGATTATTAATCTTACAGTTTTTAGATTTATAGCAACTTTTATAAAAGTTGCATATAAACTGCTGTTGCTGCTGTTCTAGTGTAAATAAGCGTCCTTAGTATATAGCAAAACTGCTATAAGTAACACTAGGTTGCTAAGCTAGCTATAATTATTACTAATTTTTAAAAAACTCTAGACAGCTAGTAAGAAAATTAGGTAGATCTTTATTAGTCTGTTTATGCTAGACTAGAATTAATTAGATGGCTGCTGCGCATCTAGGGTTTACATCTAAAATTGCTAACATAAAGTTATAGTGTAGTTAATATTCTGTTACATTTAGCAGGTAGACTAATTTAGCATTAATATATGCATTTTTGTACGCTGTAATTTATTAGTCTTGTTTTATTTTTAATAACTACTTCCTTGCGCAGTTATATGCTGTTTGTGCGCTCTGCTTAAGCTGCTTATTAGAGGGCTCTAGAATTGCCCTTAAGGCTTTTAGCCTTTTATAGATTATTTTTTTGTCCCTAATAATAAAGTAGTTTAATGCGTTAATAGTGCTTTTAATAAGCACATAAATGTCTAATAAGGCTTTATGTTAAGTTTATGTCACAATTGTGCACGAGTAAGGTTATAGAGCTTCACAGAGGTCTAGTTTAATTACTACGTGAGGTATTATAGTAGGTACAAGACGTTGTGTAAGAAATAGGAAGGTTTAGAAAGAAATTAGTAATTAAATACTTAGCTTAAAAGTCTAAGCGCTTTAGGTATAAATTAAGCCTGTTCTAAGTTTAGTTAGTGTTAAAGCAGTTTATGCTTAAGTTTATGTCTATGTTATGTTGTGTTTATGTTAGACGTGCACTAATAATACTCTAGTACATGTCTAATACAGTTATGTTTAGGATCTAGGGAGGATACTATAACAGTACCCCCCCTCTTATTAGGAAGAGAATCCTTTACATTAGTAGTTCTAGCATTAAGTTGT